AGCACCGCCAGGAGTAATTCCTGAGTGCAGAGCCAGGAGTAACCCCTGAGCGTCACTGGGTGTGACCCAAAAAGAAAAAAAAAGGAAAAAAAGAAAAACAAAAGAACAAAAAAACCAAAATATCAAGACCTGGCTTTGTCACCTCTGGTCTGTGTGTTCTTGGACAAATAATCGTACTGTTCTAAGCTTCAGTTTCTACATCTGTAAGTGGAGGTAATGCTGCCACCTCCCACAAAGAATCGTGACAATAAAGGATAGTGTGCATAAATATAAATAATAAATAAATAAAGGCCCTCCCGTTGATTGTCGATTTGCTCGAGCGGGCCCAGTAACGTCTCCATTGGAGACTTTGTTGTTACTGTGTCTGGCATATCGAATACTCTCGGTAGCTTGCCGGGCTCTCCGAGAGGGACGGAGGAATCGAACTCGGGTCGGCCATGTTGGCCGCTTGTAAGGCGAACGCCCTACCGCTGTGCTATAAGTAGCACAAAATAAGCATGCAGGGACCAGAGAGATGGACCAACAGACTGAGCATATTCAGCGTGCAGGATCAGGCTCCATCCCCAGCACCATCTGGTCCTCTGAGTACCACTGGGAGTGACTACTGAGCACTGAGCCAGGAGTAGCTCTAATTGCTGCTGTTTATAACCTGAAATCAAAGAAACTCGATATTCAATTAAGAACTTGCTAAGATGCTTATGATTCTGAAAGGATGTGACAAAAATAGCAGCACTGCAAGGCTGGGGCGGCACCTGACTGGACCTGGAATTTTCCATTCTCTGTTGGCATCTTTCATGTCACCTCCTCGGTTGGCTCATACCCACCCATGACTAACCACACAGCAATTCTTCCTTCTCACAATAAAACTCATTCCCTTTAGGATTTCCCCATCACCTTGCTCCTCTCTTGAACTTGACTCCGCCAGTCGCCTCTTGGCCATGAGGATGTCCCTAATGCCTGTCTGACAGGAAGGCTGCAGGAAAGATGGTCACGGGATTCGCCGGCCCCCTTCTCCCTCGAGCACATTCCAGTTTTCTCCTCATGACCACAACCACGACCACACTGCCCGTCTCTGTCCCTGTGCACTGTTGGGGTCTCAGCAGCTAGCCTGAGACTTTGACCAAGTCCCCTGCCCCTGGAAACAAGAGCCGGCCCTGTTTACCAAGACCCAGGGGGCCACTCCAGCACTCCCCACATGCATGCATGCAGGCATTCTGGTTGAGAATGAGGGACATGACTGTGCCCACCTACCCATATTGTTAACCCAGCCTTAAGAGCAGGATATGTAAATCATTAACTGACATCTGTACATGAGAAGTTGTACGTGCTGTATATGGGACTGCTCCCCCCGCCCCCACCCTAACTGTGGGATTGCCCCCCCAAGTTTATGTATAAGAACCCCAGGTAGGGGCCAATAACCAGACTCCCCCCCCCCCCCCCCGCCGGGGTTCTTTCTCTTGTGGAGGAAGTGGCGGAGACAGGAATCCTGCAGTGAGCAGAGGGCCGGGCAAAGGCTTCTCCCCTACCCACTCCCTCTCCTATAGGGAGTAAGTCCAGCAACTTCAGGGGATCGGACTCCAATTCTCCAATTTGCCAGGGTTGACTGGCCAGGGCCCCAACATGCACCGCTGCTCCCCTGACTCCTCAGTCTCACTGATCTCAATCTGGGCAGCAGGTCTGCACCCTAGCCTCAGCCCCACACTCACCTACGGGGTCCCTCACCTTCAGACTTCTCCCTCTCCCCTTGGCTGCTTCCTCTGGCCTAGCACACAGCTCTCCGCCGCTTTCTCTGTTCTCAAGACTTTGCTATCAGTTTTTTTTTTTGGGGGGGGGATTAGGGTAGGGGAGCTGGGCCATGCAGGGAACTGTATGGGGTACAGAGGATCAAACCAACATATGTCAGGTAAGAGACTTAACCCCGTCCTATCTCTCTGGCCTCCCGGGCTTTTTTCTCTGTCTCCATTTATAGTCACTTTAATTAAGATTTCCTCCAATTTCTTTCAATACTAAGTACATGTGGGTGATTCTTTGCCTCTCTAGATCAGAACCCTCAATACCAAATTCTTCCATGGGGATCCCTATCTCCCTTTCAGTCAATGGATTCCAAGTCCCCACAACTGGAATGTCTGTGAAGTAACAGATAAATTATATGTGATAATATTATTGTATTGGTATAGAGTAAGTAACCTGCATAAATCACATCTGGAGGGAGGCAGCATACCTTCCGTCCTTTGGATTGTCTGTTCACCTATTTTGTGTAGTTTCTATCAGCTGTTTGGCCTTTTCTTTCTTGAATCTTAACAGTACTCCATATATTGGGATAAAAGGCCCTTTGGTCATTTGCCTTTTGAGGTTTTTTTTTTTCATATAAAAGGTTTTTACAGCAGATAGGGCGTTTGCCTTGCACACAGCCGACCTGGGTTCAATTCCTCGGTCCTTCTCAGAGAGCCTGGCAAGCTACCGGGAGTATCCGCCCAAATGGCAGAGCCTGGCAAGCTCTTGGTGACTATTCAATATGCCAAAAACAGTAACAACAAGTCTCACAATGGAGATGTTACTGGTGCCCAGTCAAGCAATTCGATAAACAATGGGAGGACAGTGCTACAGTGCTATCAAAGGTTTTTAGGGGCTCAAGAGATAATCCAATGGGTAGGGCCTTGCATTCGGCTGACCCAGACTCAATCTCTGGCACTCTATCTGGTCCCATAAGTCCTGACAGGAGTGACCCCTGTGCACAGAGTCAGGAACAGTCCCTGAGCACCACCCCAAAACAAAACAAAAATACACTCTAGTGATAGTTTTTTTTTTTTTGGCTTTTGGGTCACACCTGGCAAAGCACATGGGTTACTCCTGGCTCTGCACTCAGGAATTACTCCTCACGGTGCTCAGGGAATCATATGGGATGCTGGGAATCGAACCTGGGTTGGCCGCGTGCAAGGCAAACGCCCTACCCGCTGTGCTATCGCTCCAGCCCCAGTAAATCTTAGGTTTAAGTTAGATTCCTGGAATGTTTACTGCCTATATTCTGAATATTTTGCTTATGTTTATAAAGGGCTGAAGTTAAATTTGTCTAGCTCAGATAAAAAGAATGAATTTTGAATACTTTTCAAGAAAATAAAAGCATACTAAGATTAATATGTATTGTAATCAGTGATTACATAATTTTTTTTTGCTGATCTATTTTATTTTTTTTTTAATTTTTTTTTCTTTTTTTTATTAGTGAAAAAACATGAGGTACAGTTATAGGCTTACAAATTTTGTGCTTGGGTTTCAGTTATACAATGATCAAGTGCCCATCCCTCCACCAGTGCCCATCATCCATCCCCACGGGTCCCAGCATCCCCCCCCACCCCTCATCCCCTCCCCCGCCCCGTCCCATCCTGCCTCTGTGGCAGGGTATTCCCCCTTGTTCTCTCTCTCTTCTTTTGGGTACTGTGTTCTGCAAGAGAGGCTTTGAGTGGCAATCATGTTTGGTCTATCGACTACTTTTAGCATGCTTCTCCCACCCTGGGAGGGCCCTCACAACACCCTTCATTTGGTACTCTCTTCTCTATCTGAGCTTCCTTTTCACCTGGAGCCTGTGGCTGCCCTTCCATTCATGGAGCAAAATTCCTGGTACTAATCTCAGCCATTCCTGGGTGTTAGTCTCCCTTTTTGTTGCTTTATGTTCCCCAGATGAATGCAATCTTTCTGTGTCTATCCCGCTCTTTCTGACTCATTTCGCTTAACATGATACTTTCCATGTAGTACCACTTGTTACATAATTATTTTTAAAAAATTATTTATACATCAAAATTATGGGGACGGGGCCAGAACAACAGTACAGCAAGCTGGGCATTTGCTTTGCATGTGGCTGACCCGGGTTTGATCCCTGGCACTCCTGACCACCACCAGGCGTGATTCCTCAGCCAGGAGCACCACAGAACATGGCCCCCAAACCAGAAACTAGAAAAAAATTGTGGGGACAGAGAGATAGTACATGTCCTGCATGCAACTAAGCCTGGTTCAACCCCCACCCCCCACCCCAAGCACTGCCAGGTGCAACCCTGGGGACCCTGAGCACCATCAGGGTGACCGGGTAACCCCCACACCTCAGGACCCATATCCTCGGGCTCTTGCCTTGAACCCCCAGTCTGGTGGGCTGAGTGTTGCCCCTCCCCAAGTAATCACTAATACAACCTTGTGAGACATTCTTATGTAAGTTATCGTCATTATTTAAAATTTCTGACAGTTCAACAGAACTATTTATTGGAAAGACAAAAACTATTTATAGGAAAGACAGATCCCGAAAATTTACTGTGTGCTTAAAAATTACTTAAAAAAAAACTTTCAATGTTGGGATCTGAATCTGTCTTCTTCCATCTTAAACTAGAAATTCTCCTTGGTAATAACTTTCCCCACCCTGGGCAGGGGAGCCCCCCTCAAGCACACATTCACTCAGACCCCCTGAGTGGCTGTTCCTCCCACAGAGCCAGAGCTCTGGGGAGATGGCGAGACTGCTGGTGAGGTGGCAGTTATTCTAAGGGCAAGAGGACATGGCCTGGGTTAGAGAGCTGAGGGGTGATGGCTGAGCCCCTCCCCCACCCTGCACCCATCACTATGGCAGGACAGAGTGAACCATGAGGACAAATGGACAGACTTAGTGACCCAGACAGACGAGCCGTAGGTCCGCTCTTATCCTTGCTTGATCTTAGCTCTGCTTCTAGGAACTCGGGTGGGGTGCAGGGTTTAGACTGGGACACGTGGGGGTGGGTTGGTGGAACCTCTGAGCCCCGCTCAGGTTAAGGAAGAGCACGAGCCCCTTAGAATGAGCTCCACCTACACCTGGGATGGGCTGTGGCTAGACTCTGGCCTGACCCCCTAGAGACCCCACATCCCATGTGCAGCACCCATGTCCCCCACGCCCTCAAGAGCACCTGGAGTGAGGAAGCCCCCTCTCCTCCTGGAACCCCCATCGAAGCAGGACCACAGGTCAGTCTCCCAGCCGCCCAGACCAGCCCCTAGCCCTCCAGGCCAGCCCCCCACTCTTGCCGCCGGCGCAGGGCCAGTTCCAGCGCCTGCCGCACGCGCCCCGCCTGGTTGAGGACGTTGTAGCGGCTCAGGGCCACCAGCCGCTCAAACTCCTCGGGTGTGTAGGTGAAGTTCGTGGTGCCATAGGGGGTGCTGGCGCCGTCGACGGAAAACTCCCCAAAGGCCCTGTCCTCTGCCGTCTGCCGTTCCACGCCTGCGGGCAGGAGGCGGAGCGTCAGGTAGGGCTCTGGGAGCTGAAGCCCCCCCATTCCCACCCCACTTCCCAGTGGCCCGCGCCCCAGCTCCGGGCGCAGAGGGGCAGGATGCCCGAGAGGGGCCCTGCAGAACGCGCGCGCGCTTTGCCACATCCAGGGGTCCAGTCGCATCAGCACCCCGCTTCCACCCCGGGGCTATCCCTCGCCTGGGGACCGGTGTGTGCGGAAGGTCCTGTTGACCAGCGGGAAGTGCAGCACGATGGGCGAGCGGGGGTCCTCGGCCTCAGCGAAGAGGTAGCACTCCTGCGGCTCCTCCAAATCCTCGGGCCGCACCTGGATCCGCGGGAAGGGGATGCCCCGCTCCCGGCAGTACCTCTCCGTCACCTGCAACACCTGGGAGGGAGGGAAGCTCCTGACCCTGGGCACGCCCCTTCCCCCTGCCTGGACCCCACGGAGCTGAGCAGCATCCTCAGACGCTTCTGCCGCGTCCGCTTTGCTGGCTCTGCTGTGGCCAGATGGTGGGGACTTCCGGGAACCGCACCCCCTCCAGGCTTGAGCAGCCGGCCAGAGAGCAGGGTCCTTCCTAGAACACCCCTGAGCGCCCCCTTTTGGGCCCTTCTCTCCACTCCCACCTTCCCACCTGCACCTCCTCCGGAGGGTAGCGTTTTTTTTGAGGGGGCCCAGCAGCTACCAGCACGCTCACTGACAGGTTGGACCCAGGTCTTCCATAAGGGGTGATCCCCCAAAGACCCAGCCTGGTCTCCTGATTCCGTCACCTTACCTCAAAAGGGCTGGACAGGGCGTAGTCAAAGGACAGGATGAGGTCCACGGCCCTGTGCGGGGACAGGCACAGCGGGAAGGGGGAGTTGATGGCCAGGCCTGCGTCCACCAGCTTCAGGCAGTCCCACATGGGTGTGAGCTCATTGGGCTTGGAATCCAGATGATTCTCTGCGTGGAGAACAGCTGCTGCTTGGTAGCAGTTTTCCCTATTCTGCACCCTTCTGCCCTGGGAGTCCCCCTTGTCCCACCCCAGTCCCTGACCCCACAAGGTCTCCCGCCCCAGCCCCAAGCAGCAGGGGCTACACCCCAACACCAGGCCCCAGCCAAGAATTCAGGCAGCAGCAGAAGCCCGGCTGCAGAGGGACCCACTTTTCCAGGCCAGGAACTCCCTGCTGGTCTCGTAGCTGCGGTGCAGGCCCAGGCCTCGGAGGAAGTTGGGCTTCTGGTCCGCCGAGAAACGTCTCTGGCGGAGGTTCTGCAGAACCTGGGAGAAGGGTGCCTGCGGGGCGATGACTCCCACGGTGGCGTTCCCAACATCCTCTGCAGGGAGGCGGGAGGTGAAGTGGTCTCCTTTTGCTCTGCAGCCCCCCTGTTCCCCATCACTGCATCTATCCTGCCACCCCCCCGCACCTGCCCAAGCCCAGGCCTTTCTAAGTTTCAACAACTTTCTCTCCCCAGACCCAAGCTGTGAAAGTTACCTGGGAGCTTGTGTCAACTACATTGTTTTCCTTAATTTGCTTGGTTCTTTTTGAGCCACACCTGGAGGCACTCAGGGCTACTCCTGATTTTGTGCTCAGGGGTTGCACTTGGTGGAGCTCAGGGATCATCTGCAGCCCATTCATCCAAGTCAGCTACACACATGGAAAGTGCCTTCACCTCTATCCTATTGTGGAGTTTGGGTCACACCCACAGTCACCCCTACTGGCGAATTTTCACCCTATTGGTGCCAGGGATCAAACCTGGCTTCCTGGGGCTGGAGCGATAGCACAGCAGGTAGGGCATTTGTCTTGCACATGACTGATCCGGGTTCGATTCCCAGCATCCCGTATGTTCCCCCGAGCACTGCCAGGAGTAATTCCTGAGTGCAGAGCCAGGAGTAACCCCTGTACATCGTTTGGTGTCACTCAAAAAGAAAAAAAAACTGGCCTCCTGTGTGCAAAGCCTACGCTCAGCACTTTGAGCATGGCCAGCTCCTCCCCACCCCTTTGAGCAGAAAGTGGGAGCCACAACTTCCCATTTCAGCCCCTCTGGGGGCTGCACATGCACAGGCCCCTGGTGCCATGGTGAGCAGGGCCACTCCTGCCTATTTAGGGGACAGCTGCTAAGGGCGAAAAGCCAGGGTGGGACAAGTATGGCGGCGCCTACAGGGAAAGTTGAATGTGGGAACCTCTCACATGGCCCGGCACATAGCAGGGAGCTCAGAACCCTGTTCTGAGCAGTGGACAGAGCTCAACCAGCTGTCCAGCAGGCCAGCGCTGGGCTGACCTAATGGAGCTCCAAGCTCCATTCAAGTAGAGAATTAAGGTGTGACCCTGGGGCATTCACTAGGCTCCTCAGGCCCTCCTGGATGAGCTCCCAGCTCCCCTCACCCCCAGGTACCACCTCTACTAACTCCTGAACCCCCAGAGACCCTAAAGGAGAAGCTGAGACTTCCCTGAGCCCAGTGGAATCTCCACCCCCACCACTATTCACGCTCCACCACTGCTCTTACTAGAGAAGACACGTGACAGGGACCAGGGTGGCACCCCTCACCTGGGTTATCCACAGAGCCTCTCTGCTGCCCATCCAGGAAGATGCGGTTGTTTGGCTTCAGGAAGACCTCGCAGATCTCCTCCAGGTTGGCAGCAAAGGCGCTGCCCCAAATCCCTGACACAGAGAGGCAAGGCCAGGCTTTCACTGCTCTGCCATCCAAACTCTGGGCCCTGCCCGAGCCCTGCCCTCCTGCCTGCACTCACCCTGCAGGTAGCAGATGCGGGGTTCAGGCCGTGGCTGCAGCAGTCGGCCCATGAAGAACTCGGAGCCAAAGAGTTCCGTGGGGATATAGGCCCCGTACTTAGGGAAGCCGACCTCATGGGGGGTGAATTCACACCATTCTGGGGGTCCAGAGTGAAGGGAATATCACCTGGGCTGCCCAATGGAACCCCAGCTTCCCCCCTGCCCTGGCACCTGAGTAGGTGCCCTTGTCTGGCCAAGAGCAGGAAAAGCAGCCACAAGGCTGCCAGATGCCTCCAGTGCTTCCCAGCCTGCCCTCATCACAACTGCCTCCACCTCCACCTGCCACCACCTCCACCTTGTCTGCCACCACAGGCTTCTGTACCCTGCCCCTCCCCTACACAAACCGGCACCTGCAAAATCCTCCCCGCTGCGCTTGCTGTGGACGTTGATGCCAGCATAGATGGGGTACGGGTTCTGGCCCTGGATTACAGCCTTCTGTTGGTCAGACAGCTTGGCAGGGTTTTCCTGGGCAAGAAAGAAGCTCTGTGGAGTTCCCTTTCCACACTCACCTGGGGTTAGCCTTGCAGGTGTGGCCATAAGAGAATTTGCTCCTGTGACAGTGCTCTAAGAGACAGGACTCAGGTTGCAGCAGGTGAAGGCCACTATGTGCTCTGTGCAGTTCTGGAGTCTCTGGGAACAACTTTATCCTTCTTCTGGGAATGGGAAAGTCAGCGAGCTATTTTTTTTCCAGGGGTGGGGCACACCCAGCGATGCTCAGGGGCTATTTCTGACTCTGCACTCAGGAACCACTCCTGGCGGTGCTTGGGGAACCATGTAGGGTGCGGGGATCAAACTATGGTCAGCTGCATTCAAGGCAAACCTCCTGCCTGCTGTACTGTCACTTCAGCCCCAGCGACCCATTTTTAAAAGAAGTCATCGGGTTGCCAGGCAGCTAACCCAAGGAGCTGGAGTTCCAGCTCTGGCATTGCGTGGTCTCCAAAGCGTTGCTGGGCCTATCAACATTGTACTGTCCTGCTTTGAACAATTGGCCCCAACTAGGCTTAGTATCTTTGTGGGTCCACAGAGAAAAACTGGAAATAAAGGGGTCGTTTCTTTACAAATAGAATCACTAGAACACACGGGGTCCTTAGAAATGAGAAATCAGCTGAGCTATAGATCTGCAAGGAGAGAGCCCCGCCTCTTGGGGCTCCCATAGCCTCCAGTCCTGCAGCTCTAGCAGTGGCCACCAGGCGGCGGGATATAGTCGCAAATGAACTGGAGCGCTGATCCCGAGTTACAGGTAGGAAGCACCGGGACGCGCAGCACACACGTCTTGCAGAGGCTCTACCCCTGGCCAGCCAAGACCGCATTTCTGAGGCCGGGCCCGAGTGTTTTTTGAAAAGCTCTGCTTGTGATTGTAACGTGCAGCATGAACTGAGAAATGCAGGTAGCCTCCCCCGCGGTGTTCAGAGGCTGGAATAAGGAAGGCGACCAGCGCCTCACCTGGCCCCTTGCAGTGACCAGAGAACTCAGGCATAAAAGGCAGCTTTGAAAGTCCGCGGTGCCCGCAGGAGGGAAGGCGGGACACGTGATGGCGGGCGGGGCTAGAGGAGGGTCGCGTTTCCGTCTTTCCTCCTCATCCTTACCTTCTGGTGCAGGAAGTACTCGATGAGGAGACCCCAGAGGTCGACAAGGGAGATGCCTTGGCTTCCGTTATTTGCGCTCAGCACTTCCTGGGCGTAGTACTGCAGCTGCTCTGTAGACAAGGCCCCTGTCTTACTGCTGCAGACCCGGGCCCGGGCATGCTCGATGGGTCCCTGCAGGGCCCCCTGCGACCAGGCTGGGTCCTTGTAGAGGGTAGAGATGCACCTGAGTAGAGGGAAGTTGTGTGTCAGGGGTGGGAGGCACGGACACTCCCTCCCCAATACTTGCTCCCCCCACCCAGGCAGCCCTTTCTGCCCCTCCTCCTCATCCCCCTGGGAGCAGAAACCCAACTCCTTCTACTTCCCCAACTCCTCCACTCCTCCCCCCTCTCCCCCCCCCCCCCCGTGGTGCTCCTGCCCTTCCAGGGCTCTGTGCCCACCCACCCCACTCCCCGTCCTTACCAGGTAGACCCAGAGACCCCGCCCAGGTAGGTGACCGTGTCCAGGACGCCCAGCTCCTGCAGGCCTGCCAGGCTGCCATAGAGGGCTGACATGGCACGGGCCCCACCTCCGGACCCCAGGACTGCCACCACGGGCACCTGGGGACAATAATCGCAATGGTGACAACTACCAGCACAGACATTGAGACAGTCAGGTTGAACCTGAGCTAAGGGCCTTCCAGGGACCATGTCATGAAATCCTCAAAGCAACCTGTGAGACCCTCCCCAGTCTACAGACGTGATGGTGGTACTTGGGGGGAGTGAGAGACTGGGGTGGGGGGGCTGAAGGAGGAAGTGGGAGAGCAAGCAAACCAGCAAGACCCCTGCCACATGGACACCCTGGACATAGGACGTGCTGGAGGATGCCCTGCATTCTAAGGTGCTAAGGCAGGTGCCCGCTTTCTCTGCGTGGCATTGCCCTGTGCGAGGCGGGTGTTCCCTGCACTCCTAGGAGACACCCGGGTCTCTCCCCACACTTGTTCCAGTCAGTGCCACTCTAAGGTGTAAAAATGGCCTTCTAGGGAGTGTGGACGCTGTCCCCTCGCTGAGAAGCTTGGAGCTGCAGTGACAAAGACCAGTGTTGGGACAGCTGGACCTGCCCAGCCCCATTTACCTGCCCCGTATATTTTCGAAAGCTATTACAAATGAAAGCATGACAACTAATAATAGCAAAGCAACAACTGATCTTCTCAATTCCTGATGTGCTTAGTTGATACTCAAGCAACTTGGAAGATAAGATAGGGTAATGGGGCGGCATAAGTCCCGCATGGGACCTGCTCAGGACCAGCAGTGTCCCCCTGCCCCCTGCCCCGGAAGCTCTCGAGTTGCTTAGCTTTTCCAGAAGGTTTGTCTCAGAACATTTGGACCTCAACCTTTCTGTGCACTTTTGATCTCTTGTCTTGGAAAAGACGCTCCAGGCGGTGGTTCACCCCTCTGGGTACTGGACAAGACCAAGCTGGGGGAACAGGGCCTGCGCCCCTCTTCCCACCCACAGGCTTGGCTCCTGAGCGCACACCAATGTCCGCTCCCCCAGGGGCCCCTCCCCTAGTCCTCCGCCAGTGCTGGAACCCCGGGGGAGTTCCATTTGCATATCCCTGCTATCACTATTTCACCCACTATAACCTCCAGAAGCAGGGGTGCCCGGACACGGAGAACGTGACTCTCAGCCGTGTGAGGTCAGCAGGGGAGCATGACTCAGAGAGGGTGGGGAAGAGATGAAGTCCCCCCACCCGCCATGTGCCGCTGCCCGACTGCATTGAGGAAAGGCCTATGGGGGGGGTCTCATCTGCAGGGCAGAAAGGAACTCTGCAGAAACCAGCCTGGACACCTCAGCCTTGAACTTCTGGTCTCTATGCCCAGCTCTGCAGCCTCCAGCATGGCAGACTCCCCTGATTATGCCCATCGGCTTGGGCCTGCTTCGACCTCCCCCTTCCTCCTCCAGCCTCCCTCAGTCTTCCCCGAGGCGGGCTGCTGCGCCCCTACCTTACCTGGGCCTGGTCAGGAGCACGGCTCAGTCCCAGCACGCTCTGCAGGGCCGTGGACACAACTGACTTCCTCTTGTCCAGAAACTGCTTCTCCCCGTCGCTGAGGTCAAAACCGAGGCGCACATCCAGGTCTCCAGAGCTGCGGGGGTTGAGGGGTGACTGGTGGAGAAGAGCCTTAGGACAAATGCATCTCTGTAGGGTCCCACTTGCCCTCCACGGAGCCCCTGAGAAAGACTGTCCCCAGCAGAGCCAGAAGGGGAAGACCCCCCTCCTCACCCCACTGAGCCGTGCAGGCAGGTGGGCCCCCATGGGGTCCAGCCCGGGAGCCATGTCCTGCAGCGCTCCTCACCTCATCTCTGCCTTCACGCGCAGGGTCACCTCCTGGTCCTGAAAGAGACGAGCCCCCGCACTGAGCGGATGCAGTGGGGTCTCCCTCCCGCGGGGCCCTATCCCCTACCTGACACCCCCAATTCCTCTGGGAACTCTGACCCAGCCTGACCCCCAGTCCCCCACACAGGCCCTTCCCCAGGCCTCTCTTGAAGGTCACGGAGGGCCCTTGGGTACCCCTTACCTTCCCCAGGGCCACCGTCTGGCGCTGCTCACAGCCCAGAGGCACAGAGGACAGCGGGAGTGGCCCCTCACCCAGCTTGCTGGTCTGGGTCTCCAGCTCCCCGCTCAGGCCGCTCTGCAGGGAAAGAAACACCCCAAGTGGGGGGACCCAGGCCCCCCCCCCAGGCAAGATGGCCACCAGCTGCTCCGCCCCTGCCTGGTCCTGGCTCATGCCCTCACCTGCAGGACCTGGAGCTTCTCCTCCAGAGCCACCTCCAGCCTGGGGCTGACCACAGGGTTCATGTGGAAGCAGAAGGTGGTGGGGAGACCCCTGTCCACGGTGGGCTGCAGGGCCAAGCGCTGTGGCTTCTCGGGGGCCCCAGGCACGGACACCAGAACATACCTGGATCCTGCAGGTGGGGTGTGAGTGATCAGGTGGGGCGGGGGGGGGGGGGGGCGGCGGCAGGTGTGCAGCTCCACCCCTCCCGCTCTACTCTTAAGAAATATCCACATGATACCCACGCACCCTCTGGTACCATGAGCCACAGGGATGGCTAGTGAGGGTCCCATAACCCACCCTGATCATAATGGGGACCATACGAAATGTTCAATAACTTGGGATTGGGCGGGGAAGAAGGTCCCTGCCTGGAGCCTAGGGGTTGATCACCTTGAAATAAGATTACTAAGCCTTCAGAATAGACCACTGCCAGCTGTGCTCGAAGCATCGTACACGGTTACACTGACACCCACTTTGGAACTGGGAGCCCCAACTCAGGGGTCCCTGGGCAAGGTCCATGCTCGCTGTCCTGGAGGAGGTTTGCAGCTGCGGGTGGAGGGTGGGGGAGAAGCACAAAGGGCCACAGGGGCTTCCTGCTAGCAGAGGGTTTGCTGAGGGGATCCAAGAAGTGGGTTTGTGGGGACAGAGAATAGAGGGGCTCCTGGCAGCCTCCTGGGAAAGAGGGAGACCCTCCGCGGGCTCAGGCAGAGGGAACCGCATACCCGACATTGGGGTCACCACACTGACCCCCTGACCCGCAGACCAACAGAGATAGACCTGCACAGGCACACGTGCTTCCTGGCGACCACCAGCACCACCACCACCCCCCCCCCCGCCCCCCCGCCCTGAATCCCGTAGCCTGAGTGGTGGGGACTTGAGAGAGTTTCTCCTTTGGCTCCATCTCAGGAATTCAGAGGAATGACTGTGCCTAATTCACACAAATTCCAGATAAGCCTTGTACAAAGCTTAGCACAGCCTCACTCACACTTGGTGCCAAATGCTGTAGGGGGTGGTTACTGGGTGGGGGGATGGGGGGATGGGAGTCATAACCCTGCCCCTCTCATAGCCTTACCCCCAGGGGGTGCTCTATGCCACTGACTCCCTCAGCTCAGCGGAGGGATGGCACCTCTCCAGCCCACCCCCAGCGTTATGGGGGCCCTTATGGCTCATTTAGGCCACACAAGTCAGTGAATGCACAGGCTTGACAATGCCCTGTGGGGGTCTCTCATTTGCCTCCACCGCTGCCCTGGCGACGTGCCCGGGTTGATGGGCACAGGAGATGAGTGAGGGGTTTTGGCTACTGCCTGAGGCTCAGTGGACGGCCAAGCCCAGATGACCAAGGGAATGCAGGCGGGCGAGGTACTCCAGGGCACTTGTTTACACTGAGGTGTGTGGGTACGTTTGCATAGCAGCGGGTCCTGCGATAGGAGTCTCCCTGCTGCCAGCAGCTGCCTGTTCCTCAGGGTCAGCTCTGAGCAGTGCAACATTTGAAAACTTTCTCCTTCTTTTCTTTGTCGAGGGGCCATGCCTGGTGGAGCTGGGTACCCTGTGCTCAGGGGTGGCTCCCAGGGTGCAGCTAGGTCTCTGCTCTCAGGAGAGCAGTCAGGAGACTCACCGTAGTCCCGGGGCAGAGCTGAGTGCGGGCCGTCTTCCTCCAGGCTGCCCTGGACCCGGAGGCAGGGCTGTGCCTGCAGAGGGCAGAGACCAGTTTGGGGGTACAGTCTGGGGTTCAGGTCACAACCTCCCCAGCCAGGGCTTGTGACTTGCGGGCAAGAGCCTCTAATCAGCCCATTCCAGAATGCAGGAAGGAGAAGGGGGGGGCTGTGAGGGGCTCCACCCAGCATCTCAACCAGGCAGTACTGTGTATTGTGTGCTCAGGAGCCTGGTGGTTCCCGCCCTCCTCCCTGGACACGCCTCTCCTTTGAGGGGGGCGACCCCCTTCAGAAGCAGGTGGGCATGCTGGGCTCATGCGTGAGCACCCCAACCGTTTCTTCCTCACTCACCACCAGGACCCCATTGGTGATGACCTCGGAGGCGGGCAGCTGGCTGCAAAGGAGGAGGGTTCATGGCATACCTACCCCCAGGGGTGGCAGCGGCACAAATGTGTGAGCAGCAGACAGTGGGGTGGGGTGGGCCTGGGTGGGCCCAGAGCCGGGCCCCATGCTGGGCTCACCCTGCCCTCACCTTTCCTCCAGAACAAATTCCACCTGCAGCTCCTGTGGCTTCTACAGGAAAGAGTAAGGGAGCAGCCATTTGCACAGAGTCCTAATCACCCCCCCAAACCCCCCACCTTGCCATCCCTGGGATTGTCCCTGTGACCCACCATCCCCACCGGCTTCACAACTCCTCTGAGGCTTGTGGGGGCTTTTTTTGAGGAAAGGTCACACCCAGTGATGGTGGGCTGGAACGATAGCACACTGGGTAGGGCGCTTGCCTTGCACGCGGCTGACCCAGGTTCAATTCCTGCACCCCTCTCGGAGAGCCCGGCAAGCAACAGAGAGTATCTTGCCCTCACAGCAAAGCCTGGCAAGCTACCCGTGATATGCCAAACACAGTAACATCAAGTCTCACAATGGAGACGTTACCTGGGCCCGCTCGAGCAAATCGATGAACAATGGGAGGACAGTGACAGTGACTCGGTGATGCTCAGGTGATACTCCTGGCTCTGCACTCAGGAAGGAATTACTCCTGACAGTGCTCAGGGGACCATATGGGATGCTGGTAATCAAATCCAGGTTGGCTGAGTGCAAGGCAAATGCCCTACCCACTGTGCTATCGCTCCAGCCCCTTGTGATGGCTTCTTATGGGTGCAGGACGACTAACAGCATGAGTAACTCATTTCTTCGGAAATGTGGGTGTGACCTGTTCTAGACTTCGGGGAGGGGTGGGGGGAGTGGCCGGCTGGTGCCCTGAGGTGCCCATTAGCTGGACTCCAGGGGAAGAGGCATTAGAGGGAAAGCTAAGAAGGTTTCGATTGGGAGTGTCCACTTAGCACCTCTCCTGGGCACAGCAGTGGCCCTGCAACATGCCTTGGGGGACTCACCGGGTCCTGGATTCTGAAGGTATATTTGTAGGGTTTCCCTGGACTGAGGATCCCTGGGTCAAAGGACATCTGGAAGATCTGGTCGTTTACCACGATGTCCTTGTCATTGAGGGAGAGCTCCAGGATGTTCTGGGGATGGCAGGCAGGAGGGGCACTGAGCAGGGCAGGAGGGGCTGCTAGAAGGAGCCCCAGGGGCGGCCCAGCCCTGGTCCCCACCTTCACCACGCTCTGCAACCGGAAGTGGAAGGTCTCGTTCCATTCAGGGTTGCTGCAGTTGTACACTGTCCTGGTCTGCATAGTGTCCGGAGATGCTGTGGGCAGTCTCAGCTGCACGAAGCAGTCAGCTTTGGATACTGTGGTGGGATGGGGACTCCTCAGCCTCTAGCTGCTGAGGTTGGGGGAGGCTGGGGAGGGCAGAGGGGTATGGTGTGGAAAGGGGGCAGCCCTTAACTCCAGCCCCTCTACTGAGTGAGAGTTCTGCCAGCGGGCAGATCATATGGTTATGCGGCCTTTGAGGGATCCGAGGAAATCAGGGGTGACAATTTTCCTCCACGGGCAAGTGCAGTTCCACACAGGACACCTCCAGGATATGGTCAAGAGTCCTTGGTCCCCACTGCCTGCCCGGCCTGGGCCTGTGGCCGGTACCTCGTCTTCTTTTCAACCCCTTCACCTCACCCCCATACACATCATCTCTCCAGGCCTGCTGGGGTTGGGTGGTCACAAGCTGAGCCAGAGGGAGAGTGGGATGGGGTCACTCACGCAGGTCCATGCACCGGATGTTTCTGGCCCGCAGCACCTTCACCTGGAGGTCATAATAGGGGTGCACTTCCCCCTGAAACAACAGAGCATGTGGGGCTCAGATGCCGGGAGTTGGCTGGCCCCTCTCTGCTCACTTTCCCTTTTCCCTTGACATGTGGGAGGCTTGGCTGGGTGATCAGCGTGTTGGTGACTAGCCTGCCCCCAGGGTCAGAGTGGCTTCAAGTAGGGGAACTGGATGCACTAAATGGCCTTGGGCAAAGCGACTCTTAATTCTCTCAGCTTGGGTTTCCCTGTCTTTCAAATGGGGATTCTGATGATAATCTCAAAGCCTTATGGTGATTTTTAAATGAGAAACTGTATAAAGTGCCCACAGTTAGGTGCTTGATACACATAGTCATTTTTATTTACGTATTTTGGGTTTGGCTCCATGCTCAGGAGTCTCTCCCAGCAGTGCATGGGGACCACGAAGAGCCAGGGATTGAACCTGGGACCTCCTTCACACGCAAAGTCTGTGCTCTAGTTCATCGACCCACCTCTCCAGCCCTACGCGTACCATTTTTATTCTCCAACTTTGCAGAGCCCCTCCCTCAGATCAGAGTACCCCTGCTGTTCCCACAGAGGAAGAGCTGGAGTAAGCACTCAAGGAAACGAAACCTTGAGAGAAATGCTCGATCCACCCAACCACCAGCTCCAGTAAAGGAATTGATCCCTGAGGAGGCGGCAGGTAGAACTGAAGCCCAGGGCGGTGGCTTCTACTGTCTGGGGAGCTGGGAAGTGGAGAAGGAGGCTGCAGCTTGGACTTGGGGGGATCAGCAGATGATAAGCCTCCTAGGAGACTCCCCAAATCCCAGCAGACCCATATTCTCCCACCTCTTCCCCTGAGGCCTGTGGATGCACAGCCAGGCTTGGCATTCTGGGTAAAAGCCAGAGAGCTTGGGAGGGGGGCCCTCACCCTCTATTCTTCACTGAGAGGAAGGGGGCTTCTCAAATGTTGAGGTCTATTATTGAGGTCTGAGTTTTTTGGGGGGGTTGTGGGTGGGCGATTCATTTAAAAGAAGTGGCAGGGAGATACCTCAACAGGCTAGAGCATAGACTTCACATGTGGAAGGTCTAGTTCTTTTGTTTGTATTTTTGGGCCACACCCAGCGATGTTTAGGGGTCACTCCTGCTCTGCACTCAGGAATCATTCCTGTTGATGCCTGGAGGGACCACAGGGGATGCCGAGGATCAAACCCGGGTTGGCCACACGCAAGACAAATGCTGTTGCCATCTCGGGGAGAGGTCCAACTTTAAGCCTTAGCTCCACAGGATCCCTGAGCAATGTGTTGAAAGCAGCCACTGGGCAGTGACAGATGTGGTTCCTCTCAAAATGATTTTTATTTAATTTTTTAAATTTTTGGGTCACACCTAGCAATGCTCAGGGGTTACTCCTGGCTTTGCACTCAGGAATTACTCCTGGAGGTGCTTGGGGGACCATATGGGTATTGAACCAGGGTTGGCCGTGTGCAAGGCAAATGCCCGATCGCTTTGACACCCTCAAAAGGATTTTTTTAATAAAAGAAAAAGAAATGTCAAGCTCCAATACAGACATTTTTGCAAAGTCCATGCCAAAATGAGCCATTTACTCCAGAGCATTTCCTGCAAACTCCAGGACCCCCAGGAGTGGCCTTTTTCCATTTATTGAGATGGGGATTGGACGACTACCCCTGCAGTGCTCACTGCTCACTCACTCTGGCCTTTGCTCTGGACCATACAGTACAGGGGGCCAAAGGTGGGGCTCCCACATACAAAGCACGGGCTCCAGCCCCCCTCAGCAACCTTTCTGGACCCTTTGAGCCAAGTCTACTCACTCTGGAGCTTACAGGTCAGCACCGAGGAAACTTTCCCGTCTGGGGGAAATGGTAACACTGGTCATAGACCTTCTCATTCCCGATGTGTGTTACCTCCCCCAGATGGTCCCCGCTTTCATTACGTTTACCCTCTTTCTGGCTAAAGGAGACACTGATTGAGGGGGGCAGATGATGGGCTGAGAGATGGAACCCAGGCTGGATCCCTGACTCCCAGAGCTGATGGAGCCAGAGGCACACATGGAAATAACCTTCTGTGGTAAGTGGTTAAGTGCCGTGAGCACAGGCTCCTGTGATACAATTTTTTTCCTTTTTTGTAGGTGCTGCCCCAGTGCTCAGGAGACCATGCAGGTAGCAAACCTGGGGCTTCGCACAGGCTCATGTGCATGTGCTCTGCTACCTAAAGCTTCTCAGAGCGCGTCTGCCTGGGGATGGTTGGCTGCCAACTCATGAATCATTTCAGAGAGCCAAGCAGGTAGATCTTCACAATTAACAGGGCATTAACAATTATTTTACACTCATTAAGCCCCACCAGGTTGTCTGGAGCAAACGAGTCCCACCCCAAATCAGAACTCAATGCCAGGGCGGGAACCCTAGGCTTCCAGCCCCCCCCAGCCACCTCCCCAGGAAAGAACAAGTACTTTACCCTCCACTGCCTGCTCTGAAGTCCCTTCTTCTCTGTCTTCTGCATCAGCACTGCCCCCAGGAGGGGCAGACTCTGGTCTGCCAGCCACCTCGGCCAGCCCACCCAGAGCATGGCTGGCCACGGCTCAGTTCCCGTCAGGAAGTCCTGCCTGCTCTCTTCCTCTGCTCCGAGCCACTCACACTTCACTGCTGGCTCAGGTCTGACTGGTAGCACCGGGGTTTGGAAGGTGGGGCTGGCTGCCGAGCTAGGGACTCGGGGCAGGTGGCCTGCTGGCGCTGGGGGTGGAGTTTCACTTGCTCCGGGAAGTGACTATAGCCCTGTTTCGGCAGTAAGAGCCCCACAGGACCCGGAACACTGGTCCCCACACCCAGCCCTGATTATCATCAGCCTGCTGATGAAACAGATACCTGCACCTCATGCACGGGGTGAAGGTAGAACTGGAATATATATATATATATATATAGATAGATAGATAGATAGATAGCACAGCGGTTGGGCGTTTGCCTTGCACGCAGCCAACATGGCCTACCCGAGTTCGATTCTTCCGCCCCTCTCGGAGAGCCCCGCAAGCTACCGAGAGTATCTCGCCCACAAGGCAGAGCCTGGCAAGCTCCCCGTGACGTATTCGATATGCCAATCACAGTAACAACAAAGTCTCCAATGGAGACATTACTGGGCCCGCTCGAGCAAATCGATGATCAACGGGAGGGCCTTTATTTTATTATATATATATATATATATATTTGCTTTTTGGGTCACACCCGGCGATGCACAGGGGTTCCTCCTGGCTCTGCACTCAGGAATTACTCCTGGCCATGCTCAGGAGACCATAAGGGATGCTGGGAATTGAACCCAGGTTGGCCATGTGCAAGGCAAACGCCCTACCCACTGTGCTATCGCTCCAGGCCCTGGAATATTTCTTTAGAATTCCAACCTTCCAGACAGTGCTGATACTGCAGGCCCACGAACAGCCGCAGCCAGAAGGCTACTCTGGAACTGTCTCCCTGGCTTTCTATTGTGAGCCTAAAATCTCTTGTCTCCTCCCCCACCGACACCCCTGGCCGAGTGCAAACAGAATCATGGAAATCTTCCGAGTTTCAGCTGCATTCAAAGGTGTCTTGAAACCCTTTGTTTTCTGAAGCAAGCATGGCTTTAGCCTGGTGAGAATAAGAACTAGGTGAAGTTTGGGAGGTGTGTGTACATTTTCAAGAAACCCATAGGCTCAGGGCTTCCTGGGGCTCTCCCCAGACCCCTTCCTCGGAAGGGGAGATACCCGGGTGATCTAGCACAGCAGAGGGATTCGCCCAGTGGAGTAGACCAGGCCATAAGCAGCCTTGCCCTGCGGTGGTCTGTGATGCTCACTCCTCTGTGGACAGACCACATAGGGGCTGCGTGGAAGCATCTGTGAAGGAAGGGGCTGTGAGTTGATGAGGCGTGGAGAGATGGGATTTCTTTTCCTCAGTCCCCCCCCCCCGCCCACCCCCAGTCATCTCTCCTCTCCTCCCCAAGCCCAGTGGAGAAACAGCCTTCCCGAAGAGGTGACTTCATGGTGACCCTGAGGGCAAGCTCAGACTTGACACTACCGGGACAAAAGGGGACGTAAATGCTGCTGGTCAGGTTCCAAGGGGGAAGGTCTGTTTCTGTTTAATTTGAAACAATGAAGCCCGGACCCACCCTCTGCGGCCTAACAGGCCAGTCACCCCTTGGGTGACCCTCGCCCCCAGCAACCTGCAGGGGAGAGACAGAGCAGGCTGGGGACAGTGGCTGTACCCTGAAGATGTACTTTCTGGATTGACTCAACACCTGCTGAAAGTCCTCTGCCCAGGCCTCTTGTTTTTCTTTTTCTTTTTTTTTCTTTTTTTGGCTTTTTGGGTTACACCTGGCAATGCACAGGGGTTACTCCTGGCTCTGCACTCAGGAATTACCCCTGGCAGTGCTCAGGGGACCATATAGGATGACGGGAATCGAACCCAGGTTGGCCGCATGCAAGGTAAATGCCCTACTCTCTGTGCTATTGCTCCAGCCCCTAATGGTTTTTATTTATTTAGTTTTGGCTTTTTGGGCCTCGCCTGGTGATGCTCAGGGAGGTGCTCAGGAGACCACATGGGATGCCGGGTCAGCCACATGCAAGGCAAATGCCATCCCTGCTGTACTATCGCTCCAGGCCCTCCTAATGGTTTCTATCCCCAGACGAGAGGCTGGATGGTCAATGTTGACTTGAGAGGGACATGGAAGGACCCTGAAACATTTCTTCATTTCTTCCCTATACCTGAGCCCTATCAAACCTCCCAATTCTGCCTTTTATGGTTCTTCCATTCACTTGGAGCTGCAGAAAGAGGGCCGAGGATATAAGTGGATCAACATGGAAAGTATGTTAAGTGAAATGAGTCAGAAAGAAAGGGCATAGAAAGATTGCACTCATCTGTGGAACATAAAGTAACAGAATGGGAGACTAACACCCAAGAGTAGTAGAGATAAGGACGAGGAGGTCTGCTCCACAGCTTGGAAACTGGCCTCACATGCTGGGGAGAAAAGGCAGCTCAGATAGAGAAGGGAACACCAAGTAAAGGATGTTGGGAAGACCCATTCAGGTTCAAAGATGTGTGCCCAAAGTAGACTATAGACCGAACACGATGACCGCTCAATACCTCTATTGCAAACCACAATATCCAAAAGGAGAGAGAATAAAAGGGAATGCTCTGCCGCTGAGGCAGGGTGGGGTGGTGGGGGATGGGGTGGGGGTGGTCGGGAGGGATGCTGGGAACATTGGTGGGGGAGAATGGGCACTGGTGGAGGGATGGGTAAACGATCATTGTATGATTGTAATGCAAACACGAAAGTTCGTAAGTTTATAACTGTATCCCATGGTGATTCACTAAATAAATAAATAAATAAATAAATAAATGAGGGCCAAGGGCCCACTATCCGGAAGGGGAATCATTCAGAGGGCAATGCACAATGCTCTAAAGTCGAGCTGGCACACTGGCCGCATGGGTGGGCAGAAGAGACATTATGTAGAGTTGGTTCCTTACTTAATGTTTATCGTGAGAGTTTCATCCATCCTCAGCAAGGCGTTTCCCATCTCTGGCCTCTGCCATTCATTCCTCCACAGAGGACAAAGAGAAAGTGGGGAAAGAGCTCTGGGAAAGCTCGTGTGTTCCAGGAGAGAAGAATATGCGTGTTCTTTATTCCACAACACCTGGGTCCCGGCCATGGGGGTGTACATGCACACAGGCATGCGGGCACACACAGCAGGCACAGTTCCTGCAGCCCAGAGGGGAGCCAGCCAGAGGTGGTTGCTGCAAGTCCTGGCGGAAGTGGATCTCAGCTGGTGCACACAGGGCAGAGGGTGGTAGGGTTCCTGGTAGCTGTGGCTGGTGAGCTGCAGCCTAACCCCAGCAGTCTTCGTCTCTAGCCCCTCATGCCCACTTGTACCCTTCACTAAGAGTGGGCTGGAAGGAGGCTCATCCACCCAACACCAGTGGTGGATTTATAATATAGGCCCTGAGTTTGCAAAGCCCTGGGAGAACCTGGTGCAGGCCGTGCTCCTCCCTACCATGCCCGGCCTGGGCACCTGGAGGCACACCTGAAACACCCACCTACCCCTGTCTCAGCGCTGAGTCATTTCCTGAATCCAGGTGCTACTCTCCCGTGTCCCCCAGCACCTTCCCAGCACACCTGATGCCATCTCACCGATGGTTCCTGATCCGACAATCCCACATAGTGCAGAGATTCACTCACAGACAACAGCCCAGTGTGACCCCCACGTCCCAGGCCCTTAGTCCCTACACACAGAACTGAGGCTGACGGCTGGGCCACACTGCGGGGGAAGGTGGAAAGGACAAAAGTGCCCAGCTATATGAGTATGCCACCCCAACGGGCCTGAGGATGCCGCCAACCCAAGCTTCAGGGTACAGAGTGTTGAGTTAAGGAGGTGAAGTACCGCAGACTGGTCAGGGACCAACGACCTCTTGAAACAAAGACGTGCTCGCTTCTCATTTTACCTTAATTACGTTATTCCCAAGTCAGGAAAATGGGAGAGAAAGCCTGGGTGGAACAGTGAGGTGAGAGGGCAAATAAAAAAATAAATAGGACGAGAAGAACAAATGCATGTGGGCTGGGGCAGGGGGGCTATGGGGGGGGACGGGTTTGGGGTAGTGGGGGGAGATGTCCAGGGCACACAGGGTCCAACTGCGGTGGGGAAATGAGCATCAGGACAAACTGTTTGGCCTGAATCACGCTGGCACTGCGCTAAGGGTCCTTGTGACGCCCTGCAGTTCCCTTGATAGAAAACTCTGAATAACCACCTGGGGATCACACACGTGAGTGTCCCTGCTCTGGTGATCACTATGCCAAGGCAAGACGGTGTCTGTCTCCGTGCTCCTGTCCGAGCGAGCAGGCTCTCTGGAAACGCCAGCCACAGCGTGGTGTACGAGGTGAAATGAGTCTCTCCTCTTCTAGGAAGAAGCTGGCCATGCCAGGTCATGAGTCTGATGGGGTCAGAGGTGCTCCGGGGCCCAAGGTGGCCAGCGGCGTCCAAATGGGGAGACACGGCCTGATGGTGGTGGCGCCCTGTGCCTGGGGCCGGGTGCCCCTTCCCCTCTCCGGGAGCTGAGCTGTCTGTCCGCAGCTGTGTTGCGGCCGCTCAGGTGTCAGCCGGGTTCACTTCTTTGGAACAGAAGTAGTGCACCACCACGCCGTTGGGGTACCTTGCAAACGCGCTGCAGGGAGGAAGGTGATGCAGGATGAGGAATCAGCACCTTTTCCAGGAGAGCTCTGGGGCAGCCCACCCTGACCCTTGCAGCGAGGAGCTCTGGCCTCCATGGCCACCTTCCATCCAAGAGTTGAACCGCGGGATGAGGACTACGCTGTCTGAGGGTGTGGGGATATCTGTTTTATGTCAGTAATATGGAAGTACAGGGACTGATGGGGCAGGCCTCAGGACCATGCAGGGAAAGTCTGCCCAAGGGATTCTGCAAGTTTAAAGTCTAAAGCAAAGGCTCCTTCCAGCCCCGTGAGGAAAAAGACCTCACTCTGACCGGAAGGAAAGGGAATCAACGGGCAGACTAGAAGTGACAGGAGGACAGTGATGAAGGACCTCAGGCACTTTGGAGGTGGTGTTGTGCAAAAACTTTGTACAGGGGCTGGAGTGATAGCACAGCGGCCAACTTGGGTTCGATTCCCAGCATCTCATATGGTCCTCCGAGCACTGCCAGGAGTTAATTCCTGAGTGCGGAGCCAGGAGTTGTAACCCCTGTGTATTGCCGGGTGTGACCCCCCCCAAAAAAACTAACAAACCCCAAACAACAACAACAAGAACAATAACAAAACACCCAAAAAAATCACCTTTGTACATCAAAGCCATAAACATTAATGATAGTGCAACCACATCACCTGTATTATAGTTGAAAAAGAACAAAAAAGAACCTTTAAACCAAAAACAGAAAACCCAGCATGAAGGGGCCAGGACGGGATTTGGTGGTAGAGCACAGGCCTTGCATGTTGTAAGGTCCTAAGTTTGATCCCTGATAGCACCAACAAAAAGCAAAGCAAGTAGGATGCGGGTTTGGGATTTTATACAAGACACGAGGCCACAGGTAGAAAAGCTCTTTTCCACAGGGGCCAGGAGGACTGGTCAATGGTTGGGAATCTACCACAAGTGTGTGTGTGGGTGGTAGAGGGTAGGTAAGATAGAGAAGGGACCAGTATGACAATAACAGTTGGAAATGATCACACAGGATAAGAACTAAGTGCTAAAAGTAGGTGAAGGGATATACATGATGATCTTTCAATATCTGAATTGCAAACCACAAAACCCGAAGGAGAAGGGGGGGAAGGGGAAGGGGAGGCGGGAAGAGGGAGAGAGGGAGAGGGAGAAGGAGAAAGGAAGAGGAAGAGAGAGAGAAGTAATGGAGGAGGGAGTTGGGATGGAAGTTGGGGATACTGCTGGTGGGAAATGCACACTGGTGGAAGGATGGGTGTTGGGACACTGTATGATTGAAACCCAATCATGAAACCCAATCTATCTCATGAAAGAAAAGCTCTTTTCCTTCGGAGGTATGTCCTTAAGTCGTTAAAAGATAAGGACTTGGGAACAGGAGGTGCACATAACTCCCACACACCTACTGGCTGCATCCCAATTTCTAATGGCCAGAGGTAAGGTCGGAGTCCACAGGCCCATGTCAGGTCTCTAAGTGCTCCAAACCAGCCCCACCAGCAAACAGGGGCACCCCAACTGGAGGCTGTGCCGGGCAGCAAGTGTGGGAGCAGTGCCCAGCAGCCCGGGGGCTCACCTGTTCCCGATCTTCTTCTTGCACACCATGCAGACCTTCTCCTCTGTGATGATGCACTTCACCTGCTGGTGTAAGATCCGCTCCTCCTGGACCTGCAAGAGCAGAGCAGAGTGGGGAGAAGCCCTGGGGCGTCTCCCACCGGCTTCCGGTTTGCCCACAGAAACACCAGTGGCGAAGTGCTGGGACGGTGACAGTGGGGCCAGAAGCCGAGGCTCTGCCTCCATCTACAGGGGCTCAGTGCTCACTGTTCCACACGCAGGAAACATAAGCATCCCCAGGGTCTGGCAGGCTCATACCCGCAGGAACTCTGCGTGGAGAAGGTTCTTGAGCACTTGATTGAACCGCTTCTTTTGCGCATTTTCTTCCAAGACCTTTTCCAGAAAGATGCGGATGTCATTGATCTGAGTGTTTGCTGGCAGGAGGTTGATGGCCTAGAAGGGAGAGCAGAGATGGGAACGGGGGAAATGTGAGAGAGACTGAAGACCCCTGTCCCATCCTCGCCCCCCTGAGGCGCGCTCTCTCCATGGTGCCTGACCTTGGTGGTGTCCAGCTTGCTGTGGTGCAGCTCGAGGACCTGCAGGGCGGCCTGGAGATTGGCCTGTGGCTCCAGCAGCTCCAGCTTGATTGGCCCCAGGCAGTGAACGCTGGGGGGGGACAGGTACATCCGCAGCAGGGACAGGTACACCTGTGGCACAGGGACAAGCCAGGCACATCAGGCACATGCTCCAAGGACCTCCAATATGACACATCTAAAGAGAAGTTGGCTGGCCAACAGTGGCTGCTGCTGAGGATGCTTAAAATGAATCCTTTGCCACCTTTTGGAAGAGTTTGGTCACAGTCAACTGGCAGTGTTGGAAGCTGAGGGCAGGAATGAATAATCCACTATACATATATTTTTTATAGTTGCTGCTGTTTGTCTGTTTGCTTTTGGTTTTGTTTTGCTTTTTGGGTCACTCCCGGCGATGCTCAGGGGTTACTCCTGGCTCATGCACTCAGGAATTACTCCTGGCGGTGCTCGGGGGACCATATGGGATGCTGGAAATTGAACCTGAGTTGGCCGTGTGCAAGGCAAATGCCCTATCCGCTGTAATATCACTCCAACCCCTGTCTGTTTGCTTTTGGGCCACACCAGCAATGCTCAGTAGTCACTCCTGGCTCTGTGCTCAGGAACTAGTCCTGCTGGTGCTTTTTGGGGGACCATATGGAACTCCAGGGATGGAACCTGAGTCAGCCATATGCAAGACAAATGCCTTCCTTGCTGTACTACTGCTCCGGTTCACCAGGTGCCCTGTTTTCTAAGTATCCTGCCATGACAGACGTGGGTGGCTGCAAGCCTCTCACTTCCTTGGCAGGAAGGATGAACTTAAGACCTTCTGCCTGACTTCTTACTGCTCCCAGCCCCGTGGGCTTCCCAGCCTCAGGTTCCTGAGTGAGAATTCTTGGCTGGGGCTGTCCTGTGCACTCTCCTGTCCTGTGCACTGTCCTGTGTCCTCTCCCTTCCAGGCTCCATTTGGCCCCCCACTCTCACCCAAGACGTGGCAAGGAACCATATCTGCAGATGCTCACAAATCCACAGGCGTTGCAGATAGCACTGGGCAAGGCTTCCCCACACAGGGGATGCCACACCCCGTGGGCTGCTGGAAGTGTTCAGGGGATGGCAGTAGCCTCGGGTGCCATCACGAGCACTGTGTTTGCTTAGAGAAGGTGGAATTCAGGGTGTGGGGGTTTCTGAGAAGGGAGTGTCCTGTTAAGTAAATGCAGGGACCTCTGCTTTATACATGTGCTGGCTGGTCCTTCTCTAAAGGCTGAGCAGGAACTTATCACACAAGCCAGGACTCCTGAGAGACCTGGGATGCTGCTCTCCTAATCACACAGGAAGGGAGCCAGAATTGCCCGCAGCACAGCAGGATGCACAGCCACCTGCTGAATACCCCAAGGCCCTGAGCCAAATAGGTCCATAGTCTAAACAGGCCCTGTTTCAACTTGGCAGTTCAAACCCCATATCACCTGGGGTTGGGGGAGGGGGAGGATAGGACAGTTAACCACAGGCAAGCTCTCTGGGCCAGGGTCACTACTTACATCTTTGCTGCCATCTCTGTTTTGGTCGTAGTGTTTGTGGCAGTACCTGTGGGGGAGAGGGAAGTGAGGGGAGCCCCGAGAGCTCCTCCCAGGGCCTGCGCAGAGGCCAGCTCGCTCCTGCCTCCCCGGGACCTGCTTTCTTAGCCTGTGTGCACAGGGAGACCAGGGGCCACATACTCCTCGGCCATCCGTGTGTCCTTCAGGATGTGCACGTAGATGAAGAGAGCTTGCTCATGCTTCCCCATGCGTCCCAGCAGGAGGGCGCGCTCTTCCAGGAGACCTGTAGTGGGAGGAAAACGGCACCTCACACCATGCCTCAGCCAGTCAGTGGGAGGATGGAGTCTTGTCACCTGAAATTTTTTTTCTTCATTCCCTTCCCCCCCGCCCCTTTCCCCCACTCCACCCCATTTTTTGTTTTTGGTTTTGGGGACATATCCAGTGATGTTCAGGGCATACTCCTGGCTCTGTACTCAAGGGATCACCCCTGGTGGGCCTGGGGTGGCATATGGGGTGCTGGGGATCAAATCTGAGCCAGTCGTGTGCACGGCAAACACCTGCTCTGACCAATGTACAATTTTTTTTTTCATGGAGAAAATTATTAAAGTCCTAAAAAGAGGGGAGGGATGGGCCGTGAAGAGACTACAGCAAATAGCACACTTATCTTACATGAGGCTGACCCAGAGTTCAATGCCCAACACCCTACATTGCCCCCTGAGCACTGCCAGGAGTCATCCCTGAGTTCAAAGCCTTGAGTAAGCCTTGAGCACAGTCAGTATGGCCCCAAAACACAAAAGGGAGAAAGATAAAATAGGAGGCGAGGGGACTATTTCCTATTTTTTTTTTTTGCTTCAGGGCCACACCTAGCAGTGCTGGGGGCTGGGAACTGGAGCGGCGCCTCCTGCTCATGCTGTTGTGGCCTTTGATCTCTCCCCCTTGTTACATCGCTCTTGGTGATGACTTCTGAAATGGGTGAGAAAACTTCCTCGACAGTTATGTGCATGATGGTAGGTGCCTAAACTGCGCCCGGCACCAGCTAAGAAAAACAAATGTGAGCTCCCTGAGCTCCCACATTGCGCATGTTCTATTAGGGTGACAAATTAGGGTGACTACTAAAATTGCTAAACAACGAAGATGGCCAAGAACATGGACGAGAGCAACGAACCAGCTGTGACCTGGTTATAAATGAGCCTTTCACCACAAAGGGTCTCCTCTAGGTTCTGTTCCTAGAATGAGTCTGCGGGAGGCCAAACAGGAGCTTGATGGGTTCTTCCCAGCCCCAACGTTTTTGGGAGTGCTGGGGAACTGAGGCAGAGAGAAAGGCTGGTTTCTGTATTATCACCAGCTAACGCGGCTTCTGACCCTAAGTCAAACACTCACCATCAAAGGGAAAGTCACAGATGAGCCGCCCGGGATCATAGTAGCTGGAAATTTCCAAGAACATAAGCAGCTTCCGGCGGTACTCTCCCAGCTCCCCCTCTTCCTCTCCTGCAGGAACTGGGGTTTTGCCTTTGGAATAAACTGAAATCAGCACAAGAAGACACTGACCAGCAGCAGTCTGGGGTGGCTAAGAAGAACGAATGAAGCTGAGGCCCAAAGATGCCATGTGACCCCCATGAGCAAAACAGTGCTTGCCATGGTCATTTCGGCTGAATTTCTCTCAGTCTACGGTTCTAGCTGGCCCCCAAAGGTCAGCCTGGGGTTACCAACCAAACACAGTTCCAGAGAGAAATGCTCCGGTTGGCAAACTGGTTTGTGTGGGCACAGCAGCCACCCAACTGACAGATGTGTTGCCTGTCCATCTGTCTGTGTCCATCTGTCTGTCCATGTAAGCCATTTCACCCCCATCCTCCACCCCATGCCCAGGGTGGTTCAGATCCCAATGAGAACCCCGAGGTCTCCTGTGTCCTTCGAGGACCCTCTCGCCCTCTGGGCCTGCACAGAAGGATGGGGTCTGCTTCCACTCCCTGGCCAGGCCCCATTACACAGCCCCAGGGCCCCTGCTTCCGTGAGGTACCTGCGGGGAAGGCCAGGAGATACTCCTTCATGAGACTTTGAACCTTCTCACAGTACAGCTGGATCAGGCAGTTGTGAAAACGAGCACCCGTCTCCTCCCAGACATGGATGACATGTTCCTGTGGAAGGTTAGAGGCCCGCCGGGTCACCCAGTCTGCCTCATGTTTTTAAGGTCCCACAGACCCCATCATCCAGGCTGTCCCCTCTTTAAACTGCAACAGTTGCTGAGAGGAGCTCTGCTAAAACCACCAGGGAATTCAGCAGTGCAACCCAGAAACGTCCACTTATTTCTGTGATTTCCAATCTAAACACTTCAATTTTACCCCATAACCCTCCAGATTAGCCTGCCGAGTTAAGAGGAAATCCTGCATTCTGGTACTTCAAGCCTATCTGGGTGACCCCTGATCTCAGAGGAGTGTGGCTGTTCACACGTGGCTTTGCCCTCTCTTCCCTGAACAGCATTCTCTCCCGTGATTGACCAGAATTTAGAAGACAGCAACAAAATGTCAAATTCTCCCCGCTTGGCCTGATGTGTGTCTCTTTCTCAAAGGCAACAGATATAACTTCTGGCCTAACATGTCTGCCAGTCCTGTCTCCCCAGTCCAAACCTGAAACTGCCCAAAACTGCTGCCCAGCTTTGGCGCCTTTCAGTTCAGACCAAAAAATATCTCACCAGGTAAGGAATAGCCAGGCCCTTAAAGTTCTCTACCAAGAAGTTGAGCACTTGGTCTCGTGGCAGACATTCCACCTCTGGGAGGTCTTCAGTGAAGATCTGTGGGAACAAACCTGAGCTCCAGCTCACTGCAGTTTTGGGCACACACAGCCCCCTCACAGGCACACAAACTCTCACACAGCTACACAACCCCCTCACAGGCGCACAGCCCCCTCACAGGCACAGATACCCCCTCACAGCCACACAGTCCCCTCATAGGTACAAACCCCCTCACAGGCACACAAACCCTCTCACAGGCACACAGCCCCCTCACAGGCATGCAAACCCCTTCACACACACAGAGCCCCTCATAGCCATACCCCCTCCTCTCGCAGGTACATAAACCCTTCCCCATAGGCACATGTGTATATGACATGAACTGACTTTTGGCGGGGATGTACAAAAGACCATCTGGAGCTAGTGAAGGTGTAGCAGCTTCAGTCAGGAGTCCTGATACCCACAAGGGCTCTCCCCTGACCACGCTGGGGCTTCACACCAGGATCTCACACCCGCAGAGAAACTGCACAATCTTCCCTGCCCGTCTGGGCGGCCCTGCCACAATGAGAGACTCCAAGGCCTCTGGGACCCACCTTCAGGCCATCCTCTGGAAAGTCCCTCAGCACCCACACGGAGTAGGAAAAGATCAAATTCAGGTTTTCTGTGCCTGGAGGGAAAAGTATGCTGTTGCGTCACGGGAAGCCCAGACTATCCACACGGGCCGGAGGGCAGCTGGACAGGGTGCCCCAGAGTGGCTTCTCAGAGCCCAAAGCTCTCTCCAAGCACCAGCAACCGGGGCCGCTTGGCTCCCCTGGACTGGATGTACGCTGAAAAGCTGGCCAGGGCCACCACTGTGCATCTTTGACCCCAACAGGGGAACACAGGGCAAGACGGGGCTGTAGGGAGATGGAGTGACCCGTTCAAGCCTGGCCCTTCCCACCCGTCCCGCTGCCCTACCCAGGTGCTGCAGGTACTGTACTGTCCGTTCGTGGCCTTTCAGCGGGGAGTTGGCTTTCTTGGACTGGTCCACCAGCACCTGCAGAGCTGCCCGGGAAGCCCAAGAACAGGTCATGAGCCTCTTGAAGAAGGCGCGCCCCCCCACCCCAGGATATTTGTCAGGCCCTGGTCAAGACACCCCAACCACAGCCACCTTTCTCGTGGAGCCCCTTCTTCTCGTACAGGATGATCAGCTCGCTGTACTTGTGAGCCTTCTTCAGCACGTGCTCGCTCTCTTCGATGTGGCAGTGATTGTTCTCCAGGCGCAGCAAAGGAGCCACGAGGGCCACGTTTGTCTGCAGAAGAAGCAGGGGGGGGTTCACTGGAAACTGCTTCTGGGGAACCCACCCCCACCCCTTCCCTCGGCGCAGACCTGTTGGAAGGCCAGGGGTAAAAACTCAAGCCTTTATGAGACTACAGCGTGTGGATCTGACCGTGATCAGGCTATCTCACACCACACACGTGGGTGTTTCTGGCGAGTGGCGGGAGGAAGGTGCAAGCCCCTGGGAGGAAATACCATTCCTGCTCAGCACGCGGCACCAAGCCCGGGGCCCCAGAGCACAAGCCCCCTGGGCCAGTATCTTGCCTTCTCACACTCCCAAGCTCACAGGAACTCATCACTCGACCAGCAGCAGGGACCCCAAAGGGGCCCCTAGATCAGGGGCTGGGGGGCCTGTGGGAGCCAGTACTGGGACAACTCACATGGAGGTAGCACTTGAGCAGGGTGGTGTCAATGATCTGCAGCAGCTTCTTCTTGGATTTGATGGTGGGCGTGCCTTCCATGAGCGGGGACGTGCTGGACTGGTGGTCAGAGTCGTTCAGTTTCTTGACCAGCTGGCTCCGTTTCTACAAAGGCCAAACACGCAGAGGTCAAGGGAGAGACGTCCTCCATCACCTAGTTCCAAACACCTCCAATCGGCTGACACCGACTCACCCTGAACTCACAATGGCACATACGTTTTATCAGGGATCAAAGTCGATGGCTGCCAAATTGTCACAACTACAAGAACAACTGTTTTTTGAGCATCAACTACCTGCTGGACACTAGAACAAGACAATACGTATTGTCAATGTTCAACTCTATATTAAGGAAAAGAAGAGGTGGGAGCGATAGTACAGCAGGAAGAGCATTTGCCTTAAACAAGGCCCATCTGGGTTCGATCCTCAGCATCCCACCTGGTCCCCCAAGCACTGCCAGGAGTAATTCCTGAGCACAGAGCCAGGGGTAACCCCTGAGCACTACTGGGTGTGGCCCAAAATTAAAAAAAAAACCAACAACAAAAAGAAAATTTCAGGTATTATTATCTCCATTTTATAACTGAAAAACTTTAAGCATAGGTATTAAATACCTCATAAGTGGTTGACACCAATTCAAATTATGGTTCTGATTCTAAAGTTCATTTATTTTTATTTATTTTCCATAAGTAGTGCCAGGGATCAAATCCAGGTTTGTTGTATGCAAGGCAAGCACTTCACCCAGGGTACTAACTTGTAGGTCCTCATGTTCTTTTTTAAAAACAACTTTACTGAGGTACAAATCACACACAATATCTTTTAGTGTATACTGTTATAGGCACTTTGACAGATACATACATGCCCATAACCATCCCCGCTCACAGAAGTAAACATTTGCATCATTCCTCAAAGTTAGCTCCTTTGGGGTCCTCCCAGAGAATTCCAGATAAGGGGTGAGGACGAGACTCAGTGGTAGTGTGCTTGCCTTCCATGTGTGATGCCCTGGGTTCAATTTCTGGCACGGGAAAACAAAAACAAAGCCTCCCACCGATCTGCTATCTATAACCAGATATTTGCCTTAGTGTTTATTCTGACCCATTCTGGAATTTCATGTAATGGAACTTCATCATGAAACTTGAACTACTTTCTGGAGGTGCCACATCCAGCAGTGCTTGGGAGCTACTCCTGATGTAATGCTCTGGGACCACTTCTGGCAGTACTATGGTGCTGGGAATCCAGGGGCTCCTGCAGGCAAAGAAAGTGTCCCAGCCCTATGATTCATCTCTCCAGTCCCAGCTTGTGCTCTTTTGTACAATGGCCTTGGTTTTAGAAACTCTATCATCTCTCTGTTTCAGTACCAGGTAATGTCACACACTGCATGTGAGTGCACGGGGAAGATGTGTTGGAGATCTAAGGCAAAGATACGGGTACTGGGGGCCTCCTGTAATGCCACGGGCCTAGCAGTTCTCCAGTCAGCACTGGCCAAGAGCCCACAGGCAGAAGCAAGTGTGCTCCCTCCTTTTAGGCCTCCCCCTACATCCCTGTATCTCCCTGGAGCTCAGTGTCAAGAGTGTCAAGTCTCTGCACGCCCGGTCAGGCCTGTAAACCATTTCCCAGAAGCAGGAGGTGGGAAGCCACCCTGCACTTTTCCTAGTATTACTTCTCAGTGCCTCCCCATGGAAGCCTCACAAAGTCTGCAGAACTCTTTACCGGGATGGATTCTGGGACACACCTGGCCATGCTCAGGGCTTGCTCCTGGCTCTGTGCTCATGCAGTGCTTGGGGGACCATATGTGGGTGCAAGGGATGGAACTGGAACTGGCCACATGCGAGGAAAGCACCTTACCCCTGACTGCCGCCTGCCCAAAGTTTGTAAAACTCTCAAGGGAAACATTTTAGAAAGTGTTGTGAGTTTTAGAGGGTGGGAAGAAAAGAAGTAGGAGCTTTTCTATGACAGAAATTTGGGGTTAAGAGTCTTCAACAAAGATGCTGACTTTAAAATTTTACTATCTGCCAATAACAGTGAATTGAAAAATTTAAATCTAAATATTCCTTCTTAAAAAAAGCTATAAAAGATTATTTCATAGCCAAAATTTAGTCTAGTCAACTACTTTAATTTCTGTAATTAAAAAAAAAAGTAAGCTCTAAAACAAACACAGAGTTTGATATCCATTTGTTAAATAAAAAACTCATAAATTCACATGAAAGTCTGGAAGAACGGTTCTAAAATGCCAATTACTTTTCTCCAGGTGATAATTATAAGTGATTTATATTTTTGCTTTATGCTTTTCTTTGCTTTCCAGGTTTCCAGGTTTTCTGTATAGAGTGGCATTTTTCTCTAAAATTATGTATGTTACCGAAAAAAAAAAAAATCTGCTATCCTGTCATCTGAAATGTGATTTTTTTAAAGTTCCTGTGACAGTGTTTCCCAATATCTGGATTTGGGAAAATAGTCAAGAGCCCTGTTAAGCAGGAAGAGGCCAAGAGATGTGATGCCCACCTGAGTGTCAGGTACACTGTATTCCCTGAGGGAATGCTTGTGGTATGGAAGACCCTTGTTTCCTGCTACCAAACAGGTATTGTAACTCCCAGGACCTACCTGTGTCAGGTAGTCAATCAGAGCTAAGTGAGCCTTTTCCAATTCAGCCCCAGAGAGTGTAGGCAGCGGGTTGGGATATTGCAGCTGCTTCCTGTAGTCTGCGGGCAGCAGGTCTGGGTACAGGCCCATCACATGGGTGGGATCTACATGGAAGGTAAATATGAATCTCTGGAAAGGAGCCAGAAGTTTTTTTTTTTTTGCCATACCTGGTGGTACTTAAAACTTATAACTGGCTCTGTGTTCGGGACACTTTTGGCAGGTGCAGGGGACATTTGGGGTGCTAAGAATTGAACATGGGTTGGTCTTGTGCAAGGCAAATACCCTGCCCATTACTATTGCTCCAGCCAGGAGCCCAGCAATTTAAAGAAAAAATAAAATAGAACGATTAGGACAGCACAGTGAATTCCAGGTTACTGTTTTTAAAACAGAACGATCAGAAAGACTCACTGAGGGGTTGGAGAGAGTGCAATAGAATAAGTGTTATTTGCCTGGTGTACAAAAGAGGGTATTTCAGTGGAGGTGGGTCCAGAAACTTTGAGGTCAGGGAGAGTGACTCCTGAGCACCTTCTTCGCACTAGGATATTCCAACCTCCAAATAGGTCTTGGGACATGGAGGAAAGGGCTCTGTTCGCCCTCAGAGATGACTGATACTTTACTCCAACCAAGCCAGGCATTTTGCTTAGAATAGCCCTGAATTGGTACAAGATACTCAAACGCATTTCTGAACAGAATGACTGTGTGGCTATTCTCTAAGAGGAGAGGGTACATCATTCTAGAAGAAAGGAAATCTGCATTGAGAACAGACTCGTGGGATGTGGGTTACAAATAAAGTTTCCAATATGGGCTCCTATTAGATTTGACAATCAATTTAGATGGGCCTAAACCTTTCTCCTCTTAGAAGTCTGGTTCTAAGAATGAAGGTTTCCTCCCCATCTTTTCCAGAGTCTTTTCCTTCCACTAGTTCCTTATCCCAAGCTCCTTAAACTTGTTACCTGTGCCAAGTTTAGCAAAGACCTGCATGGACTCATCAAAACGCTTCTGGCAGAAGAGGTTGAAGGCATATAGGTTCTTGATGTGATGGATCTGTTGCTGCTTTTCACTGTCAGAATCCTCTTTCATTTCCTAAAAAGGGAATAGAAGAGATAAGAACTAATGTACTTAAATACTTAGGCACTAGACAGGTAATGAGGTGGTAGACAATACCCCAGCAAGGACCGATGCCAAAGTGTATCAGACAGCCAGATGGTACCTGCCCTCATTGGCTGCCCTACAACTTTGCCTAAGACTGGTGAGTAACTGTAAAGCTGAAACACAATAGAGATTCCATAAAATATCCAACCAACACCCCTGAGAACTGTCAAGGACATGAAAAACAAGGAAAGATTGGGGCCAGAGAGAGAACAGAAGGTAGGGTGCTTACTTTGTACATGGCCGAGCTGCGTTCAATCCCTGATACCCCATAATGTTCCCTGAGCCAGGCCAGGAGTTATCCCTGAGTGCAGAGGCAGGAGCAATTCCTGAGCACTGCTGGGTGTGGCCCACAAACAAAGGCAAACACAAACTAGAAAAGACTAAGAAACCGGCACAGATCAAAGGACAATAGTTTTTTCCTATTTTCCACCGAATACAACGAACCCAACGTGGTTTCTGGATTTAAACCTGGAATGGGGGAAGGTGGAGGAAGGGAGCGTGAATGAAAAAAATCATTCATGTAAAATCTAAGCAGGAATCTAGCTTAAAAATAAATCAGGGGGCTGGAGCGATAGCACATCAGGTAGGGCGTTTGCCTTGCACGCGGCCAACCCGGGTTTGATTCCCAGCATCCCATATGGTCCCCCAAGCACCGCCAGGAGTGATTCCTGAGTGCAAAAGCCAGGAGTAACCCCTGAGCATCGCTGGGTGTGACCCAAAAAGAAAAAAAAATCAAAACCCAAACAAAGCAGGGTCAGAGTGATGACAGGAAAATGTGGGAGTCTGAGTGTTGGGTCTCCCAGATCCAGGAGGAAGGAAGCAGGGCCAAGGGAATAAGCCGGGGCCAGGAGGGCAGGGGACAAGGGGAGAATGCTCCCAGCAGAGGACATAATGGTGCAAGGCCTAGCATTACAGCAAAATGGCAAGTGCGGGGATAGAAAACATTTCATATGGCAGATAGTTACCTAAGATGTGCAAGCTAATGAATCTCTCCTATTTTCTTCTTTATAACCATCCCTTCTCATAAATTCCTTACAATCAGTCTTTACTAAACCAAGTTTATTCCTTCAAAACATCTCTCAGTGCCTTCTCCTTCCTGTCCCTCTCCCTCACCCTCACCCCTTGTCAGCAGGTGGTCAGGGCTGGTCTTACCTCCTTGGGGCTGGGGTGGGGTTGGATCCCCCCAGATCCTACCTTTCCTTTTCCTTACATTCTCACCATACCTGCTCCTGTCAGGTCAGGTCCAACATGTCCTCAAAAGACTTGCTTCCTCTTCCTTCTTTTCCCTGGGCTCTTCCCTGTTTTCTGCTCCTGATCCCTTTTAAGGGCCTGACTCTAGGGGAACTTTCCCAGCACACAGGAAACTGGAGCATCTCCAGTCTGTGGCTCTGCATTTTGTCCATGGCTCCGCATTTTGTCCTCACTGAAGTGTGGTGATGCAACTGCCTTCTGCAAGTTTCAGGTAGGCAGTCTGACTGATCTGAATAAAACTTAAGTTCCTCAAAAGGAAAGGGAAGGGCCGAAGAGTGATAGTAGAGTGGGATCCCATAAGGTCCAAGCACCACCAGGATCAAGTCCTGAGTGCAGAGCCAGGAGTAATCCCTGAGCATCTTTGGGTGTAACCCAAAAAGACCCCTACACCTACACACACACACATACACATAGGGGTCAGAGCAATAGTATATAGCAGGTAGGGCATTTGCCTTGCATGCTGCCCGACCATTCAATCTCTGGCATCCCATATGGTCCCCTGAGCATTGGAGTGATTTCTGAGCTTAAAACCAGGAGTAAACCCTGTGCCCCACCAGATGTGACCCACCAAAAAACAAACAAACTAACTAAAAAGAGGGAAGGGAATAGTGGGAATCTTCACAGGGCGAAGACACTGGACAGAACGACTAGGCAGTCCAAGGCCAAACAGAGGACAAGGGAAACCAACTTCCACCAAGGAGCAATAGACCACCTACCCTGGGAGACAGAGGGTACCACGAAGCCCTGAGGCCTTGCGGCTGTGATGAAAAGTAGATGCTACAAAAGGTAGGGACCTTGTGGAACCTGCTAACAAAGCTCAAAAGTAAAATAATAATACTCAGGCACACATACTTTGTAAATATTTAAGCAAAAAAAAAAAATTAAGGGCCTAATAGACCACATCATATTCAATCGACGGTTTTGCCTGACCGATGTCGCTGTTGTCCCAAAATTCTGAACAGGATCGGACCACCGTCTCCTTCGTGCAAAATTCTACTTCACAGAGCGGGGAGAAAGGGCTGCAAAGTTCAAAAAGAGAACTCCCAGAATGACCACCAACTGGGAACTCTTTGGTACTATTGCGGCAACATGGGAAGATGCCATTGTTGACAACATTGACGAGGAATACGATCGACTGGTTCAGCACCTCCATGAATGTGTGAGGAACGCCAAGAGAGAGATAGCCACAAAAAATCGCCTATCTTCGAAAACTCTTGAGCTAATTCGCCAGCGTGGTTTGGCGCATGCCTCAGGCAACCGCAAGCTAACGTCCGAGCTCGCAAAGCAGTGCAGAGATGCGATCAAGGAAGACCTCAAAGAGAGAAGAGCAGAAGTACTGGCAGATGTGGCAGAAGCCGGGAAAAGTATTCGTAACGCCCGCCTGTCCTTCGCCAACTACAAGACCAAGATGACTGCCCTCCGACGTCCTGATGGATCCATCACATCCTCCAGAACGGCAATGGAGAAGATTATCCATGACTTCTACTCAAATCTCTTCGACAGCCATGTCCACTTGCCGACATACCAAATTCCACAGGATGGATATGTCGTTCCCAATGTTCTCCCTTCCGAAATCCGACACGCCATTTCGTCGGTAAAGAAACAAACAGCACCAGGCCCAGACAAGGTCAGACCTGAACACCTGAAGAACCTGCCGTCAGTACTCATCAATACACTGGCTCGGCTCTTCACTCGCTACCTGTCTGAATGCAGGGTTCCGTCCCAATGGAAAACCAGCAGGACCGTACTACTGTTCAAGAAGGGAGACATCCATGACATTGGCAACTATCGCCCGATCTGCCTACTGTCTGTCATCTACAAGTTGTTCACTCGAGTCATCCTAAATAGGATTGGCAGAACACTAGATGAAGGACAACCATGTGAGCAAGCAGGGTTCTGCAAAGGATTCAGCACCATCGACCATATCCACATGATAACCAAGCTCATTGAGGTTTCTCGGGAGTTCAAGATGCCGCTCTGTTTAACGTTCATTGATTTAAAGAAGGCCTTTGATTCTGTTGAGATGGAAGCGGTCATTGAAGCCCTAGCCAATCAGGGCATTCAAGCCCAATACATCAGGATCCTCCGTGAGCTGTATTGCGGATTCACTACCAGGATCTCACCAATCTACAAAGAAGTGATCGTTGATGTCAAGAGAGGGGTGCGGCAGGGTGATACCATTTCACCGAAGCTCTTCAGTGCCACCCTTGAGAACATCATGTGACGACTGGAATGGGAAGGAATGGGAGTGAAGATAGATGGTCGGCAACTACACCACCTCCGCTTTGCTGATGACATTGTTTTAATAACACCAAACATCAGCCAAGCGGCACAAATGCTGGCCGACTTTGACCGTGAGTGTGGAAAGGTAGGACTACAGCTGAATCTTACGAAGACAATGTTTATGAGAAACAGCCTTGTTCCTGACGCCCCATTCGCTCTCAACGGAACGACCATCTCCGAATGCAACAGCTATGTGTACCTTGGTCGAGAAGTCAACATGACAAATGACCTGGCACCCGAGCTGCGCAGGAGGAAGAGAGCGGCTTGGAACGCCTTCAAGAACGTTGAAGAAATAGCTAAGAGGACGAAGAACCTCCAGCTCCGGGCACATCTCTTTGATTCCACTGTTCTTCCTACATTAACATATGCCTCAGAGACCTGGGCCCTACGCAAATAGGACGAGAATGCTATTCAGGTCTCCCAAAGAAGAATTGAAAGAGCTATGCTTGGAATATCATGTTTCACTCAAATTTAATCCGGAGTTCTGACATCCGTCGACGATCAAGAATCAGGGATGCTGTCTCGCTTGCCAAGTTGTCAAAAATCAGATGAGCTGGTCACGTAATGAGATTTAAAGACGACCGCTGGACTAGAGCTGTTACCGACTGGATTCCACGGGATGTCAAAAGACCGCGTGGCCGCCCACCTACCAGATGGTCACACTTCTTCATCAAGATCATGAACGATTGGTTTGAGGCTCTTCGTGTTCCCAGAGCGAACAGGTGCCATTGGGCTACACTAGCACGCGACAGGGACAAATGGAGACATTACTGGTGCCCGCTCGAGCAAATCGATGACTAACGGGAAGTTAAGTGATTAAGTGAAGGGCCTAATAAACAAAATTTAGGAAAATGGAGAAGAGGCAGCATTGGGGAGGCACATACAGGTCATCTGAGTTATTTCTCTTTTATTGTGGGGCGGGCTCCCAAGCGGTGCTCAGAGAATGGGGGCCGCTCCCAGAGACCTTCAGCTTGGCTGTGTGGGCTGGGGAACTGGCAGTGTTGCTGTATCTAGGGGGCTGTCAGTTATTTTTCTTGAGTAGGCTGGTGGAATCATGGATATTCATTATTTTAATAAAAAAATGAAGTAAAATGATAAAGGGTAAGAGTGGGCAAATAGGGGGCTGGAGCAATAGCACAGCGGGTAGGGTGTTTGCCTTGTATGCAGCCAACCCGGGTTCGATCCCTGGTATACCATATGGTCCCCCAAGCACTGCCAGGAGTAATTCCTGAGTGCAATGCCAGGAGTAAACCCTGAGCAATGCTGGGTATGACCCAAAAAGCAAACAACAACAACAACAACAACAACAACAAAAGAGTGGGAAAATAAGGGCCGGAGAGAAAGTACAGTGGGTAGGGCGTTTGCCTTACATGCAGCCGACCAGAGTTCGATCCCCGGCATCCCATATGGTCCCCAGAGCGTCACCAAGAGTAACTCCTGAGTGCAGAGCCAGGAGTAATCCCTGAGTATTGCTGGGTGTGACCCAAAAAGCAAAAGATAAATAAAGAAATAAAAGTGGGAAAATAAAGGGTATTGCATGAGTGGAGGGAAACATCTAGTAAGATGCTGATAATAAATGCCCCAAGGGAAAAAAAAAACAATCTTTTTGGGATGTAAAACATGTCTAACCTAAGCCTAGACTTTGGTTTTAAATCCAGAAGTGTGTTCTTCAAAAGCATCCACCATGGGTGGTGATAAACACGTGTAATCAAAAGTTGTGACCCCAGTTTTCTTTCCAGAAATATTTCCCAATATACTATAGATCAGTTTCCCAAGTGTTGATACTCCTCCCCTGGGACACTGGAACAACAGGGGGTGGGGTAACAGTTGCCTCAGGTGCAACTGGGGTGCACTGTGTTTGCCTAGAGAAAGTAGATTTCTGAGGCCAAACAAGTCTGGGAACTTCTCTCATAGACATGAAGCCCACATGCCCCTTCTCTTCTCTTTTACCAAACTGAAGAACTATCCAACTTTCTAAGTAGGTTAGACTCAAAGTGACTTCTGGTTCCCTGATATCAAAGTCCCTGTACAGATGAAAATAATCACAAGTTATCACAAGTGGGATGCTGGAAAGAACAAAACAGGACTCAGAAGTCAGTTTCTAAGAAGTGTGCTGGCAACGTGAGCCTCACCCGAGTATTCTCTCCCACCCCCCCATGCACCTTTTCTCTTTCTCTTTCTCTCTCTGTCACTCATTTTGGGACACCCATGGAACTGAGGGATCACTCCTGGTAATGCTCGGGGCACCATATTTGGTGCTGTGGATCAAATGTAGGTGAGTCACCTGCAAAAAAAGCTCCCTCCTCACTGTACTATCTTTCCGGCCGACATGGCCATGATTTTGCTGTGAGCAACATCCCACACAGACACAGCGAGTGACAGAGAGCGTGCAGTCCCACTGAGTGCAGTGGCTGGGACTATTGAAGACACCCTTCAGACACAAACACAGGTTAGCGGCCTCCCACCAAACTAAACTCTGAAACTGATTTTCACTACTGTACTTCAATATTTGCATTATCTAATTTTTCTGCAGATTTCATTCTCCTGTTAACCTGGAGGTGTGGTTGTTTTAACTGGCATTTGCCTTGCATCTGACAAAGCAGCAAACTAAAATAGTGAAACTGAGGGGGGTTCAATGGGTCTTTTATGGTAGAGTCAGAGACGCTGAATTGAGTCTCTCTAACTCTAAGCTCTGGGCCCCATCTCAACAGGACTCTCCAAACCCTAATCCTCTGCTTGGAAGGAGGGAGGCAGACTCAGGCACAAACAAGTCTCTAGAGCAAGACTTACAGCGAGCTGCAGAGCTAATTCAAACTGCTTGTCCTGCAGAAGCTGCTGGATCTGGGTTGCCATGGGGACAGGGATGAGTCTCCACACAAAATGATTGCTGGCCACATAGATGATGTTTGACCTGGAGGCAGGAGTAAGAATGTTAGTGGGACAGCACAGGCTTTACCGTGAAACAGATGATCTTAAAGCTCTGAACAAAAACCCCCTTACCCTCCTGAGCTGATGAAACGGGGTCTCTGCAACTCAATGCTCTGAACCAGAAGCCTGGGTTCCAACGTCCGGATCTCCACATACCGAGGCAACACAGCAATGATGTAGGGAGGCTGGTGCTCTGTGCAAGAGAGAACAGACTGAGATGTAGTTCTGACCAAGAGCTTTAGTTTTATTGACTTTTTCTGAGTCAGTGTTTAAAAACAAATTTTTGTTTTAGCTGCATTTAAGTGGAATCTCCAAAAGGCCCATGAGTCAAATACCACGCCAGGAGCTTATAATGTGACTGATCCACAAAGGGAAGATGTTTGTCCATGTGAAACTAGAAGTCTCTTGCATAAGAAGGATGGATGCATCTAGTTTTGCTGAGAGAGACCTGATCCCATTGTTCTCATTCCATCTTCCGGAATGGGTAAGAGCTTGTTCCTTTGCCATCATTTACCAAAACCAGGCCTGGTGACGGCCAGCTGCAGCTCTTTTAACAATGTGGAATGGAGAATAAGTTCACAGAATAAGTTCACTCATCTCTTAGGAAGGGAAATGTCTCTTCATCCAACACACAGAAGCCAGCCAAGCATCATTAGGAGCAGCCCCCAGAACCCTAAGCATTGCTCAGGAGACCTTCCCAGACACAAAGTTTTACATTCCAGGTTGATACTTGTTGTGACATTTATGCCTACTCTTTTTTTTTTTTTGGTATCATACACAGTTAAATATACTTAAATTCACCTATCCATAACCCCAAGATCCATCAATGATTCTTGGGTTACACTCATCTCCATTTATTGTCCTATTTCTTGTAAGCAATACTTAACATATCAACTCTGCTTCCCAATCTGCTTTTATACTGATGTGACAATGTAAGTTTTGGAATGCTGAATAAAGTAAAAAAAATTTTTTAGGAGGGGGTCACATCCGGCAATGTTCAGGGGTTACTCCTGGCTCTGCACTCAGGAATTACTCTTGGCAGTGCTTGGGGCAACCATATGGGGTGCTGGGATTGAATCCACGTTGGTCATGTGCAAAGCAAACATCCTACCCACTGTATGATCGCTCCGGCCCCAGCAAGATAATTCTTAAGTGCAGAGCCAAGTTAGCCCTTAGCATCTCCAGGTGTGGTCAAAAAACAAAACGAAACAAACAAACAAATAAATAAATAAAATACAAAACCTCAGAATAAGACAGAATACACTTTACAGCAAACTCTCAAAAATGTTTGCACACCACACATACATAATTTTGCTCAAGTGGGTCCAGTAACGTCCCCATTGTGAGACTTCTTGTTACTGTGTTTGGCATACTGAATACTCTCGGTAGCTTGCCAGGCTCTCTGAGAGGGGCAGAGGAATCGAACCCAGCTCAGCCAGGCTGGCTGCGTGCAAGGCAAAACACCCTACCACTGTGCTACTAACTTCAAATTACAAAAAATGTTTTCATAAGTGTATTCTATATTACATTAGTAAAAACCTACAGAGAAAACACCTCACATCCATCAGGATGGTACTACCAAAGAACAGAAATTAGGAAAGGGATGTGGCTCAAAGGTCTGCTTTGCACACTGAGGTCCTGGGTTCCTTCTCCTGCTGGGGAGAGCTCTGGTGGGCGCTGAGCACTGCTGGGAGAGAACTCCCTCCAAAAAACCCCCAGAAAGTAACACTGGGAAGTATGTGGAAAAAGTGGAACCCTCATGTATTATTGACAGCAATGTAAGATGACACAGGCTGTACAAAAAAAGTCAGTATGGCAGGACCTCAGAAACTTAAAATAGAACTACCATATGACCAAGCAATTCTACTCAGGGGTTTAGATCCAAGAATGCTGAAATGATCTTTAAGAGAATATTTATTCATCCATGTTAAGAGTCAAGGGGCAGAAGTCAGCTAAATGTCCACCAATAAATAAAGAAAATGCAGTAGATAAATGCAGTGGCGCATTAGTCTTAGACAGGAAGGAAATCCTGTCATGTGCTACAATCTGGATGAAGCTGAGGAGGTGCTAAGTGAAAAAAGCCAGTCAAATCACACCACTCACATTTGGTATCTAAAGCAGTCAGATACACAGAAAAGAAACTTGGACAGTGGTTGACAGAGACTGAGAGGCGGGGCTGGGGAGCTACAGTTTGTTTAATGGGCACAGTTTCAGATTCGCAAGATGAAAAAGTTCTGAATATTTGTTCCACAATATATAAATATGCCCCATATTAATGAACTGAATTTGGACATAGTTAAGATGATAAACTTATTTTTAATGACACCATATAAAATTTTTAAATAAAAAATTACAAAATTGGGCTGGAGCAATAGCACAGTGGGTAGGGCGTTTGCCTTGCACGCAGCCGACCTAGGTTCGATTCCCAGAATCCCATATGGTCCCGCGAGCACCGCCAGGAGTAATTCCTGAGTGCATGAACCAGGAGTAACCCCTGTGTATCGCCGGGTGTGACCCAAAAAGCAATAAATAAATAAATAAATAAATAAAATTAACCACTAGATGGCATCGAACACATTCTCAAAGAACATATAAAGAGCATTCTCAAAGAACATATCCATAAATTTGTTAGGCTAATCTGCAAATTATTTTCCTTTTCCTAATTATCTATCTTCTGATAAGGGTTTTTTTAAATAATATATTCACAACCTGTGTTAAACGAGTACTGTAATACAATCTGAAAACAAGAAGGGTACTTGAAAATGAGAAAACTAAGACCTAGGTACAATTTTTCCATTAGTTTAAATGCTATCATTACTGCTGTTACTATGTTGCGCTATATATATATATATATATATATATATATATATATATATATATAGCACAGCGGGTAGGGCATTAGCCTTAGACACAGCCGACCCAGGTTCAATTTCTCCTTCCCTCTCGGAGAGCCGACAAGCTACTGAGAGTATCCCGCCCGCACAGAAGAGCCTGGCAAGCTCCTAGTGGTGTATTCGATATGCCAAAAACAGTAACAAGTCTCACAATGGAGACGTTACTGGTGCCTGCGAGCAAACTGATGAACAGCAGGACGACAGTGTTACAGTGCTACACTTTAGTACTTGGAGAAGTGACCCGATAGCTCACAGAACAGAATATACATGGGGGGGTGGGGTTTAGGACCACACTCAGGTATGCTCAGGGCTTCATTCCTAGATCTGCATTCAGGGTCATCCCTGGCAGTACTCAGGGACCATGTAGTGCTGGAATTGAACACAGGTTGGCTGCATACAAAGCAAGTGCTTTATCCCTGTACTATCTCTTCGGTCCCTGCTGCCTTTCATCTTAGCAAAAATTGTTTAAAAAGGCATATTTCTATTTATTTATTTTCTTTTTATGCTGGCCTTTTTTTTTTTTTAAAAAAAATAGTCCAATTTTCTGAGAAACACTGCTGAAAGTACTGGGGTACTGGGCACCAATCTCCGTTCCAAAGCAGAGGTCCCTCTGGGAATAAGACACATACTTCAAGCCTGTTACACACTATTTTAGACCCACAAGTTCCACTTTAGAAGGGAAAACAAGAAACCTCCCGAGCATCACAAAGCTTCACATGAAGTACTTAGCCCCCAAACTTTTAACACATAATCTCACATTATGGGTTAAGAGATTTATCAAATACTGACGTGGTATCATTCCCTTTTGGTCTCTTAATATCCAGCTACCACCAGCATAACTTGCCCATACCATGAGGCATTATACCACGAGCTGACCATTTAGGAACCTGCTGGCCTCACAGACCTTTGCCTCTAACGCTCTCAGTCCTTTGTAATCCTGGAGAACCACCTCAGTCAGGCCTGTCTCCAGAACATCCTCTTACAATCAGCATGTCTTTGACTTTTCTGCTCATTTTGCCAACTATTTTTTCTGCCTAAAAGGAAAAGAATTTTTCTTTAAGTCACCTCTTAAATGCCCTGACTGGTCTAGTCTTGTCTTATCCTTGTACAGGAATTTCTTTCAGGCTAACTGAATAATGAATTTGCCCCTTCTGAATTACCAGATCTCAATTCACCCAAATGAGTACCTTAAGCCTTGCCTGCATTGTCTCTTTATCCCCAGTTGTATTAATCATCGTTTCCTGAGATAGAATCCTTAAAGGCAGCATGTTCATATACCCAACTACTTCTGGTTTTAGTTTTTGGTTGTCAAGCCATATCTGGCAGTGCCCGGAGAATGCTCCTAGAGGTTCTCAGGCAGTGTCAGGGACCAAATGCAGGCCTCTGGCATGCAAAGCATGTGGCTCAGCCTGGTGAGCAGCGGGGTATTTTTTAAAGTCACTTCTGCCTGAGAATGAACTGTTTCATGGGTGGTTATTTGCTTCGAGGAAATCCCGTAATAGATAGTGGTAAGAAGCGGACACATCTATTATGTAAGACAGAGACCACTGAACACAGTGCCCCCACATCTAAAACCTTCCAACGCTGAAATACCTATGCTTCAGACAGAGAGAGGGAATTCTGCCAATATGCAAACGTGATCTGTTTGCAGAGAACACAATCAAACCATTAAAAAGAAAGCAAAAGAACAAGAATTAAGAAATAAAAATAGCAGCAGACGGTCACTTCCTAAAATGTACCATTTGATTTACATTTTTCCCCTTCTGAAGCAAAACCCATTTTCCTATCCACATCAGAATGTTCCGGGGTTTTGTTGGGTTTTTTTACCCTCCTATAACATTTGTCACATTTTACGAAGGGGAAGTGAGAGTGTTAGACACCAAAACTGGCTGCCTGGGACTCCAGACTGGAGAACGGTCCCAGGCCCAACGGGAAACAGCCTGTATTGTTGGTCTCACCCATGGCGACTGGTATGTCTGTCCAGTTCAGGGCACACTTCTGTGTGCAGATCCCCTCCTCATTGAGCACCACGGTGAGATCATCCTGGCCCACGGCCACTTTTCCATCTGCCAGGGGTGCAACTAAGGGCTCCAACTGTTTTCCTGTTGGAAAGAGCTCTTTGATGGACCCTTTTCCATCCACCTACAGGAAGACATAAAGTGAGTCATGCGGCATGCTCCAACGGGGGGCCTGCACGTGGCCTGGAAAAGTCCAGATAAAAGTCTCAAGCTCAGAGAAGACAAAAGTTTTCCTTGTTCACCATAAGGGAATGTATCACATTTGTGGTGGCAGATTTTACATTGTAGAACTTGTTTCCTTTTTATCTATAATAGCAAAAAAGCATCTTGCCTGGCAGGCCACAATAGCCAGGTGCTGCTAAGGATGCAGAGCATCTGGTACAGGCTGCTGGTGAGGACACGAAATAGGATGGCTGCCTTGTACGTCAGCCCATCATAAAGTCAAACATACACTCACATTTACACACAGATTTGTCTGCAAATTTTTCTAGCAGCTGTTTAATGGCTTGCGACTGGGGTGGGAGGAATGTGATCTTTAACTGACACAGGGATAAACTACATTATGTCTGTGCCATAGACCACTGCATAGCCAAAGAAAACAAACACACTGACACAAAGAGCCACACAGCTGAAGTCAGACACATGAGGAAGAGAGAAAGAAGGCAAGACTCCAAAGCATCCATATTGTATGAATCCACTTAGGGCATTTGGTAAAAAGCAAAACTGCAAGAAATCCATGGTTACCAGAAGTGGGGATAGAGCATCAGAGACTGACTTCAAAGAGACAGTATGAGGAAACTTTGGGGGTGATGAAACTGTTCTGAACTTCTGGTGATGCTCGGTTATACATGTTGAGGCATTTGTGAAAAAGAAATGTGCATAAATTTTTTTTAATTCCATGTAAACAAATAATTACTCAGTAGCCTAATCCTGAGGTATGATGTGCAACCTTTGAAAGATTTGAGAGGGCTGTGAGAGGAACAAAGCCAACTCTGACATTGGGCCCAGCCCTGCCCTACCGATTCCCGCCAGCACCAAAATGCCTCATCGGCCTCAGTTAGGTGCCAGCAGCAGCTCCTTGAGGAATCCATGACTCTCGTGCTGCCAAATGGAGATTCCAACCACAAAAATAAGGAAGTAGTATACTAAGTATAAACAACTGAGCTACAGAGGGGGCCGGGACTAGGAGAGAGGTCTGGAGCTAAGAACTGTACATAATTTCTGAAATAAATGGCTTCTCAGTCTCTTCTACAAATGTATATTGTGGGGCAGGGAAGAGGGAGGTGGGGGAAAAGTGATGCTCTGGATATTTTCCACTTAGATTAAGAGAAAAAGTAGGTGGGGCCGGAGCAAAGGTACAGCGGGTAGGGCATTTTCCTTACATATGGCTGACCCTGGCATCCCATATGGTCCCCCAGGCACCACCAGGAGTAATTCCTGAGTGCAAAAGCCAGAAGTAACCCCTGTGTATTGCCAGGTGTGACCCAAAAAGGGAAAAAAAATTGAAACAAAGTGTATAATATGCTATTTTTGTAAATGGGTGGAATGTATCAAAGGGTTAAGTTGCTTTTTCTGAGTGGAGAGATTATGGCGGACTTGTTCTTCCTTTATTTTCCTTTCTCTTAAATAAATACATATGGTTTTTGAAATTAAGACAATAGTGGACTCACTTAAACAAAAAACACAGTAAAAGATTTTGGAGGCAAAGAAACACAAATTCTTAAAAATATTTATGTTACCAAAGTTAGTTTATAATTTCCGAACACTGATGCCTCAGTCCACAAAAAGGCTGCTGAGAGGGGCAAGCAGTGCCCATACCAATATCTGTCCCAGTACCTAGGTCCAGGATAGGAGAAAGATGCTAGACAGAGAACTCTGAGTTGATTCTGCCTGACCTAGGTCACACGAATGTCTTATCTGTGAAAAATATTGAGACTATGAAAAATAATCAGACACAGAGACTGTTTGCCAAAAGCACTCTACGGTCATTCTCTCAATCTGAGGTTCAGAAGCACAGGCAACCCCATAATCTTCTCCCCCAAGACAAAGAGATCCTTGAAGAAAGGTCAGCATTACCCTGATCAGGTAGTAGTCTCTCTTGAAACCCACACAGATTGAGTTTCCACACCAGGCCATCGACTTGGGCACATCTGGGACACTAAAGTCCCCCTGAAGAAAGAGAGAAAAGTTCAATTGGAAAGTATGTAAAAACGATTTTTTTTAAATCACCATGTTAAAAAAAATCACTTTTTTTTTTTACCCTCATTCTATAAAATCACCCTCTCATTTTTAGCTGAACAGTTCTATAGGTACCAGGCCAGGAAACCACCCCTTAGAATGAAAGTAGTGAACTGGACAAGGGGCATTAGGAAAAGTTCAAAGCCCACTGAAAGATAAACCCATCTGGACAGGGGCTGAACGTGGAAGACTGGCAAGTGTTCCCAGTGCTCAAAGCAGAACATTTATCGGGGGCGAATGCCATTGGGGTCCTGCCCTTCACTAGAACTGGAAGTTAATTTTTTTTACTTTTTTTTTTTCTTTTTGGGTTACACTCAGCGTTGCACAGGGGTTAGTTCTGGCTCGTGCACTCAGGAATCACTCCTATTACTCCTGGTGATGCTCGGGGGACCATATGGGATGCTGGGAATTGAACCCTGGTTGGCTGCGTGCAAGGCAAATGCCCTACCCACTGTGCTATTGCTTCAGTCCCTGGAAGTTAAATTTTTAAGCAGAGGACCAATGTAACAGCAGCAGCTCACACCCACCCATGGAACAGGCAACAGTGGACTGGACTGACTTTACCTGCAATTCGTGAAATTCTCTGTCCTTCCAGAAATAAAGCTGCAGCTTCTTCTTCACGGCCACACACATCCGTAACACCTCCTCCCCGGTCTCTGTGTGCTGGATGAGACATCCGGAAAAATTGAGGCCATGGGGTACGATGACCACACAATGGACAGTTATAGGTTTCCTCCCTTGAAACAGCTACTACTCTGAAAATCCTCTGTAACTCAAGCTGAGCCAAAGTATGCCATTCTCTAAACTGCATGCAGGAAGAATAGGCTAATGAGCATATTCTCCCCCTGGGCTGCTGGCCCGGACACATCTCATGAACATTTACAATTCGGGGAGAAAGAGCTCTGGTTTATGTACACTTTCACCACCATAAGTGGCACCTGTTTCTCGCTATTGCCTGCCACTACACACGGTGGGGACAGGCTGGTATTTTCTTTTTTCAAATTTAATTTTATTTTTATAAAGTAGTTCACAATATTTGATTACATTTAATATTCGAATACCAATCTTACTATCATTATACCTTCCCATCACCATATTTCAGATGTCTCCGTCCCGAACCCCAACCCCTGCCCAAAGCAGAACCAAAATAATTTATTTTTGTATTCTTTATTATGAATAAACTACTGACAATGCTCCAAAAAAGTTTCCTTAGAGGAAACTTGTGAAGATTGTTGTATTTCACCCATGGGCTTTTAAGCCCTTTTATAAGAGATTACCAACATACTAACATGCTGCTAAAGGTTGAGCCTTGTGTGACTGTAGCACTGTCCTCCTGTTGTTCATCGATTTGCTCGAGTGGGCCCAGTAACGTCTCCATTGTGAGACTTACTGTTACTGTGTTTAGCATATCGAATGTGGATATTTTAGAGAAAAATAGTTTTCTCTAAGACTGGTTGCCTTCCACTTTAAACCCCATCAAATGTGGTATACTCATGAGTGAGGCCTGGCCTGAGCATGTGGAGAACAGCTGTGTGCATGAGGTTTTTGGCTGCCGGGGCTGGGTCCCTTGGGGTGGGGAGGGAGTCTTACCCACTACCCTCTGGGTGCCCTGAATGAAACACAGGCTGGTATCCCTAGGATTACTCAGAGGTCCGCAGGCCACACCAGCACTTGTCAGAAAATGCAAAGGTCTCAGTTCAATGTAAAGACCCAAGGATGCCAGCCTGCTGAGGCCCTGCAGTGCTGGGGACAGTTGGGCGACCCTGGCAGTGCTGGGGGCCTCCAGGGCTATACCTGATGAAGCTTGGGAGACTGTCAGGAATTGAACCTGCGTGCTCCTTTACAATGCCTACGCATTTAAAAAAAAGGCAGTGTGAGAGGCCTTGGCCACATTTTGGGGGAAGAGGTGCGGTGTATGTAAATCTCTAAGACACAGAGTCAACGACACTATAAGCAGGAGACCCAAACTACAATAACCAGACTTAAAACTACACCTGAACTGGGGATATTGGTGGAGAAGTCACACTGGTGGAATTCAAACACTATTTTTTTTTTATGTAGGAGTACTGCTATTTATTCAGCCACTTGATTAGCTGATTGAATTGTGCATGAACTCCACCTTATTTTTTTTCCATTTTTTATAATTTTATTTATTGAATCACCATCAAACACTAAATTTTTGAAACAACTGTATAATAAACAACTTTGAAAATCATGATGTTTTTAATAAAAAATAATGATAATAATGGAAAAAAATGTGCCTACAAGAAAGCAGAATGGGGGAGTCGGGGGTGGTAACCTAGGGATACTGTTGGAGGGAAGGTCACACTAGTGATGGGACTGGCTTTCGCTTTCATTTTTCTTTTTAAAATTATAACCCGGTGATGCTCAGGGGTCACTCCTGATGGTGCTCAGGGGACCATATAGGATGCCATGAGCAAATTCAGGTCAGCCATGTGCAAGGCCAACACCCTACCCACTGTACAGGCACTCCATCTTCCTGTGGTGAGACTGGTACTGAAAACTGTATGCCTGAAACCATATTATGAACAACTTCCTAAATCATAGTCTCTTAGCAAAAAAAAAAAAAAAAAAAAATTTAAAACCCAAGAAAAAGTGTAGTGTCAATGTATACTTCAATGCACTGCACTACAGTACTGCAATGTCCTCCCGTTGTTCATCGAGTTGCTTGAGTTGGCCCAGTAACGTCTCCATCGTGGGACCTGTTGTTACATAGTGGGTAAGTCACTTGCCTTGCAAATGGCAGACCAGATTTCATCCTGAGAATCAACTGTGATTCCCAAGCACAGAGCCAGGAGTAAGTCCTAAGCACCACCAGATGTAACCCCCAAACAAACAAAAAACCCATCTGCCAAAACTATGAAGTGATTGAAGTTGAATAGAGAGGTGTAGAAAATTTTGTAGAATATGATGATGAACTAGCAAATGTCCTTCCTGAATAACAACTCCAAAAGACAATGGCCACAAGATATGTTTCAGAGAGTCATCTCAGTGTCCTCTAATGATGTTGCTGGTACTCTTACAGTCTTGATTTCCTGCTAATGGTTTATTTACAAGTGTTTCTATCTTTGGTTAGCTGTCTGCTGCCTCCCAGATGTATGGTGCTCAAGTGAGCACACACAGGGATTGCAAATGTCTCAACTTCAGACCATACATTAAGGCAACACTTCTTTAATTCAATTAAAAACCAAGTATTTTCTTTGAAGTCTCTGCTGGACTTGGATATCAATGTTATTCTTCCTGTCCAATGCCAGACATTATGCAAAAGATCATCAAAGCACGTTTTTTTTCTGTGTGATGCCAGGGATCAATTTCAGGATATCACACATCCCCAGAAAAAAAATGCCAACTTTAAAAGCACATTATCTTGTTCCACATACCTGGAGTTCACAGGTAAACAGTGACGCTCCCTTTGCCTTTGAAACTGTAGTGATTTGTTGAAATGTCAACAGGTCGTGGACATAAATGTTATTTTCTGCTTGGAAGGAGAGAAAGCATCACTATAAGTAATCATCATAATTCTCATTCCCTAGGTTAGTTACCTTCAACCCCGCCCCCCAAAAAAGAAAAAAACAACAACAGTGATTTTTTTTGGGGGGTGGGGTGGGGATAGGGAGGGGGTTGTATACCTGCTGGTGCTGAGAACTTACTCCTGACTCTGCACTCAGGGATCACTCCTGGCTCTGGGAACCACATGTGATGCTGGGAATTGAACCCACATTGGCTGTGTGCAAGGCAGGTGCCCTACCTACTGTACTATTGCTCTAGCCCCTATTTATTTATTTTTATTTTATTTATTTTTTTGCCCCTATTTATTTTTTAACTATAATCAGAATAAATACATTAGAGTTTGAGTGTGAGATTCAAATTTGGGTTGATGTGTAAAAAAAAATTCTCATCTGGAAAGTTGCAATATAATATTTGTATAAGAAATGGCTTTCAAAGTCATTTATAATAGGAGGCTTAAATAAGTAAAAGGAAATCTATGAATTTTGTACAATCTCCTGGCAAGGGGATTTGCTTGCTATACAGCAAGCAAAATACTTTCACTCAGGCCTCTTTATATAGTTTATATAGTTCAGACATAAAAACTTAATTACTTCAGGGTTGGAGAGATACTTAAGCAGGTAGGGTGCTTGTCTTGTACTTGACTGTTCCAAGTTTAATCCCTGGCACCCCATATAGTCCCCTGAGCCCACCAGGACCAATTCCTGAGTGCAGAGCCAGGAGTAAGCCTTGAGTACTGCAGGTGTGGTCCAAACCCTACCCCCATGTCCCCAAAAGATTCAATTACTTTAAATGTTCATCTCTCTAATAGTTAAGTTTGAAATAGTTTTACTATTGGGGTCCTAGGCTGAACCGAGAATGAGCAAACATGATGAGCAAAGTTTCCAGCCCTGTTTGACAAAAGGCAATTCATTGTCTCCTCCATAAAAGTATGATTTCTCAACCAAGGCTCTGTCTCTCACTGAGTACCTCGCTACTCTTTCTGACATAATTGAGTCAGGATAGATCTCAGGGTCGTTGCTCAAGTTGCTTCTTCTGTCTAGAGCACCTCTCCTCTTACTGAAATCCGAATCATCTGTTAGGATACAGGATCCCTCCCACCACTAATATCCCACAATGCTTTTTAATATATTTTCATTGCAATGTGTCACACTGAATGATTACTTTGTTGCTTAGATATCTATGTCAGAAAAATTAAATTTCAAAAATAGAAACCACATTTTGTCCAACTTGGTACTTCCAATGCATGGAGTAGTGCTCAAAAAATACTTGTTAGTTTCATGAATGCATGAAGTGACACTTTGTGGAGAGAAAAGTTCAAGTTTAAGGGGGATGATGGTGCCTTTACTAACTATGCATCCTACTTTATCTTATTTGTTACATACTGGTCTCCTGGTTAAATTTACTACTAAAGTAATCTCCAAAGGGTTAAATTAGATCACAACTGTTATTTTTTTGACATAAGAGATACAAATGTAGCCCCTTTTCTTACCTAACAAGCTCACCAGAATCTTAAACTGGGAAACCACATGGATCTGAAAAACAGCAAATCATTAGACTCAAATATCTCTGACAAGGTTTAGCAAATAATTCATTTAGCTACAGTATTAAAACGCTGGGGACTGAAGCCTATATGGATGACAGAGATCCAACTTCTATTTATGTGCAATAACTGTATCTGTTTATGGAAAAGGATCCCAGGCACCTGGCTGGGTGGACAGCAAGCTGAGGATGCCAAGAGTTTACGAGCTCTGCAATAAACCTTTAATCATGTTGCCAAAGTTGGAGCATAGACAGACTCTTACAGAAGTCAATCTTGTCAGAGCAACCACTTCTGCTGCCTACCTGTTGAATCTTTTTGGAGAAGTTCTTATTGGATTTCTCTAGTGTCACTTCAAATCGGTTGCAACCTGTCAAGAGAAAAGAACCATTCACAGTTTCAAAGCAGGACACAGAGAAATAAACAACTACAATGAAAAAATGTTGCTCTGGATCATTCTCCTGCATAGGTCTTTGGAAACTCCTAAAGATCTTCAAGCCAGAGATCTGAAGCAGGCCCGTTTTCACTGTTTTCAACTCCAGTCTGAGAAGGCAGCTCATGCACCCTCCACTGGCCTTAGCAGACCATAGGAACACACTGAGGAAGTTCACGGAAGCTTCAGGAAACTTGGCAAGAGCTTCCCCTATAATATAGGACCTTGGGGGCAAAGTGTTTCACAACAAGAGTGCAAGAAGCAGCATCTAGGGGTGGGGGAGATAGCACACAAATTGGGGGCGTGCATGCTCTCCATGCTTGGAATCCCAGTCCAGTCCTCAACACGTTTCCCAAGCACCAGATGATATAGCCCTGGAGATCCTTGAGCACAGTCGGTGTTGCCCTGGTGGTTCCCTGCACCACAAGGCCAGAGCAGCATCACCTTGAGTCCTAGCATGGAGCCGTCGAGCCCAGCTGGCTGGGGCACAGCTTGAGGACCCCTCTTCACCCCACACACCTCCCAAAAAGGAATAGTCAGAGGCTGTTGATGTGGGGCAGCGGCAGAGAGCATGCCTCACATGTGAGGCTTGAGGTTCAACCCCACACTGCCCTGGAAAAAATAAAACCAAATATAGGACCGGAAGCAATAGAAGCCAGCCCGAAGCATCGTTAGATCTAGACCAATTAAACTCCAGCAGTTACTGTCTGCAACGCACACCAGTGCTAAAGCTAAGGCAACTGTAATGTGTCTACACTCACTGCCACTGTCCAGTGATGCTACATTGACTGGCACTGTTGCACAAAAGATAGAAGAAAATGATACACCATATCAAATACATGAAACCAGCCTTGCTGGGATGACAGAAATATATCAGCCTCATAAGAAACCACAGGAACATGATAATAATTACCATAACAGCAGCTGTTACTAACCTCTGGCCCCCTTTATTCTAATTTTCTCCTGAGAACTCGAATGTTATTATTAGTAATAAACTTTGCCAGTTATTTTCTTTAAAGTAACAAAATCCCTGTGTTTGCTTTTGAGAAAACACCCATTGAGAAAATACTCAAATGATCTGAAAAATATATAATCTGTCTTCTTTTTCCAAGCAAGAATGATGCTCTGTGAAAAAGCCCATCCAGCTTAAACACTCACAGAAGTATTTTCCTCCAAGACAGATACTGAACTTCACACCTTGGCTCCTCACAGAAGTGTTGATGAAAAGAACAAGTGACTTAGTGTCACTGTGAACTGAGCTTTGACTCTGGAGATCATTAGGAAGGATAGGTGGGCACAGTGCAGAGACCAACACTGGGGATTATAGCTCTGGAGTGAGGGCAGCACTGAAAAAAAACCTAAAGTTCTCAGAACCTTAGATCTGAACTAATCTCATCTCTGTTTCAGACATACATATGTGATGTCCTAGAGAGATTTCGAACTCCCAAGGGTTGTCTCAGATCAGACTAAAACCCAGAAACCCTAAAAGTCCCATCTTCCCCTTTCCTAAGGATGGTCTCACTGAAGTACTATCTACATTTAAATGACCTCAAATCTAGAAACCATCAGGGAGGCCCAGGTCTATTTCTGGGTCATACCATACTAGAGCCAGACCAGTCTTAAACTAGGTTCTGAGGGTATAAGAGAAGGGAAATTTCTAATCAGTTTGATTTCATAACAGTTCATGGTAGTTTAAGTTCCCTGTGGGGAAACTGAAGACTGGGAAGATTAACCTGTCAAAGGTTACACGAGCAACTGATCACAGGGCAAGGAACCACCAATGCTCCAACTCTAGTTAACACTAATATCACCAGTCTAATATTACACTGTGTTGAAAAACTGGTTTCTGAACTCCAGAAACAAATCTCTCTGTTATAGTATTAGTGTTTGAGGGTCAAAGGAGTAAGACTAGTAGGCTCTCTTACCTCTGTGGCCTGATAGTACCTAAGCACACAGGAGTGTGTCAAAACACAGTTGCTGAGTGAAATCCAAGGCATACTTAAGTTTCACATTACTGACTAAACAGACGCCAAAGATACATTATCTTCTGGGTCTGAGAACTAACACATTAAAGCAAGGACTGCAAAAAGTACTGCCCATAAGCCAAATGCTGCTCTCCAAATCTTCTGTAAATGAAGTTTCATTGGAACACAGCCACAGCCACTTATTCATGTATCACCTACAGCAGCTGCTTTGCTACCAATAGCAGAGATGAGTAGTCATGCAAAATCTCATGGCCCAAAATATTTACCACTTGGCCCTTTGGAGAACAAGTCTGCTGACTCCTAATTTAAAGGAAAACTGAAACACTTCGAAATAAGCCTCTGGGCCAGAGCAATAGTACACCGGGCCTTGCACATCGCTGACCTACGTTTGATCTCTGGCACCACATATGTTCCCTAGAGCCCGCCAGGAGTGATCCTTGTGTGTAGAACAGGAATAAGCCCTCAGCACCACAGGTGTGGCCCAAAAAAGGGAAAAAAAATTTTTTTTAAACTTCACATAATAGTCATGCCTCACTTTCTTATAAAAATTGTTAAAAATTAAAGACAAAAATAAAGTGCATAAAATCTGTAATGATTACTTAGTGAGAGTACACATTACTGAATTCCCTCACATATATGTACAATAATATACATACAGAAAATTTGTCTTTTCCTCTTCTTAAGATGTCTTCTGTCAGTCTAATTAAAGGTTTGTAGCCAAGGAACTTCAGATATGCAGAAGGGAAAACCTTTTAATCTTCCTACACTAGCAAGCGGCTCTATTTCCCAAAGTTATCCATATTTTAGGTGTCAAGAAGACTATTTACACTTCTGCTTTAAAGCTATAGAAAAACGATATATTAGGTTGAAAGTTAAGAAACATTTTATTTTTTCTAATGAGTTTCATATGGTTCAACTTATTTGAACATTAACAACAGATTTATATAGGCTCTATAGTTCCAGGATGAAACATTAATTTTCCACAAATAGAAATAAAATTAGTAAACAAAGTACTTTTTTCACTAGTAGAGAATATTCTAGCAGAACACATTTCAAATACTGTTATTATTCTACTTTGTTAGTGACAAAGAGACTTTGCCCAGAGCTTTACTTTTTAAAGTTCTTTCAGGTATATTATTTCACAAGACCATAACTTTGTGAGACAGATAGTTTACAGAAAATGAAACTGATATTGGAAAGGATCTACTTACTCATAGGCACATGGCCAAGGAGAAGCTGGACTCAAACCTAGTTCCTCTTTCTATTAGACTAGCCCTTATAAGTTAAATCCATCTTTTAAATCAATTAGTCCCTAATTTTTCCTTTCCTATTATCACCACCATTTACACAAGAATCTTATTCCCCAGGGCCAGAGTGACAGTACAGTGGGTAGGGCACTTGCCTTGCATGCAGCCAACCTGAGTTCAATCCCTGGCACCCATTATGATTCCTCCCTGTCCCGTCCCCCCTGCCCCCCATCTTGAGCCCTGCCAGGAGCGATCTCTGAGCACAGAGCCAGTGTAAGCCCAGAGCATCACGGAGTGTGACCCAAAAACCAAAAACCAAACGGTAAAAAAAAAAAAAAAAAAAATCCTATCGAAATCTTCTCAAAACTTTCTTTTCTTTTCTTTTCTTTTTTTTTTTTAATTATAGCTTAAGTAACGTCTCCATTGGAGACCTTGTTGTTACTGTGTCTGGCATATCGAATACTCTCGGTAGCTTGCCGGGCTCTCCGAGAGGGGCGGAGGAATCGAACTCGGGTCGGCCATGTTGGCCGCGTGTAAGGCGAACGCCCTACCCGCTGTGCTATCGCTCCAGCCCTATAAAGGTAAAGGCCCTCCCGTTGATCGTGGATTTGCTCGAGCGGGCCCAGTAACGTCTCCATTGGAGACTTTGTTGTTACTGTGTCTGGCATATCGAATACGTCACGGGGAGCTTGCCAGGCTCTGCCGTGAGGGCGAGATACTCTCGGTAGCTTGCCGGGCTCTCCGAGAGGGGCGGAGGAATCGAACTCGGGTCGGCCATGTTGGCCGCGTGTAAGGCGAACGCCCTACCCGCTGTGCTATCGCTCCAGCAACATAATATTTCTGAACTTTAGGGTTTTGACGAACAAAGTGACTGCACTGAAGTGCCCAAACCCCTCTAGCACAGTCCCTATGTGGCATCTCTAGCCTGATAGTCATTCCTCTCCACATCTCCCTGCTGCTTGGTAATAGGGTAACCTTTTATTTTCCTCTGGAGCAGTAGAGCAGCAATTCTGGAAAGTTGCCACTTACCAGCATCCTTCCGAATCCTGTAGAGAAGAAGATGTCCTTGTTTGGTCCCAACCAGAAGCCATTCCTCTGTAAAGGCAAAGAGCCGTGAAAGGTTAATTCATCTATTTTTTCTTTTGCTTGTCTTTGATCTGAGGCTCCTCCTGGCTCAGGGAATCTATCATGTGTGGTGCTCTAGCAAGTACAGCCAGTCTTGGGAGTTAACTCCCCTTAGAAGTCATCACCCCATTTCTTCAGCTGGCACTTGTAATGAAAACTAGAAGGTCAAGAAAAAAAAAGCTGCTTCTGATAGCAGGTGTTCTTCATAGCTAAGGAATGTGTAGAGTCAAGAAATGTTCGAGAATCAGCCAATCAAAAACATTGCTTGAACAATTACTAAGGCAGTCTTATCAGAGAATTAAAAATTCCTGGTTTTCTTGCTTCAAAATTAAGTTGATGTTTTAAAAATATGGAATATTATATAATCATAAACCAGAGAGCATAATAATGAAAATCAAGCTTGCTAATCTCAAAACTATCAGTCAAAAGTTATCCTTTAAAGGTATAGTAGGTTTTTTTTTTTTTGCTTTTTTTGGGGTCACACCCATCGATGTTCAGGGGTTACTCCTGGCTCTGCACTCAGGAATTACTCCTGGTGGTGCTTGGGGGACTATATAGGATGCTGGAAATCGAACCTGGGTCAGCCATGTGCAAGGCAAGTGCCCTACTCGCTGTGCTATCACTCCAGCCCCAAAGGTACAATAGTTTTAAGGGGAAAAGATACCATATCAAATTAAGCTTACATATTTATTTTCTCAAAAGATTGCTTCACAGATTATAGAAATGTTGCAAAGAGGTGAAGAAACTGAAACCCTGATAAATTATTAACAGAAATATAAAATGGTACTGTAGCTTTGTACAATAGTTTGGAAGTTCCTTAAAATACCATAAACAGGGCTGTAGAGACAATACAGTGGGTAGGGCGCTTGCCTTGCATGCAGCTGACCCAGGCTAGATCCCTAGCATCCCATAAGATCCCTCAATCACTGCCAAGAGTAATTCCTGTGTGCAGAAAGAGAAGTAATCACTGAGCATTGCTGGGCATGACCCCCCAAAACAAAAAATAGCACTGCACTGTAGCACTGTCCTCCCGTTGTTCATCAATTTGCTCGAGCGGGCATCAGTAACCTCTCACAACAAATTATGAGACTTCCTGTTACTGTTTTTGGCATATTGAATACGTCACGGATAGCTTGCCAGGCTTTGCCATGCGGGCGAGATGCTCTCAGTAGCTTGCCGGGCTCTCTGGGAGGGGTAGAGGAATCGAACCTGGGTTGGCAGTGTGCCAGGCAAACGCTCAACCCACTGTGCTATCGCTCCAGCCCAAACAAAAATATACAACAACTATATTAAACTAAGAAGTTTCTGCACAGCAAAAGGTACAGTGACCAAAATTCAAAGACAATCTACAGAATGGGAAAGGACATTCACCCAATACCCATCTGATAAGGGGTTGATATCAAGGATATACAAAGCAGTGGTTGAACTCCACAAGAAGAAAACATCCAACCCCATCAAAAAACGGGGTGATGAAATGAACAGAAACTTTCTCAAAGAAGAAATCCAAATGGCTAAAAGGCACATGAGAAAATGCTCTTCGTCACTAATCATCAGGGAGATGCAGATCAAAACAACAATGAGATATCCTCTCACACCACAGAAACTAGCCAACATCCAAAAGAACAAAAACAACAGTGCTGGTGTGGATGCAGGAGAAAGGAACTCTCCTTCACTGCTGGTGGGAATGCCGACTGGTTCAGTCCTTTTGGAAAACAGTATGGATGATTCTCAAAAAAATTAGAAATTGAGCTCCCATTTGACCCAGCAATACCACTCCTGGGAATATATCCCAGAGAGGCAAAAAAGTATAGTCGAAGTAACATCTGCACTTGTATGATCATTGCTGCACTGTTCACAATAGCCACAATCTGGAAAAAACCTGAGTGCCCGAGAACAGATGACTGGTTAAAGAAACTTTGGTACAAATACACAATGGAATACTACACAGCTGCTAGAAAAGATGAAGTCATGAAATTTGCATACCAGTGATTCTACATGGAAAGTATCATGCCATGTGAAATGAGTCAGAAAGAGAGGGACAGATGTAGAGAATCTGCACTCATCTGGGGAATATAAAGTAACAGAATGGGAGATGAACACCCAAGAATAGTTGAGATAAGTACCAGGAGGTCTGTTCCACAGCTTGGAAGCTGGCAGCACATGCTGGGGGGAAAGGCAGCTCAGATAAAGAAGGTAACACCAAGTAAAGGGTGTTTCAAGGACTCGCTCGGGATGCGAGATGTGTGCTAAAAGTAGACTACAGACCAAACACAATGGCTACTCAATACCTCTATTGCAAACCACAACACCCTAAAGGAAAGAGAGAACAAATGGGAATGCCCTGCCACAGAGGTGGGGCAGGGTGTGTGGGGGGTATTGTGGGTGGGAGGGCTACTGGGTTCATTGGTGGTGGAGAATCGGCACTGGTGGAGGGATGGGTACTTGATCATTGTATAACTGAAACCCAAGCACAAAAGTTTGTAAGTCTACAACTGCACCTCATGGTGTTTCACTAATAAAAAAGAATTAAAAAAAAGAACAATAAAAAGATCAAATACTGAGCTACCATAAGACCCAACATTCAAGCTGGAGTGATAGCACAAAGGGTAGGGCGTTTGCCTTGCATGTGGCCGACCCGGGTTTGATTCCCAGCATTCCATATGGTCCCCTGAGCACCCCCAGGAGTAATTCCTGAGTGCAGAGCCAGGAGTAACCTCTGTGCATCACTAGGTATGACCCAAAAAGAAAAAAAAATCCAACATTCTACTTAATGCAATCTGTGAGAAATGAAAAATATATCCACAGAAAACTTTATGTAAATGTTCACAAAAGCATCACTTGTATTGTCAAAAGGTGGAAACAATCCAGATGTTCATCAACTAATGGATCAGAAAATGTGAAATGCCCATACAATGGGTTAGACATCCATGAAAGAAAATGAATAACGAACCTGAAAACATTTACTCAATGAAAGAAGTCAGACAAAAGCCAAATACTGTATGATGGCACTGTAGCACTGTCCTCCCGCTGTTCATCAATTTGCTCGAGCAGGCCCAGATACATCTCCATTGTGAGATTTGTATAAAATGTCCAGAAACAGATTTATATTGAATTTATATAAAATATACAGAAACCTACTAAGACAAACGATTAGTGGCTGTGTGGGGCTGGTGGGTCTGTGAGGAAAGGAACGTGAAGCACAATGATGATAGTGTTCTAAAACCATGGTGCAGTCACACAACTCAGTGGATGTATCAAACCCCACTGAACTGTTCACTGTAATTGGGTGAGCAGTATGGTGATGTAAACCTCGACAGTGATCTTATAAAAGACAGGCTAATTCTGTCCTTCTTAAACTCCAGTGTGTGTTAGAATTGTTGGAGGGTTACTACACAGAATTCCTGGCCCTACTCTCAGTTTCTGATTTAGAAGCTCTGAAAACGGGCAGCAAGCTTGCACTGCCAGCAAGTTTCCAATGATGCTGATGCTGGTTGATTCAGGGTCTGCATTTTGGGAGATAATGGTCTAGGCCTTTTGATTTCCCTCAACGTGAAAGGAGCCTTTGTCATAGCATCTCTCCAGGACCCCTGTGACAGCTTCGCATGCTCTCAACACTTCAGTGATGTCACACTAGGATGTAAAAGCCTCGGGAACCAAATAGGAAGTCAAAAAGTCCAACGCATGGCATTACAGGTTTTTTTCATTTTTATTGAAATTCTTATGATACATTTCTTATCAAATATCTATTCTGATCCCCAGATGGTGAATGATAGCATACTAAGACATATTCCAGCTCAAATACTGTCTAGCCCTGCATAATGTGTCTCCTTAAAGGTTCCTGGATAAAACTTCCCACCTTAGGGCACAGTGGAGACCATCTTCCCCAAGGTGGGCAACAGTAGCATGGGGTAGGGTGGAAGTGGCGGGGACTCCTTTCATTTAAAGATGGTAGATTTCCAGAGGGACACGGTATTTTTTTTTTCTGGAAAGAGAGTGGTTAAATAGGCAAGTAGTTAAGTAGTCAAGCAAATTTGGCATAGATAAAGTGGCAATGTTTATTGTTGCTAAAGACTGAAACAGATTTGACGTCAGGAGATAATAGGCTGCTGCTGTTCAGTACCAACTACAGCATCCTTGGCGACAATGGGCGCTCATCTTACATGGTGGGAAATAAAAGCAGGCTGTCAAGCTACCTGTATTTTCAAATCTGTGTTCCTGAAAAGCATAGGTGCAGGGAATTTTTGCTGTGAAAATCAGAGTTGCCGAAAGGCTGAGATATGTACTTAAGCATCCACATGGGCCTCAAGATTGCTGACAAGGGCCGGAGAGACAGTACAAAGGTTAGAGCACTTGCCTACCATGTGGCGGCCGCCATGACACTGGTTTGTATCCCAGCACCAAATATGGTCCCTGGAGTATAATCAGATTTGGTGAGTAAGCACACAGTCAGGTGTGACCTCTGAGCACAGAGCCAGAGGTACAGACCAAAAAATAAAAACAAAAACAATATCTTGGGCTGGAGTGATCATACAGTGAGTAAGGCGCTTGCCTTGCATGTAACCAACTTGGGTTTGATTCCTACTCCCAGCAGGAGTAAGCCCTGAGCACTGCCAGTTGAGTGTGTGGTCCCCAAACCAAAAGCAAACAAAAACCTATAAAATTAAATTCAAAAACTGCTGACATGCTCATTGTATGTGGCAAGCAACTGTAACCATCCTTTTCAAGCATAGATCCTAGGCTAAGTTAGGGGCCACCCTCTGTATGTTCCCTTAACAGGCAGCATTTGTCTCTAGCTTCATTTAACTCATATCATGATTTATTCATACTTCCTTGTCCTCCACTGTGTTCCATGGACCCAGTCTCTGTTTCTTAGCCTTAACCTCATTGTCTTTCTTTTACTAGCAGAGATGGTGCTATAGGCACTTACTATATATTTGATGAAGAAATAGTAGAATGAACTCCACTGTGCAATGTCAGGTGCTATTTCTTTTTCTCCTCTAATTTTAATATCACAGAGAGCACTCAAAACATAAAGTGGTGATTTTCTTTTTTCTTGGACCAGAACTGGCAGTACTCAGAGGATAATCCTAGTGGTGCTTGGGAGGGATCATGTGTTGACAAGAATTTGAAGCAAAGGGTCCCACATGCAAAGCTTACACTCCAGCCCTTTGTACAACATCCCCAACCCAGAAAATGCAAATACTCTCTACATAGCTAGTGAAAGGACCCCTTTTCTCTTTAGGGGTGGGTGGGTGGGTAGGAGGGCGAAGGGGGCATACTCAGGACTTACTCCTGGCTCTGCACTAGGGATCACTATTGGACGTGCTCAGTGGGCCATATGGGATTGAAACTGGGTTGCCCATACGCAAGACAAACACACCTTATCCACTCTGGCCTAGGAAACAGAACTCTCTTTAACCCATAGATCTAAGACTTCTTGTGGAGATGTAATTGTAAAGAGGACCCTGGCAAATAAAGACAGGAGAGGTGCATGGCAGTAAAAGCCCCCAGTTGAAGTGGATGAGAAGAACTTGGTAAGCCTAACATAAGGCTGGTCAGGTACTCACTGCTGACAGAAGAGGATTAAAATGCCACCACCACCGCCACCACCACCATAATCAGTTCAAGTATGGGATCTGGCTACCAGTTCTGAGCTACCTTTTTATGGTTGCCAATTTCTGGAAGACCTGAACACTGACAGGAAAGACTGAAATTATTTTTAACTGGTCTCATAAATAAAAGCATTTTATGTTGTTAACCCCTGAAACCATTGACTGGTATTCCAGAACACCTGGGACAGGCGTGCCCTTGCTTTCTGCAGGGACCAATACTATGAAGCTCATGCTCAATTGCCACCACAGCCTGGCAGGATGCTCTTCTACTTCGCCTTAGGTAACTTGGGGAACTTTGGTTATAGTCAATCAATCAATCATCGGTGAGACTACAGTTTAGACTTTAGAGTAACAACAATGAGTTGTTACCTTGTCATACCTAGGAATGGCAGTGAATGATGAGTAATCACTAAGGTGAAGACAAAGGGGAGGGGGCAAGATGTTGCTGATTGGCTCAAAGCTCCCTCCACCCCCAAATACTGCTGTCTTCCAACTAGAAAACAACAGAACCAATCATCTTGACAAGCTGAAGCCCGGTCAGGCTGAGAACTTCCCACTGCTTGTTCCACCAAACTAAAGGCCTTTAAATAAGTCCCAGCTGAGCACAATCAGTAAGGTGAGTTCAACCTTCAACTCTGTCTGCACCGAGTAAGGCAGGTGGGCCGCCCCTTAAAATGCCCCCAAGAAGTCCCTGGAGGCCGCCCAAGCGGCTGGCCTCCCTCGCCCCTCGCGGCAGCATCCGAGACGAATCCCCAGCGCCAGATGCGCGTCCACTTCCTTAAAGTCCTGAGAAGTCCAGGCCGCTCCCGCCCAGACCCCAGGCGCTCACCCCAGGCGGCCAGACAGTCGATCTGCAGGGGCAGCTTTTCTAGGATCGGGACAGGCTCGAAGGCGTCGTGCATGGCGGCGAGCGGAGAGTCGCGGCCGCCGTCTTCGCGCCCGGTGAAGGCCAGACGGTTCTGGCGCCAGAGCCAGGGCCGGGGAAGGTGCACCGGGAGCCGGCAGGGGATCCCCCAATTACAGGGCCCAGGGGCTGGGATCCATCATCAACGCCGGACTTCCGGCTGCGCTAGGCCCGCCCTTTCCACGGCCGAAGCCCCGCCCCTTCCTCCCTGGCCCCAAATGCGTCCTCCGGGAGGGGCTAGATACGCATCCCGCATCCCGGTTTGTGTGTACGTCGCGTGGACCGGCGGCCTTGTCTCTCCTAACGATGCGAGAAAAGGATCTTAATCTTAGGCGTGTGCGAGGGAGTGTAGAATGTTGGTGAGTGGGACAAAGACAAGCCATTTAGGAAATTAGCAAGGACGTTTTAGAAATTTTATCTCTGAAAGTTTGCGTTTTCTTATTTGCAAAGTGACAGTGTTACATACCTACCTAGCTTTGTGGGCGCTTAACAATGCTTGGCACACTAAGTACTCAACAAATGAACAACTTGTTCAAGTACCCCCCCCATATATATATGTATATTTCTCTCTCTCTCTCTCTCTCTCTCTATATATATATATATATATATAGAATTGTTTGGTCTTGAGGTCATTCCCGGCTATTCTCAGCGTTTACTTCTAGCTCTGCGCTCAAGGATTACTGCTGGTGGTGCTCGGGGTGCATATAGGATGCCAGGGATTGAACCCAGGTCCCCTGCGTGCAAGGCAAACGCCATACCCGTCATGCTATGTCCCCAGATGCCTATTTTAAAGGTCGCCTGAGGTAACATAAAAAATCACTGGACTTGGTGGTGGGTGGAGTACACCCAGCTGTGTTCAGTTTCTTCATGGCTCTATGCTTAGGGATCACTACAGGTAATGTTTGGAGAACCGTATGTGGTGCTGCAGGGAATCAAACCTCGTTGGCCAAATGCAAGGCAAGCACTCTACCTGCTGTATTATCTCTCCAGCCCTCTGAAGAACTTATTTAGATACTGGTCTCGGGGGTCCCAGACAGTGCAGATTTAAGGCATTTGCCTTGCAAGTCTCCCAGGCATCATGAGTGATCACTGAACACTGCTGGGAGTGGTACAAAAAGCATTTTAAGAAGGGAAATGTCTTACGGGCCAGGGAGACAGCTCAGTGGTGAACCCCATGCATACAGGAGTCCCAGAGTTTTTTTTTTCTTTTTGGGTCACACCCAGCGATGCACAGAGGTTACTCCTGGCTCTGCACTCAGGAATCACCCCTGGCGGTGCTCAGGGGACCATATGGGATGCTGGGAATCGAACCCAGGTTGGCCGCGTGCAAGGCAAAAGCCCTATCTGCTGTGCTCCAGCCCCAGGAGTCCCAGAGTTTGAGCCCCTACACCACATGGATCCCAGAGCACTACTGGGTGTCGTCTGGGTGTCATCTGCCCCAAACCTCCTGGTCCAATCACATAACACTGGATGGCCTGGTGAGCCCTGACCCAGTTCAGTATTGCTGAAAGTGGCCACAGCACACTGGGGAGCACACTCTAAAATGAAGGAGACTCAGTCCTCAAACCCAAGGAACCACCAGTGCCACCAGTGTGTGTGTGTGTGTGTGTGTGTGTGTGTGTGTGTGTGTGTGTGTTGGGGGTGTAGGTTTCAGCAGTCTTTTCAAAATTTTATTAAAATTTTATTTTAATAAAGTAGTTCTTGATATTTGATTATATTTAATATTTGAATACCATCCCACCATTATATCTCCCCACCACCATATTTTCGATGTTTCCATTCCAAACCCCAACCCCTGCCCCAAAGCAGAACCAAAATAATTTTTGTATTGTTATGAATACATGGCTAAGGATGCGCCAAAAACTTTCCTTAGAGGGGAGTGTATGAAGATTGCTGTATTTCACCCAGGGGCCTTCTATAAGAGATTACTAATATGCTGTTAAAGGTCGAGCGTATCTGTAAAAATATATTTTAAGATTGGTTGCCTTTTATGAGCCGGGAGTGTGGGGGCGACTAAAACCTCATGGGAAGGGGGGCGTTTCGGTCCGCCCTTCATGCCCTACCGAGGCCACCAGTTGCCCCCACGAGTGGCTCTCCAGCACGGCCACAGCCCCAGAAGCACAACGACCTAATGCAGAACCCAGCAGCTTGGAGCAGAAAAGTGAAAGGACTATGCGTTAATCCAGGCAATCATTTCTGCCCAGAGAGGAAAGGGTGTTGCTCCCTTCCGCCCTCCTCCCTCTGGAAAGAAAGATGGCGGCCACATGGGAGCCTTGTGGACAGCAGGTATGAGCCGGGGGTGTGGGGGCGACTAAACCTCATGGGAAGGGGGGCGTTCTGGTCCGTCCTTCACGCCCTACCGAGGTCACCAGTTGCCCCCCGCGAGCGGCTCTCCAGCACGGCCACGGCCCCAGAAGCACAAGGACTTAATGCAGAACCCAGCAGCTTGGAGCAGAAAAGTGAACGGACTATGCATTGATCCAGGCCATCAAGTCTGCCGGAGGGGAAAGGGTGTTGCCCCATTCACCCTCTCCTCTCTGGAAAGAAAGATGGCGGCCACATGGGAGCCTTGTGGACAGCAGATATGAGCCGGGAGTGTGGGGGCGACTAAAACCTCATGGGAAGGGGGGCGTTTCGCTCCGCCCTTCACGCCCTACCGAGGCCACCAGTTGCCCCCCGCGAGCGGCTCTCCAGCACGGCCAGGACTCCAGAACACAGAAACCAATTTCTTAACTATCTGACTTTCAGTAGAAATACTTCCAGGGTCAATAGGTAAAATAGCAGAAATCCAAAACCAACATTTAATTCTTGAACCCAGCCGTAGAAAGCAAATCACTTCACAATGCTTTTTCAACATGTCTGATTTGGGGGGGGGTAAACTCTAAATAATAGTGGTGAATCTTTTATTGAAACAATGAATCTAATCAAAGCAGATAGAGTGTTAACTAGAATTCATCTGCCTCACAGGGGCGGGGAGGGGTGGGGGGTGGGGTTTTATTGGGGTTCTTCATGGTAAAAAATAAGTATTGGTAAAGGGAAATGTGTTTGATATTTGCATGACTGAGACATAAACCTGAAAGCTTTGTAACCTTTCCCACAGTGATTCAATAAATAAATTAAAAAAAAAAAAAAAGATTGGTTGCCTTCTACTATAAACCCCATCTAATGTAGTGTGCTTTTCTTTTTCCGCTTTTTGGGTTACATCCAGCGATGCTCAGGTGATACTCCTGGCTCTGCAGTCAGGAATCACTCCTGGCACTGCTTGGGGGACCATGTGGGATGCTGGGAATCGAACCTGGGTCAGCCGCATGCAAGGCAAATGCCCTCCGCACTGTACTATCACTCCAGACCCTGTAGTGCGCTACTCTTGGAATCTGAGTGGTGTAAGGTATGAGGTGTTCAGGAATAGGTTCACTCATGGGTGAGGCCCAGCCTGAGCGTGTGGAGAGCGGTTGAGTTCTGGAGGTTTTTGGCTGTCAGGGCTGGGGCCCTTTAGGCGGGAGGAGCCTCATTCATCCCCTCTGGGATGCCTTGAGTGAAACAGCATGGCATGGGGTCCCTGTTCAGCAGTCTTTTTTTTTTTAATGTAGGAGTTTTATTCAGCCATTGATTAGACTGATCCTGTTCAGCAGTCTTAATCCCCAAGTAAACCCACATACTTCAAACTTTCTTAGAAGCTCTGCAAGAATGATATATACAATTCCTCCTCCCCATCCCAGAAAACAGAAGGCATGACAATGAAATGAATTTAGTCTCAAAACTGTAAAAAAAGAAAAAAAGAAATGAATCTGTAATTGGTCAATTAGGATCTCTACTGCATCTTTACTAAATGCTTTCTCTGACTTTATTTTGGTTGGGGGGAGGATTGGTGCCAGGGAGTGATCAAAGGGCCTTATATGTATAACGCAATGCATGTGTTCTATCACTGAGCTTTACCCAAATAATATTTCTGACCATCTAACAGTTTTTTTTTTTGTCCCTCAGTCTTAAGGAACTGACAAATTTGCTAAACAAGTCTATCATCATAGAAGCTGAACACCTTAAAATTTTAGAATTGCTAGTTCTTGGGTCAAAGAAGCCCATTTAGTTCTAGGCACACCAAGATCAAAATAAACAATGTAAACTCTAACGAAAAACAGGCAATGTGATACTGCAAATTCCTTCTGAATCTAAGATCATATAGCAAATCACTGTAACATAAGAAATCACGAAAAAAAAAAACAAACAAAAAAACAATGATTAGGTCCCAGGCTTTAGAATTTTTTACCATATATTCCTTGAAACAATGCTGTTTTCCTAGTCCCAAGTCAACTTCTAACTAAGTCTCAAAATATATTTGGCTACACCATGGCCTGGAGGCCAGCCACACATGCTAGGGGAAAAGGCAGCTCAGACAGAGAAGGGAGCACCAAATAAAGGGTGTTGGGAGGATCCTCCCAGGATGGGAGAAGCATGCTGAAAGTAGACTATAGACCAAACATGATTGCCACTCAGTGCCTCTTTTGCAAACCACAACACCCAAAAGGAGAGAGAGAACAAAAGGGAATTCCCTGCACAAAGGCAGGGTGGGATGGGGGGGATGGGGAGGTGGGAGGGATATTGGAATTCGTGGTGGTGGGAAATGGGCACTGGTGGAGGGATGGGTATTTGATCATTGTATAATTGAAACCCAAGCACAAAAATTTGTAAGTCTACAACTGTACCTCATGGTGTTTCACTAATAAAAATTTTATATATATATATATATATATTTGGCTAATGTCCTGCTGCATTATAACTATTATCACTTGGTTAAGTTTTTATAATGAAAGAATACACACAAAGGATAGTAATACCAGTCATTTGCTAATGGATTAACCTAAGATTATAGTTCTTCAAGTGTTCTTGGGCAATTTTTCTAATCACCACAGCAAAGAGCAATAGTGAAATGTTACGTAAATGTTAACACTTTCCCCGAAAGTTAGAGTGAGGGAAGATTGTGATCCTTGGTTTTAACAAAAAGTAAGGTGGTAAATAAAAACTAAGAACAAGTCCCACAGGGCTTTGGAAGAGCGACTGTTAAAGAAAAGTCTATAAAAGTAGAAATATAACTGGTTAAGTGAGAGTCTGGTTCAAACCCCAGGATTACCCCCAATACCTTACACGAGGGTGATCCTAATGGTTTGACCACTGATAGTATGTGTGACCCTCAGTGAGCAGTGTAATCAAGTGTGGGTGCACCATAACCACGTGTTAGACCCCCGGACATCACAGCAACAACAAAAGGGAGAGGAAGAGGGAAATAAATAAGAAACAAATGAGAGAAGCATAAGTTTGTTAAAATTTTCTTTTATATTAAAAAGTGGCATGAACTTTCTATGTAGAACACAAATCTTGGGAAGGCAAAATTGGATAAAACCATTAACAGAAATAGTGCTTCAAATGAATCCCATAACCTGTGATCTCTCTCATTAACAGTTTCTAAACCAACACCAGATACAAGGTCAGTCCTAAAAAATGAGCAGCAATACTGGGTCTCCATACCACTTCATGAAGGAAAAATTGTTTCAATTAAGCTAGAAGGACCTGTTTCCTTTGTATTAGCTCCTGATTCTGAAGCATCATAGTCCCTTTCGCAGGGTGCTCAGTCACAAGCACTTAGAAGATGAAGTGTTTCTCTGTATCTAGTGCTAACACCCAGTGAATGGCATGAAGGTAAAGCATTACCTACAGGACTCCTCAATGCTGCCCCTGAAGGCTTACAAAACAGTAGTCAAAAGTTCTGGAATGGGCACCACATTGCCAGCAATGGGATATGTCACAGTAACAGATGTCAAAAGAGTTAAACTAATATTTCTCTCTAAAGTACATCTGAAATAGAAAAATCTTTAATATACACCATTTGTAAACAAAATTGCACTTGATTTTACTTTTTTTTAAAAAAATGATCTGAATCACACTGTAACAGTTTTTCCTTTTTTTAATCATTGATAGAACCATGGCTCCTTAATGCAGGACTCTTTTTTGCCCCCCCTTAAAAATACCTCTGCAATATGTAATCTTGGCTTCCCAGGAAATGGAAAGATAATTAACAATTTTCCCCATCACATATGTAACTCCCTAAATAAATAAAATTTACAGACAGCTGCTCCTGGAGATTACATATTATGGTGCTGATGTCATAGTTTTTAAAGATGTTAAAACTTTTTAGTTTGACAGATTCAACAATCAAAACATTATAGGAGGTTGAAGAACAACACACGTAAGTTGAATAAACATCCATGTCAGGGTGTGGGAGAAAAAGGGCATCAAGTTGTAAAGAAGAAACTTGTAGATTTTCCTCATACTATGGACTTGTTTCCATTAAGATGTATCTCCTTGTTCCGATACCTTTTTGCCAGCTTCAATGCCCAAAGACAAGGAACGGATCAAGACGTCACTGCCTCCTTTCGCCCCACAGAGCAGTGCAGACAACTGACACAGACGCTGATCTCTTCCTCGATACCAGCATCTCAATTGCAAATATTTCCTTTCTTTACTCCATTTTGGATCTTTCAAAATGTGTGATCATTCGTTCCTAGGAGCGGGAGAAAAAAGGTTTATTCTAAGTATCAATTTTAAATGGCCTATATTCTCAGTAGCTTCTATATAAGTAATGTGTATGTATTTTCCACAGGTTTTTATACTTATTATTTAGCACAATGGTTTCTAACAACCCACAAAGATACTAAAGCATACAAAAGTCTGCGACTAACTGAATCAAATCTCCACATTTCTGTGTAACAAACCACAAATCAGAAGGAATTATACATTTTTTTTTTTTTTTTTTTTTTTTTGCTTTTTGGGTCACACCCGGCGATGCTCAGGGGTTACTCCTGGCTCATGCACTCAGGAATTACTCCTGGCGGTGCTCGGGGGACCATATGGGATGCTGGGAATCGAACCTGGGTCGGCCATGTTGGCTGCGTGCAAGGCAAACGCCCTACCTGCTGTGCTATCGCTCCAGCCCCGGAATTATACATTTTAGAGTAAAGTAATATGACTACGTATTTACTTAGATAAAGCTTTAACAAAAAAAGTATACATATTCTGACTCAGGAATTTTTTTTTTTTTTCTATTTTACTGGGGGTGGGTGGGGGGGTATGTTTGGGTCCACAATCAACACTGCTCAGGAGCTATTACTGGCTCTGTGCTAAGTGGTCACTCCTGGCAGTACTCAGGGGCCCATGTGCATTGCTGGGAATTGAACAAAGGTCAGATGAATACAAAGCAAGTAATTTAATCCCTGCACTATCTCTCCAGCTCTGATTCAGGAATTTAGCAAGAACTAGTCATGGAATTAATCACAAGCATTTTTACTGCAATACTGAGAATTATGACAAAGTACCAGAAAAATTATCTGTCTAAAAAAAATTGTCATGATATACCAAATGAATATGTAACTCATTGAAATACTTGATGAGGGCTGGGGATTATGGTTTAAGGGGCTAGAAGCTTATGCTTTGCATTCAGGAGCCCTAACTGATCCCTACCACTGCATAGTCCCCTAAGCCCTGTTAAGAATGGCCTCTTTAGGAAAGGGCAGTTCAGATAGAGAAGGGAGCACCAAATAAAGGGTGTTTGGAGGATCCTCCCAGGAGGGGAGATGCATGTCGAAAGTAGACTATGGACTGAACATGTTTGCCACTCAATGCCTCTTTTGCAGTCCACAACACCCAAAAGGAGAGAGAGAACACAGGGGATTGCCCTGCCACAGAGGCAGGGGGTGATGGGGGGATGGGGGTGGGAGGGATATTATCCATGGTGGTGGAAAATGGGCAGTGGTGGAGGGATGGGTATCTGATCATTGTATAATTGAAACCAAGGCACAAAAAATTGTAAATCTACAACTGTAAAAAAAAATAAAATAAAATAAAGGGAAAAAAAAAAAGAATGGCCTCTTTAAATAAAGAAATTATTTAATTTGATTTAAAAAAATCCTAGAGACCAAAGCTGTGCATGGGAGAGGTCTGGGATCACATATTTCCCTCATACTGCCAAGAGCAGCCCCCAGGAACCACTGGATCTGGCCTTAAAATCCAAAGAACAAAATAACCCTTCTGGGACTAGGAGCTTACCTCAAAGGGCTGGACTGCAAGCTCTGGATGCATGAGGCTCCAGTGAGACCCTTATACTGCAGAGCAGTGTAAGAGCTATAACGCAGTCTCCAAGCACCACTGGGCCTGAACATTTGTTCAGTGCCAAGTATTGCTGAGAGTGGCTCCTGGACTCCCAAGCTTTCTATGCATAAAACAATAACATTAAATCCTCAATAAAATAAAATTAGAGGGGCTGGAGCAATAGCACAGCGGGTAGGGCGTTTGCCTTGCACGCAGCCAACATGGCCGACACAGGTTCGATTCCCAGCACCCCATATGGTCCCCTGAGCTCTGCCAGGAGCAATTCCTGAGTGCATGAGCCAGGAGTAACCCCTGAGCATCGCTGGGTGTGACCCAAAAAGCAAAATAAATAAACAAATAAATAAAATAAAATTAGAGAGAAAAATAATTAACATCGTTTGTGTGCTATTAGGAAAGCAGTAGAAAATATTCCTCACAAAATGAGAAAACAAAGAAAAAGGCTGGAGATCTAGGAAATAAAGGGTCCACCAAAGAGAGGGAAGGATAAATTTGTAAGACAACCACATAAGGTCTAGTAGCCCCTAGAACCAACAGGCTTGAGCAGCTCTGACCTGCACAATAGGCCCAAGATTTGCAGCATAGGAGTAGCCCCTAACCATCCTGAACACTGCTTGAAAGCACCCTTCCCACCCCGCAAAAAACCCAAGGACATATACAGGAAGAAATTTCTTGAACATTTCAGTTTTCACATCAGTATTTCTAGTCCCATCCATCTTTAATTAAACCAGCTTCTACAGATTATTACTGAATCAAAAAAAATCTCCTAGAATACAGAATTTATGAATCCCAATAAAGTCCTAAGAGTCACACTATATGCACATGATTTGATTACTAACCTCATCTGAATCCAAAAGGGCTGGAAGAGCTCTGCAGAGAGAAAAACATGAAACTGAACATAAACAGCTGATTCAGTAGAATACAATTTAAAGATTTTTAATAGCGAAGATTTGCATCTCATTAAGTGTTACGGGGACCAGAGAGAGCACAAATACAAAAATAAGAATCTGTTACTGGAGCTGTATAGAAAAAACATGTTCTCCATTATATAGGATTAAAATTTAAATAAAAGATGAGCCATGGAAAGAAACTAAAGAAATCCATTATCCCAATGATTTTGTGAAGAGCTATAACTAAATCCACCCCCGCCTTGTGCCAAAGATTGAACCCAGAACCTTATATATGCTAGGCTAGCTAAATCCGATTTATTCCATACTTTTAATGTGCAGTATAATGTCAATTGTGGGCAAGGAAAATATGCTCTTTTGAGAATAGGGCGTGCAGCTCAGTGACAGAGATGCCTCGGAGTCTCAGAACATACATATTACGGGGCCGGAATTCCAATCCAAAGATACCAACCCCAAATCCTATGCTTTCAACCATTAACATAATACTACCTATGTCCCTCAAAGACACCATCTTTCATAACCCTAGATTCATAAAAAAAGAAACATCTGAATGACCAGGTGTTTATTTGTAAAGTTCTGATTTGGAAAGTTGTACTACTCAGTTAATTCATCTAACAATCTAATAATATTGTCCAAAGAAAATTGGCAGAATTACTATTTAGTTATACTGATAATTCAACTATTATGTAGCACACTGCTCACATGAAGGCTTGCTAAATCTTTTTAAGCAGAAATGTCATCTGAACAAATAAGCCTAATTCTGGGACAAGTGGAGACGTTACTGGCGCCCGCTCGAGCAAATCGACGACTAACGGGAAGTTAAGTGATTAAGTGATTTGTTTCTAATCTTTATTTTTAAGAGCCTTTAAATGTCTTTAATATAAAAAGTAATTTGATCTCTTGCTTTTTGTTTTGGGAGCACCCCTGGCTTTGTGCTCAGTTGGCTGGGGCTTGGAGGAACACAGTGTAGGGAATCAATCCTAGATCAGGCATATGCAAAGGCAAGTGTCTTACCCTCCCTACAATCTCTCTGGCCCTCATCTCTTAACTCTAAAGTTAATTACAAACATTCTCCTTAGTATAGTCTCCAAGTAATACAATAATAGATATGCTTGAAATTGGATTTTTGTGGTGATGATTTAGAAACTTACACATCTGTCACAGAAGAAGGCACATTCTCTTCTACCCACTTCAAATCATCTTCCTGCTGGGAATATACAATTTAAATATCATCACAAAAATTCACAAATAAATCATCTCAAGAAAGCATCTATAGGGCTCTTAAAATCTTGCTGCACTTTAACCTTTTGTCACTGAAATAGTATTCACATAAAAAATGATACCACTAATAGCAAAGTAAAAATAATTTACTTATTTACACAGATTTTTGCATTATGTAAGCTTTGTTCCAAATTTACTTCCTAAGACAGAAAAATTCTAAAATTCTTTGAGTGGAAAGAAACTTTGATCTACGTGGCCGACCAAAGTTCGATTCCTCCGCCCCTCTCGGCGAGCCGGGCAAGCTATTGAGAGTATCACGCCCGCACAGCAAAGCCTGGCAAGCTCCCCGTGACGTATTCGATATGCCAAACAGAGTAACAACAAGTCTCACAACGGAGACGTTACTGGGCCTGCTCGAACAAATCGATGAACAACGGGAGGACAGTGCTACAGTGCTACTCGACTATTATTGGGAGTGTAACTTCATTATGGGTTCCCATACCACCTTGCATTGCTGAGTATAGCTTGGTGGTCCATAAATACTGTCTGAAGGGCCAACCCAATAATAAGGTAAATGTAATATATATTAAAAGATTCATACAGCAAGCAAAAGAAATTTTAGCAAAAAAAAATTAATCACTGAGGTCTATAGTTGCTGAGCTCTACCAACAACTGAAGTACAGTACAAAAAGGAAAGGAAAGAAGTCCTACTTACTGCTTTGTTTACTTTACTGTTTCCATTTGGTTCCTGTTTGGTACTTCTCATTTTCATTCCTTCTATAGAAGGAAAAAAAAAGTGGATTGGTTAACAACATCAAAGACTAGCATTGCCTGCAAAAGGTAATTCAAAGCAGCATATACTTCCCATCATTACGTTTATTTCAAGAAGTTCAAAGTCAAACAGCTCATTTCTAGATAAAAAACTGCACATTTGGTGTGCAATTACAGTATTTACCACGGTTTCATCTTAAGAACCAAGCCCTTAATAAATTTGCTTTCCCCAAAGTTTACCACATACTAAGTTAAGGTACAATACAGCTCTATAACTATAAACCATGTAACTACTTAAAGCAAAATACTTTGATTTTGATACTCCCAAATGTTATACATGTTTTACCCTAATTATAAAAAGAAGAAAGGGTTATTTAAAGCACACACACACAAAAAGGTGAATTTTATCACTACCAAAGCTTTCTTTTAGCATCGGTTCCTTTTGTTCATCTTCTTCTTCTTCCTCAGACAATGGTGAAAAGGCAAACCTGAGCAGACAAAAGTATACGAAAGGATTAAAATTAGAAAAACATAAAATTTGCTCCACTGCCTGGATTTTATAGGGGTGGTTATTTTTATAATTTTTGTTTTTAAATAAGAGATGGCTTTTTAATTTTCCCTCCGTCCCCCCGGCTGTTGTTACAATGACAGGAAGTTGCATACTTCACTTGGCTGCCATACTTTCACACACTTGGTTCTGGTGCAGCTAAGATTGCATAATTTTGTTGCATCCCATACTTGGCATACGGGGCAGTGCCAAGGGTAAAACTTGTCTCATGCTCATGAAGCAGGAGCACTGCCACTGAGCTCTCACTGGGGCTCAGGGCTAATTACTGAAAACAAAGTTACAGACTTCATAAAATCAGTTTAAAGAATAATAAAATAATTCTCCCTCAGAAAGTTCTCAATTGCCAGCTTAACTAGGGAGCTGCAGAAAGAGATCATACTTATGAATGTTGACTCAGTCACATATAACCTGTGATCTTGGGTTACCTATTCTCTTTGTAAATGAGGATGACAGCAGAACAATACTCACATGTTTTGTAAAAAGTCACTTTGAATAAAGTACTAAAAATAATATCTGACACATAAGCTAACATTCAATAATATCAAGTTATAAGCATGTAAGAGGTAAGTAACTTCTCACGTAACTTAAAATATCTGTCTTCAAATCAGTAATCAAGAAATGAAATCTGTATCTTGTGTATCCAGATTTGCAAGTTAGGCGCTAAAGAGCATAACAGTCTGTTCTGGTGTAGCTTAAATTCAAATACACTCAGCAACTGGCAGATGATTCCTAGAACGTTTTTAGCTTTGAACTCAATTTACTTTTTCCATTTTCTATCCTCTTCAGGATAAATAACAGGGCATACCTTAAAACTTGTAAAATTTTTTTCAGTAAAAAAAATTTCAGTCAGTATCAAAATTAGTGATGATTATTTATTTCCTTTTTGGGTCACACCCAGCAATGCTCAGGGGTTACTCCTGGCTTTGCACTCAGGAATTACTCCTGGCAGTGGTCAGGGGACCAAATGGGATGCCAAGGATCAAACCCGGGTCGACCGCGTGCAAGGCAAATGCTCTACCCGCTGTGCTATTGCTCCGGCCCCAGTGATGTTACCTTAATGTATTTTTCATTTGTTTTTTTTCTGAGCCAGACCTGTAAAGCCAGGGCTTTACTCCTGGCTCTGTGCTCAGGGATCACTCTTGGCAGGCTCAGCAGATCATATGGGATGCTAGTGAATCAAAACCCGGTAAGCTATGTGCTTACCACTAAGGTATTTCTTCAGCCCCTTGAAAAGTATTTTAAACTGAGATAATATCGCCCGCTTTGTTATTTTTACTCAAAATCTTAGAGAAGGTCTGGGTAATGTAAGAAACAGAAAGATTATTTGGAAAGGAAGCAATTACACTGTTATCATTTAGAAAATCAATTTAATGAGAAAAATCTAGAAAATTTCAGAAGATAATGTAGGAGGGCTAGTGAATGTGAGAAATAAGTCAACAGCATTCTTATATACATAGAAAATTATTTTCGCCTTTCGCCTTTTTCCCTCTGGAAAGATAGATGGCAGCCGCTTCTGAGCTTTACGGAAAGCCAGGTATGAGCCAGCTGTGATGGGGCGACCGAAACCTCATGGGAAGGGGGGTGTTCCCAGCTCGTCCTTCACGCCCTACCGAGATCAGGAGTTGCCCCCCATGAGCGGCTCTCCAGCATGGCCATGGCTCCAGAGCCACAGAAACCAATCTCATAATTATCTGACTCTCAGCAGAAATACTTCCAGGCTTAATAAGTAAAATACCAGAAATTCAAAATCATTTGGTTCTTGTAACCAGCTGTAGAAAACAAATTATTTCACAATGCCTTTTTAGCATGTCTGATTTAGGGGTGTAAACTCTAAATAATAATGGTGCATCTTTTGTAGAAACAATGAATCTAATCAAAATAGATAGAGTGTTAACTAGAATTCATCTGCCTCACAGGCCAATATTGGGAGGGTTGGGGGGGGGGGTTTATTGGGGTTCTTGGTGGTGAAAAGTAAGTATTGGTGAAGGGAAATGTGTTTGATAATTGCATGACTGAGACTTAAACCTGAAAGCTTTGTAACTTTTCCCACAGTGATTCAATAAATAAAAAAAAAAGAAAATTATTTTCTATTACTATATTTTTTGGTTTCACTTTTTTGAGAGCCACATGGGACCCCAGTGTGCTGGGGGACCACGAGGTTGGGGATTGAACTAGAGGCTCCCACATGCAAGTCGGTCACTCCAGCCTTCTGAGTCATCTCGTTGGCCCATGAATTATTTGAAAAGGATGTATACATCAGAGCCAATTTTTTAAAAATCTTTTCAAATGGAAGTTATAAAACCTAACTGAAGCACTGAAAGAAGTAGATACAACATACCCAGGAATGGAATCATTAAAAAGATATATAACTGCCTTAATCCATAAACTCAAATTCTTATCAAAATTTGATTGCTGTTCTAGAATAATTTTTGCAATTATATACTTAAAGAGCCAAAATGCAAATGCAAATAATATTTTTTGAAAAGATTAAGGGTGAGGATGGTTCATGTCCTTCAATACCAAGATACCTCAGGAAGCTAACATAATTTAGGGGAAAAAAAGAAAGATAATTAAGACAGTTGCTAGTGATGCATGATCAGAACAACAGAAGAGAGAACCTACAATCAATTCTTTTTCCTTGTGGGGGCCTTTCAGCAGTGGTTTGGGGGCCCCAGTGGCAATTCTTAGCCAACTGGATCAACGGATCATTACAAGGGCCTAGAGATGCAACGCTGCTTGGGCCTGGATTCAAGATCTGAGTCACATGCTCTACAACTTTGAATATCTTCCCAGCCATTAGAAAGATTTTGATTCTTGAGTCACACACAGCAGTGTTCAGGGCTTACTCTTGGCTTGATGCTCAGAGATCATTCCAAGATGGGTCTCAGGAGATCTGGAGAGAATTTCTTATGAAGGGCACAAAAGGCCTGGAGAGATAGCACAGAGGATAAGGCACTTGTTGTGCAAAGCAGCCTACCTCCATTCATCCCAGGCACCATAGAAGGTCCTCTGCCAGGAGTGATCCCTGAGCACAGAACCAGGAGTAAGCCCTAAGCACAGCTGAATGCTTGGCTCCAAAACAACCAAAAGGAAGAATGTAAACAAAGGCACAGATAATCACAAAATAAAGATAGCCATTTCTCAAGTGTGATTTGTCTAGTTGGATAAAACAAAGTCACATGACTTTTTAATTGCAAAATTGGTCCCATTAATTTTCTACTGACTAAGAAATTGTTCTGTGCCAGAGAGATAGTACAAGGGCGAATAAGGGCCTGCCTTGCATGCTGCCTTATCAGGTTTGGTCCCTGGCATGACAACTGGTCCCTTCAGCACCACCATAGGTAACTCCTGAACACTAAGCCAGAGCAGCCCTTTGAAAACTATAGTGAAGAGCTCAAGCTACCCCCAGCCTCACTCTCCCCAAAAAGTCAAATTAACAGAAGAGCAAAGTGAGACAGGAGCCCAATTCTCCTGATTCCAGACATAATGAAGTCTACTTAATCACATGACCCTAACAATCATCCTTCAAACCAGTCCTAAATATGATCATTCAAATATTGGGAATAGTGTTTACCTCTGGTTATTTGCAGATGGTCGCCAAAGGATCATGATGACAAAGAGTATCATGGAGAATAACAACCTCCAGATGGCATCATCCACCCACAGCTCCCTCCAATCCTACCAAAAGAGGAAAAAGTACATTTACATACATTAGCTTAACCTTTGGCAGGGAACACAAGTCACTTATTAGACATCCAAGTTATATTCAGAGTCAGCTGTATGAGAAACTCTGTGCTAAGTTCTGGTCTAAAACCAATGAGACAGTTTCTTCCCTTGTAGTGTTTATTGTTTACTATCAACTGAATAAAGCACATTTTAATGCTTCATTATAGCTCTGAAAATCTTTAGAAGAAAATAATTAGGTTATTTTTTAAAAACAATTTTCATATATTCATTTTTACCAAAGACAAGCTTAGCGGTCTCCAAAGATATGCTATTGTTGAGGTTTTATCTGCAGCTCTTAAGAAGATAGCATCTATTCAGATTTGCATCATAACTTTTAGTTAAGGTAAAATTGGGTTATGACAGACTATGACTATCACTTATATCCTTACCACTGGGCTACAAAATCATACAACAAAGCAAAATATAATATGGACTAATGAGGGAAGCATTCTAACCTTCAGAATTTAAATCTAGATCTACCTACTTACATGGAGCAAATCTTACCATTGTGGTCAATATCGCTTGTATACAGTACAACATACTTTGTAAATGCACAGGCTTATAACTCACCGACTGACAAGTTACTATCCTGAACTTCATGGTGGTCCACATGATAAACACAATAGATGCTAGCAGAAAATAAAAGAATCCGATCAGAACATAATGCTGTTTATACATCCTAGATACATATTCTGATTTGGTTTAAATGGTATCTTCTATATTTGTGGCCAATAATCTTAAATGAGATGAATTAGTTTATTTAATACAAGTTTATATAATACAAATTTTATCTAATTCAAGTTTACTTAACATGATATATGTTTATCAAGTCTCTTCACTTAAAGAATAGTTCTGTATACCATCTGGCCACTCAGCAACTCTAAGAATTAGAAAACAAAGTATTGTAAATATGACTTTACCTAGTGTTATTAATATAATGTCTTCCTTCCTTTTATTTTATATATACCCTTAATATTATGTATGTTATAAATATTCCTTATATATCCTTAATAGCATTCCTTATTTTTCTTTAGGAAGGTCAGATGACTGAAATACAAACAGAAAAGTTGGTTCCAGTTATATACCAGATTTGGTACCATGGGCCAGAGACAGTACACTTACTGTCACATGGCAGAATTAGGTTTGATTCCTACCACTCCAGATAGTCTCCTGAGCCCCATCAGGAGTGATCCCTGAGCACTGACTGCAGAGCCAGGAGTAAGCCCGGAGCACCACTGGGTGTGGCACCAGGGCCAAAAGGAAGGTTTGGCTATGGTCGATCTAATGTCTATTGTTATTTCATTCATACTTAAGTGATATGTAAAAGCAACAAGGTAACCTGATCTAATGTTCTTTAATGAAGCCAAAACCATAAGTACTAAAGTCTTCTAAGTGAAATCTACATGTTACATGCCATTCAAGCTAATCTGTCTCTAGAATAAAAATGGAGGGGCAGAGATGAGTTGAGTTGTGAGCTCTATGGGCTGATTACATGCTCTGCACATGAGAAACCAGGTTCGATTCCCAGCACATGGTCCCCTGCCTGGAGGAAACAACGCCCAAGCACAGAGCCACGAGAAGCCTACCAGCACCATACCATTAGGTATGGTCTCAAAGAACAAAAAACAAAACACAAAAGAATGGAGATATATATACTGAGCTGAAATTATATGCAGTTGATTTTCACCCATGATCTTTAAAATAGTAAAATAGGCAGTTCTCAATCTTTTTTTTTTTGAAGACCCTTTGATTATTTGACAAAGCTAAAGTCTTTCCTCCAAATGGAAAACAAAAAATCTGCACGCCAATTATAAAGCCTATCCCCTGCATCTTTTTAGTTAAGAGTTATGAATCTGTTCTTAAAGTATTTAACTGTTAAGAATCTGTTCTTAAAGAACTGTATTTAAACAGCAAGGGAAAGTCCCCAACGTACCTGCCACTGCCATAATAAGTGTGTTGGTAAAATGTCGGTACAAAGAGAGTTTTACAATGTTTCTCCGAAGTTTCAACAGCTTCATTGTTTGAGTCAAGCTAATAAATATGTGTTTGCAAGTCAAGGAAATCAACATTCAGAAAAATACAATAAGTGAGCAAATTAATAGTCAAATTTGAGAATATGGGATCATACTGATAAAGCTAAGGATCCAGGCGCCCTTACAGCTTTCTTGTTCTTGTCTTAAAACACTTCAAGCGGGGCTGGAGCGATAGTACAGCGGGTAGAGTGTTTGCCTTGCAAGCGGTCAACCCAGGTTCGATTCCCAGCATCCCATATGGTCCCCTGAGCTCCACCAAGAGTAATTCCTGAATGCAAAGCCAGGAGTAACCCCTGCGCATCACTGGATGTGACCCAAAAAGCAAAAAACAAACAAACAAACAAACAAACAAAAAAAACAACTTCACGCATCATTATTACTAATAAGGAAAACTTTTTCTGTGAGATGTGAAGAGAGGACAGAAAAATAAAAAAGAAAATACGCCAAAAGAAAGGAAATAATAAAGAAATTTAAAAGGAAGAAAATTTAGATAGAGACAAAACAAAAAAGACAAAAGGAAGACAAGGAAATGAAAAATGAGTAAAAGGCAAAGGAACAGGAACCAGCATCAATGCCCCTCTTCCTTTAAAGCGGGCACTTCTATCCTGACTCTTCATGCGATGTCTGTCTAGGGTTATAAATAGACTCATGCTGAAGCCTCCCTCTCCCCCACGTTCTACAGTCATGCCATGCTAAGGAACCTGCTTAAATTGTCTGAGCTAAGGTGAACTGAAAGGACTATACAATTACATTAGCTGACAGGAACTACAAACAATGACTTCATTTTCGGAACATTATTCCCAAGTAAAAGCTGCCAGAGAAAAAGCAATGACTACTAAAGATGGTATTTAGTCTCATGTCTAACTTTCAAAATCAGCTGATATGAATGTGAGTAAGCTGGACCTTGGTCTGCTCTTTGACGGGGGCTTTACTACCTACTCACAGGTTACCTTCATACACGATGTCCAGTCTCACTCTTTCTCCACTCTTCTCTTACTTGCAGAGGTTCACAGAGTCCACTTCACATACATTAACCCAGATATGCTCTGGTCATATGGGCCCAAAACATTTCAATTTCAAACATGTTTGATACATGACAATCCACTCAAATTAATAAAATTATAATTTTGTTTACATTCATCTTTTTATATAGTCTATCAAGACAATAATCTTGTAAAACTGCACAATGCATTAAATACACAAAAATCAAAATAAATTCAAAATAACCCCAAAATGAAGTTCACAAGCTTAAATCCTTCATCTAGTAGGCTAAGTTTCTAATAAACAAGTGTTTAATTTTAATAGAAAATTACTGAAATAGAACTTGTTATCTGCTTGTTGATTTTGCCTGTAGATAAATTAATATTATTTCAAAGAGTAGAAGTCTTCAGACAATTTCAAGTCACCTTTTGAATAAGGACACAAAACACTTAACCTATAAGGGCTAAAATCTGCTCAACTTACATAGAGCCCACAACCTTATATATGATTACACAATGAATGCCACATTTTTAAGAATCAAAAAAAATCATAATTTTCAAAGCATTTTATAATTGTTAGAGGCTAAAAGAAAAGCAGAATCAGATCACCTAGTGGTTCTAACATTAGGTAGGGCACACAGCAAAAAAAAAAATATCAAGGTGGAATCCCCATTTAAAAAAAAATAGGAATGCCAGAAAATTTTCTTCTGTCCTTAGTCCATAGTCACCAACTTTTGGGTGCAATTCTGAAAACTAGAAACAAACCAAAAATTGCTTACCTGAACCAAACTACTTATTCCCCAGGCTAAGACGTACATCAACAAAACTGATTTTAAAAAAACAAACAAACAAAAACATGTTGCAGAAAGATCAATGGAACCCATCTCCAAGAAAAAAAAAATAACCACCATCAAACAAGTCAATGAGAAGGATATCCACCAGCACAGGGCAGTGTCTAGGAAAGCCAAGGGGATAAAGGCCAAGGAAGCAAGATCAGGCTGGGCCTGCAGACAAAGAAAAAGAAGTAGTGAAAAATAGATGTCTAGATGTCTAGACAGGTACAGAGAAGAAACTACCACATGATTCTGGCACATTTTATAATCATCTGGAAAGATTTTGCATTCAAAATTAAAGAAAATAAAAAGAATACTTGACACCTACTTTATTCTTCTCTCAGATAAACCATCATAAACTATATTCGCACAAACTGTGAATCATAATCTCAACACAATGAAACTAATACTACTAATGATTAAGAGATAGTCACCAGAGTCTCTAGGAAGGTAACAGCAATGGTAAGAAGTGACCACACCCCTTCCCAAAAGAACCCCCACAACAGTGCTGTAAGTCCCATCCTTTTCTATCATTTTGATTGTTTATAAGCTGCATCTCAATTTTTAAATTAATGTATTATTAACATAGTAATGAATTCCAGAATATGATATTTTTATAAACCTGAGTTCACCTTAAAATAAAATATAAAGTGTCTGTTTCCAAAACTTGCTTTTACCAGTTATATACACATAATATTCTACATATAATCCTAATACTCCAATTATGAGGGCAATATTCAAAGGATATCCATAATATAATACAGGCATCAATTGCTGAGAGGGCGAGGCTTATTATCACAGCCAAGGAATAAGGAAAAAACTACAGAAGAAGAAAGAAAATGAAATTGACAGAGGGTTAAAGTTGCTAAAAGTCTAAGAAAAATTCTATCCAGGACAGAGTGATTGATTTGTATGTTATTTAAAGGATCGATTTATTTGAACCCAGTTTTATTAAGGGCAAAGTCAAGTTTATAGCGTTTGCCACCACGAGTATAACAGTTTATACAGTAATATTAAAATGTATTTAAAATACACTAGAATAACCTAGGGAGGTTCACTTTTTCACATTAATCCAGCTGAATATAAATCTCATTATAACATATTTCAGTGCTTTGACTTCTTTCCCTTGCAAAAATTACAAGTATGAAATCCTCAAAAAAAAAGTAGATTTAATGTAGTTACATTTTAAGAAAGTCTTTGAAATTCAAGAGCAAGCAAAAAAAAAAAAGCACTGCTACTTTGAAATAAAAACTAAGATTAGCAATAAGTTTATGATTACAATGTTTGCCCCTTTTACAATGAGAGTCCACGAGAAGAGGAGCTAAAGGATCAATTTGGGAACATGTGGGAAAGTATTCATTCCCAGTTACCCATTAGATCTATAAAGCTCTATGAGATTAAAAAGAAAAATGATGATGTATGCATTCTCAAAATCAGAATTCAAAGGTGACTTTGAAAAAAGCCCAAAAAAGCCCACAGACACTTTCAATTCACCCTTTCAAATACTCAAATCTAAAACGATACTCTTGTATTGAACACAAAAACCTTGAACTACGGTGTACTCACCCCAGTAACTCTGAGGACCCCTTCCATACCAGAGAACAGAAGATAGAGAGCTCCTGCTACCACCACCTTGTGAAGAGTGACTCCAAGGCGAGGTCTAGAAGGAAAACAGATAGCTGAGTCAAAAACTACAAATCCAAGACTGTAACAGAAACCCAATTACCAAGGCCAAAACACAGTAGTTAATAGCGATACTTTATGCAGGACCAGTGACTAAAAACTCCAGGTCTCAAGGGGTCAGGAATGGGCACCTCTTCCCATCTCCCCATCCTTCTGGGGTCCGGACAGTCATGCCCACAAACTGCCTCTGGAACATTTAAGTGCATTAACAGCCATGATCCAGAGTCTCACAAATGAATCTCCGAAGAGAGCCGCTTGCTGCAGAGATGTCTCCAACCCCAAGTATTTAAAATTGTAGAATTCTAGGAGCACATGGCCACCTGACATCTTATACTATTCATAACAAGCAATACAAAGTAAATTATTTCGCATCTGCCTATGGGGCAGGCTGGAATGGTGGTGGGAAAATTCAAAATAATGGTAGGGGGAAGGTGTAGTGGTGGTGGCACTGGTGTTGAAAGATTGAATGTAATCAATTATTGTGAACAAACTATGAAAATAAAATTTAAAAATTTTAAAAAAAGATACTTTACTTAGCTAAGAGAAAAAACTCAAAAGAACATAGGGTCTTGAAATAAGACAGTGAGGTCCGTGAGATAGTACAGGGCACGAGCACTCAACCTGGGCTCGAGACCTGGAACCACCCTGAGCACTGCTGAGTGTAGCCTCAGAGACTGCTGGCATGGCCTGGGTATCCCCAGCACAGCAGGACCTGGACACATTGTGTCCTCAGGTCCGTGTGCTGAATCAACGGCTTGATTGGCCAAGAATCACCTGTGGGGGTACCCCAAAATTCCAGAGCACCAGCTGGGAGACAACCCCTACACCCAACCAGAATATTCCCACCCTCCACCAAAAAAGAAAATAGGATAGCAGATACTTAAGAAGCAAGTCCCTGGTTACCACATTAAAAAGAAAAGAACCAACTTTATATTTATTATAGCGAATTCTGTAACATAATCAACAATGTAAGAATTCCAACACACCCAACACCATCCCATCCCAATAACCTATCACCAATCCTACCCCAGGCACAACCATTCGCTTTCCATTCTCCCATTTAATTAAAACAAACATTAGACATATTCTTTAGCTGTACGTACTTCAGTACATGATTTTCTTATATATGTATTTTTTAAAAGTGTAAAATCAGAACAAAACTAAAAACCAGTATTCTTTAATACAATCAAATGTCCTTTTTAACTCATTATTGTCTAGTTCAAGCTCAAAAATCCAACAAAAATTGAAGTCTTCAAGCAGTTTCTGTTTAAAGGAATTCTTAAATTCCCGATCTTCAAATGCAACTGAATTAGGACCTACACAGGTGATTAAATTTGAAATGCACTGCCTCAAATTATGCCTTAGCATTATTTATTCTTGTATTTTTTATTATATATCAGAAATTTTCAATATAGATAGGGATTTTTCTCCCAACTTAGTATACCTTAGAAAACTAAAATACTTCACAGCATAAAGGAAGTATTCAAATATTTTTTCTTTTTGGGTCACACCTGGCGATGCACAGGGGTTACTCCTGGCTCTGCACTCAGGAGTTACTCCTGGCGGTGCTCAGGGGAACATATAGGATGCTGGGAATCGAACCTGGGTCGGCCGCGTGCAAGGCAAACGTCCTACCCGCTGTGCTATCTCTCCAGCCCCTCAAATATTTTTAAGGAAATAAATAAACTTAAAGCCTGTCCGATTTAAAGCAATTTCCTGTCCAATTTAAAGCAAAACTTTAAATAAGTTAAAAGAACTAAAAGCCCCCATTTCTTTAATCTCGCTTAAAGCAAAACCCCTTCAAATAGCTTCTGCATCTATAGCTCTAGTTCGACTTCCTACTCTCTCCTCAACTCATCCCAAGTGGCTTTTGTTTTATTACTTCACCAAAACCATTCTTGTTAAAATCATTAATATGTCCCCTATAATTAAAAATCCAATGATGAGGGCTGAAAAGATAGGACAGGGGTATAGCTTGCCTTGCAAGGGCTGTCCCGGTTCAGTCCCTGGTACTACATATGGTCCTGAGCAACACCAAGAGTAAGCCTGAAGCAAGGAATAAACCATGAGCACCACTGTGTATGGCCCAAAACGCCAACAAAATCCAATAATGGACTCCCTATGTTCTTATCTGACACAATCATGTCTTTCTTGAAACAGTCTTCAAGTTTGATCTCCATAGCACTGGTGACTTTTCAATTTCCTCTGCTCCAATTCTACTTATCTCACTGACTTATAAATAAAAGAAATATTCAAGAGTGTAGCCCTTTGGCCCATTCTCTACATTCACTCACAAATAAAATACAAATAATTACCAGGGTCAGAAACAATATAGTGGGCAGGGTGCTTGCCTTGCATGAGGCCGACCTGGGTTCGATCCCTGGCACCACATATGGTCCCCTGAGGACCACTAGGAGCGAGCCCTGAGCATAGAGACTGGAGTAAGCCCTAAGCACCACTAAGTATGGACCAAACATTAAAAAAATTTTTTTAAAAATCCCAATAACTACCACATTTATATCCTTGCCCTCATTTCTCTCCCTTCATTTGGATATCAAAATGAATTGCTAGCTTACCCACACCCAAACTTAATTCTACTCACAATCCTTTCCTTATTCTACTCACAAACCAAAACAATTGACATCATCCTTGATTCCTTTCTGCTGTCACATTTGATCTATCTGTAAATATCATTGGCTCTATCTTGAAAATATATACAGAATCTGACCACAAGCTAGTATCTCTTCTCTTGGTGTGTACATATAATTCTCTTGAGAATCTGTGCTTAAATTTCACTAAAGGTCATCTTTCTTGACCAGCTAATATAATTGCAAGTTTCATCACCTACCCATCTTTTTTTTTTTTTGGAAGCAAGGTAATTTTTATTGAAACTTATTTAGAAAGATGTGAAAGAAAACAGAGGGATAAGTAAATATTCAAGAGAAAACACAGGTTTCTACTGAGTGGAAATAAGCAAGCAAAGCAACATGGAGACAAGCAAGCGAGACCTGTGTTCAAGAGAGAGCATGAGCTTGAAGAGCAAGTCCATCTAGCATTTTTTATACCCTTTCCCTGCTCCACTTATTTTCGTGTGTTTCTTCCTTCACAAGTTAACTATCTTTTATTTACTTGCCACCCACCAGGGCCTAGAACAAAATTTCAAATTACAGAGGCACTTAATAAAAAATTTTTAACAAGAAATAAATTATTTTCATGTCTTAAAGCAAGTAACTCTTCCCACTAAAATCTGATTTGCATGAATACTGTGGAAGAGTAAAGACTAAACAGTATAAATTTAATCCATATATCTGGAATTTCAATGTGATTCACTAATTGTGGGTTTTCCTATAGATACCAAGTTCTAAGAAGTGAATAAGAATATTTTTTTTCAACTTTTACAAATCTACAAAATTTCAAATACTTTCTCATTTCAGAAGTACTTTTTTTTTTCTTTTTGGGTCACACCTGGCGATGCTCAAGGGTTACTCCTGGCTTTGCACTCAGGAGTTACTCTTGGCAGTGCTCAGGGGACCATATGGGATGCTGTGAATCGAACCCGGGTCAGCCGCGTGCAAGGCAGATGCCCCACCCGCTGTGCTATCGCTCCAGCCCCCAGAAGTACTTCTTATATCAACTCTTTGTGAACTACATTAGGAACCTATAATACTGCTTCAATAACAATCAGCATTTTCATTTGCTCTTCCACAAAGGAAGTGAGTACTTACTTAACTATGCCATATCCCAGACTGACTATGATGACAAGGGTTCGAGCCAGTGAACGTTTAACCGCAGAGAGCAGTTCTGCAAGGATCAGTGCTCCTTGAACTATAAGGAAGAAAAGTAAAAAAGGGTACTGTAATCTAAGTTTGAAAAAGGCATTCTAGAAGTAGAATCTAGATTTCTAATACTCTTCAGAATAAGCATTAGTATAGTTTCACTAAAAAATATTACTTTCTCAATTTTACCCAAGTAGATAAGCTGCTAGGACTTATTCATTTGTGCTGCAATCTGGATACGCTCAATATCCCTTCCCTCCTTATTCCCCGTGTTCTTAAACCCTCAGCAAAATACCTCACCATACAGAGAGTGCATAGTAACGAGGGCAGTGTTTTTCAACTCAAGGTCTATGAGCTGGTATGGTCTGCAAAAATCTCATGCGAGTCCATGGGAAACTTAATGTCACTTAACTTTTAAAACCTGTCAGCGATTAAAAAACAAAAACAAACAAACAAACAAACAAAAAAACCCAAAAAACCAGGAACACCAAATGGATATCAATGCAGCCTTTAGTCTCTCTGAAACACTGCAGCCATGAAAAACTGAATACTCTAACAGCAACATATTTTACACTGACATTACTTGAATATTGCATTCTCAAAAATTCAGACATCCCATTATCAGAATTTCATTTATTGCCTGGTTCTTAGTTATTTTTTAGTTAACGAGGTGTCACCCAGGTGTGCTCAAGGGTATTAATCTCAGCTCAGAGCTCGGGGGTTGCTCATGGCAGTAATCAGGGGACCAAATGGTTCTGGGGATCAAACCTGGGACTCCTGTGTACAAAGCATGCATTGCAGTCTGTTGATTACCACTCCAGACCCAATTTCCTAGTTATTTTATTTCAATTTTTGGCCCACACCAAGAAGTACTCAGGGATCATTCTTTGCAGTGTTCAGGAGACCAAATAGGATGCCAGTGACTGAATCCAGAATTTTCATTTTATAACACCGGATAAAAGTGAATACATAAAATACCATAAAAAAATTTTCTGTTAAGTATTTTTCCAATTTCACCAGTCCAGATATATGTATCTATATATAAGATATATAAACCACTGATCTAGAGATTTTATAATCTAAAATATAGCTATATACAGAAAACAAAAAAACATACATTTTCCAATTCATTTTCATATCTATTTTTAAAGTCTTTTAAAAGACTAGACAAAGATTTAGTGTGTCTTGCAACAATGATTACTAATTAAGTCATCAGATAAAATAGAACTGAAGCTACCACAAAAAACTTCAATATAGACAGTTTCTGTCACTATGTGTTCACCTTAATGAACATAAGTATTCTCCTAATTTTTTGGTTCTAATGAGTGCTAACAATTCTTAGATGCACTCTCTGCACACACATTTGTGTATCTTTAAGATCAAGGCATATCTTACAATTAATGGTACCTTATAATCAAACTGACAGTATTCACCTCACTTCTTAGATGCATGCAATAATGGTACCTTAAAACTCAATAGTAGGGGCTGGAGCGATAGCACAGTGGGTAGGGCATTTGCCTTGCATGAGGCCGACCCAGTTTCGATTCCCAGCATCCCATGTGGTCCCGTGAGCACCGCCAGGAGTAACCCCTGTGCATCAACAGGTGTGACCCAAAAAGCAAAAAACCAAAAGACCCCCCCAAAAATAAACACCTCAATAGAAGTCCTAGATTTTATATCCTGCACCCCTGCCACACACAATATTTATCAATTAACAGCAATTGAGATTCAACAATGATTGCAATCTTTCCAGAATGTCCATAGTATTGCAACTTCTGCAAATATATTTCAGTAAAACAACTCTTTAATTACTGAATCCACTAAGAGAATGAAAACAAAAGGAGTCAAAAGGATAGCTCAATGGGCTAAGTGTACGCTTTGCTTACAGGAGGCTCAGGTCTGATCACAGTATCATAAGGTGCTCTGAGCACAGAGCCAAGAGCAGCCTCCAAGCACTGCTGAATGTGGCACCAACCCCCTTACCCCCTCCCCAACAAAAACATCATTCAGTAACTGTGAACTTAGAAAAAATGCCGTATCTCACCTGCCAATCACTAACAAATACTTTTTGGTTACATACCAGATTCTCCTTTATATCGGATATTCTGAAATTCTGCATAGAACACAGCTTTCTCAAGCATTCCCAGGAAGATCACAGCACCAATCCAAAACTGAATTCTTAGGAGATCTCTCCAGTAGCAGGCAGACCAGGCCAGCCACAGAACGCCAAACAGGACATACACAATACACATTACCATGAAAAACTGTCAGTCAAGGAGGGGGGGAAAAATAGAGACTATGAGCCATTTTAGAATCAGTACATAGTCTTAACAAAATGCCATAAATATACACACTGTATGTCAATGTTTAAAATATTTTTATTTCTTTGTGTTTCAATACAAACGCGCGCGCGCGCACACACACACACACACACACACACACACACACACACACACACCTGTCCCCTCTTGTGCAGAGGAAGACTGCCTAAGGACTTGTCATCAAGGACTGTTTCTGCTGGATTAAAAGAACTTTAAAAGAACTCACAATCTAAAATTTAAAATGAAGATAACCGAAGAGGGAAAAAGCCATGGCAGGGCTAGGTAATGACAGGGTTAGGTAACGTCTGAAGGCAACGAAACACGACAAAGTGGGAAAAAAGAATAAGAGAAATGAAGAAAAAGAAGTTAGGAACAAAGGAAATCTGAAACTATTGTAAAGATAGTTCCAGACAAAACACAAGGACAGACACACATATATACACACTGAAAAGGAGGAAATTTTATCATTGAAATACTTGAAGTGGAAATAGAAGTCACAGGGCCTGAGGATAGCTCAGTGATTTGCCTAATGGGCATGGAGCTGAAAGTTTGAGGTCTGAAAGCATAACAAAGTGTGTGCAAGCACTGTGACTAGCTAAAGTAGGCGATCGCAGACAACAAAATGTGTGATCAAAACTATGTGTGATGATCCTCTCTCCAGGTATCATACCACAAAAAAAAAGGGGAGAACAGTATAAATACTAAACAACAATAACTTATATATGTATATATAAGTGTACACGTATACATATAAACATATTACATATATGTATATAAAAAACGTATATATAAGTATAATAAAAACATATATATAAATGCCCCTCTTTGGATCCTAGAGAGGATATGAGAAGTGACTTATGTGGTTATTTTCTAACTCTAAAACTCTGAGTTATAAATTTTTTTTGTGAGTTATAAATTTTTATAAATATAAAAAATAAGGGACACAGATCTGCTGATACTCCCAAGGTCATGTTTTAGTAAGAAACAAGGAAATTATAAGCAGTGTTTTTATACTGTTCGTTGGGGACAATAACTATCAAAGAATAATGCCAAGTGACACAGGCAATCTTTCAAGCTTAACTCACCTAATGCTGAAGTTAAAGCATATGCATTTAAGGATTAGAGATTCACCTCAGTGTGAAAGTGAATACCTTAACTGTTAGAGGTCCCTTATTTGATCCCCAGCATCACACCCCACACCCTTGCTGCGCTCCCCACCTCATTTAAAATACGAGTGAACTTACAATCATTAATGGATATTCTTCAAGAGTGAGGTATTCATAGGGTCCCTTCACTTCAACGGTCACTGTGAAAACAATGCTCAGAATCATTAAGAATGCAGAAATTAAATAAAAACACTGAATGATGAAATAGATGAATTCCATTATGTCATTCAGTTTTGGGTTTCTTTTTTGCTTTTTGGGTCACACCCGGCGATGCACAGGGGTTACTCCTGGCTCTGCACTCAGGAATCACTCCTGGCGGTGCTCAGGGGACCATATAGGATGCTGGGAATCGAACCCGGGTCGGCAGCATGCAAGGCAAATGCCCTACTCGCTGTGCTATCTCTCCAGCCCTATGTCATTTAGTTTTACCCATTTTAATTGTTTGAGCATTATATACACAGAACAAGTGGAAATTCATGAAGTGTTCAAACTGTGTCCCACACAGGCCTCTATGCCTCTACTACAGCCAGTATCTGAAGTAAAAAACTCCTTTATTCCATACTCTTATCTCTTAAAGAGGAGATTGATATATTTCCTCCTCTGAGCTGCCCAACTGAAACTACTGCAACAATATTTTACTCTAAAAAGTATAGAACTCCATTCCTTCATTGCATGAACTTTATTCTTTCATTCCATTGCTCTTTGTCCCCCCCATGACTTCCTCTTATTTCCTACTTCAATTTTATAGCTATGCTATAATGCCACACTAGTGCTACCATTAACATATCATTTTTAGAAGGTACTTAATTATAATAAAGCTAAATAACACAGAACTAGGTATTAACAAGAAGTTGAAGGACATATTTTGCCTTACTAAAATCTAACCTATGACCACTGAGAAAGAAAAAAAACCTACTTGGATATGGGGCCAAAGCGATAGTACAGGGGTAAGGATTTGCCTTGCACACAGTTGACCTGGGTTCCTGCATCCCATATGGTACCAGGAGCCTGCCAGGAGTGGCCCAGTCAGTCAAGTATCACTGGGCATGGCTCTAGGGCCCAAGGCAGGGAGGGGAGAGGAAAGAAGGGGAGGAGGAGGGGAAGGGGAAGGGAGAGGGAGAGTGATAGTGAGAGGGAGAGAGGGAGTGAGGGAGAAAGGGAGAGGGAAAGGGAGAGAGGGTGGGAGGGGGGGAGAGAGGGAGAGAGAGAGAGAGAGAGAGAGAGAGAGAGAGAGAGAGAGAGAATGGAAGGGAAGTGGAGGGGAGAGGAGAACAGGTGAGGAAGGTCATGGCTCTTGGGTCTGGGATACAGAACAGCCTTTAGGACACATGCCTAGGCACCTGATTCAGGTTTTATTCCTGACACCACATGGTCTCGCAACCACTACTAGGTACAGTAAAAGTCCCCTGAGTAGTACATAGGAGAGGCACCCTCTTTCCCCAAGATAAAAAATTAATATTCTAATAAAGAAAGAAAATAAAAAAGAGAAGGATGAACAAAACAAACTACAGCAAATTGACTCAGCTAGCAGTTTACTACAACATTCCAAGTAAGGGATGATGACTCCACGAATATGACAGCAAGAATGCAAAGGAGAACACAAAGAAACAATTGAGACATTAAAAAATTATTATATCAATATTAAAATTTCCAAGTTTCGACTTGGCAGCCAAGATTTAATATGCCTAGTTCAGAGTACTGAGAGTACAAGTTTAACTTAAAAATTTAAAGCAAAATTATAGGGCTGGAGTGATAGTACAGAGGATAGGGCGCTTGCCTTGCACATGGCCAACCCAGGTTGGATTCCAGCATCCTATATAGTTCCCTGATCATCAACCAGGAATATATTCCTGAGTGTAGAGCCAGGAGTAACCCCTGACCATTGCCAGGCATGGCAGAAAAAAAAAAATGTACAACAAAATTAATTTTTTAATTTACTAAATTTAAAACATTAACTCAAAATTTTAAAGGGTTGGGCTGGAGAGATAGTAGAGTGGGTAATAAGTCGCTGACCAGATTTCAATCCCAGGTACTGGATAGGATACCTGAGCACTGCCAAATGTGATCACAGGCAGTTGTGGCACAACCAGGGAGATAATACATGGCAAACCCTAGTTGGAACATCAACACTGCATGTGGTACCCCACACACAATCAGGAGTGATTCCTGAGCAGAGTCAGGAGTAAGACCTGGTACCACCTGGTAAGATACCCAAAAAACTAAAATTATAAAAGCAGAGGAATAAAATGAAAGAAAATGAAATGTATTGTTGGATTACAGTTCGAAGTATTTAAGGTTTAACATCGGACTATACTCTGGAAGAGAGCTCAGGTTAATTGAATTAGAGGCACACCCACTCTGTATTTATCTTTAACCTCCCCTTTGTGTTCTTCTACTCCTGTTAGTCACAAATATCTCCCAATAAGATAATGCTGATAGATTTGAATAAAGGGCCACAGGTTAACAGCCTATGGGCCCATTCCTTCATCCACTGGCCAGAAGAACTGTCATGGCCCCAAATGTACTAAGGGATGCTGGTCACCCGGTCACAGACAACTATGTCAGAATTCAGACAAAGTAATATCTGTAATATGTCAGCAAGCATATAAGAAGTGTCATAAACTGCATATGGGTATATTATTGGGTACAAATAAATACCTTCCTTTAATTTTTCTGCTTTATAATATTTTAAATAAAATTTTCTAATTCTTAAAGCAATTTCTGACTGGTCATGACCACATAGGACACAACTAAATATTAAGACAAATGTTAAAGAGAAACAAAATGAACTTACTGGTGAAAAGATTATTAAGTGAATTTTCTTTTGTTGATTCCTTTGAGGATGAAATGCCAATATGTACAATAAAAATGTATGGTGCATCTTGCCAAGTTTTCAATGGTTCATGCATTACCTAGAGAGGAAAAAGAGGCATCAAATCTACAAGTTCTATGAATTGAAAGCAAAAGTTAGAAACATAACATGAAAACTTTGCACCTAAACTGTGACTAAATCCATGGTAGAGTCCTTAACTTTCATTCACTATAACAGTAAAGCACAACAAATATGTATTCAGGGCATATAATATAGTAGGTAAATTACAAATTACTAAAAGACTAGGTATTTTGCACCTTACTATAGGCAAAAGGTCATATTAAACTTAATTACATTTTAAAAGGAAAACCTCAACTAAAATCCTACATTATATGCTTACATCTTATAGTTACATTTACATACATAACATGAACTAAAATGGTCCCAAGAACAGAAACTTTAGTATATCTACACAATGGAGTACTATGCAGCTGTTAGAAAAGATGAAGTCATGAAATTTACATACAAGTGGTACTACATGGAAAGTATCATGCTAAGCGAAATAAGTCAGAAAGAGAGGGACAGACATAGAAAAACTGCATTCATCTGGGGAATATAAAGTAACAAAATAGGAGACTAACATCGAGGAATAGTCGAGATAAGTACCAGGAGGTTCACTCCATGGCTTGGAGGCCAGCCGCACATGCTAGGGGAAAAGGCAGCTCAGATAGAGAAGAAAGCACCAAGTAAAGTGTGTTTTGGGGGATCCTCCCAGGATGGGAGATACATGCTGAAAGTAGACTATAGACTACTTATATGAATCATATGAACATGATTGCCACTCAATGCCTCTATTGCAAACCACAGCACCCAAAAGGACAGAGAGAACACAAAAGAATGCCTTGCCACAAAGGTGAGATAGGATGGGGGGTGGGGGGATGGAAGGGATACTGGGATCATTGGTGGTGGAGAATGGGCACTGGTGGAGGGATGGGTATTTGATTATTGTATAATTGAAACCTAAGCACAAAAAATTGTAAGTCTACAACTGTACCTCATGGTGTTTCACTAATACAAATTAAAAAAAAAAGTGGCCCCAAAACAAAAACCAACAATTATATAAATCATTTTAAAAATTCATACTGATGTAAAAGTGAATTATAAAAATAAAGGCAAAAACTATCAAAATTAACATCTGGTCCGCCAGCGATTAGTCACAACAATCCTGTAAGCTGTTTCCTTAAAAAACAGCTAATTTCATTAAGGAAAAAACTGTTAGGGGGTTTATTCATCCTAATTGCAAGTCCCTCTTCCAAGCACCTTGAAACCCATTTTTTTTTTCTTTTTGGATCACACCCGGTGATGCACAGGGGTTACTCCTGGCTTTGCACTCAGGAATTACTCCTGGTGGTGCTCAGAGGACCATATAGGATGTTGGGAATCGAACCTGGGTTGGCTATGCTATCGCTCTAGCCCTGAAACCCAAATTCTTGAAACGATTAACAGTTGTGAAAAACATCAGTTTGGCAGCCAACGGGGAAAAGGTTCGAAGGTTTCTTGATGTTCAACTGCTGTATCTGTCTGGCAGGTGCTGAAAACGCCATTCTCAGAGCATATTCTTTCTATCACCTGACTCAGAGATCTGTCAGTAGAAAAGACCCTAGACTCAAAGGCATTGTCAAAAACATCAGCACAGTTATCAAAGATCACAGATGCTGAGGTAAGGGTATAAAGAGGCTGACTTTTAAAAACTTGAAAGGAAAAATTGGAAATATGCCCACTGAGGTTTAGAAAAACTAAAGTATATTTTGAAACCTGAAAGGCCATGAGTACATGCAGGTTGTCTCTATATGTGCAGAAGGAGCACATGTCTGAAAGACCTGAGAAGTCCTAGTCATTTACCTTTGGCCCATCACCTCTGGCAAATTAAGGCTTTGGGCATGTAAAAAGCACAGATAGCTTTAAATGTGAACGAAGCCATATGCAAGATTACAAATTGTATGAGTCCACTTACATAAAATAAAGAACAGGCAAATCTATAATAACAGAAGATTAATAGATGCCCATGGCTAGGAAAAGGAATGAGGACTATTATTGGTTACACAACTATGTTTTGAAGTGAAGATGTTCTGGAAGTAGACAATGGTTGTTGCACATCATGTGAACATACAAAAAAATCATGGTATTATATGATTTAAAAGGGTAAATTATAAGCATGTCATAAAAAGTTTAAAATTAAAAACCTTAATTAACTTTGTAACGTCACAATCCAATATGAAAAACTATATTCCAATATGGATAACTATCTTAGTTCCTTATTTTTTTTTAAAATTTACTTTTATTCACATTTTTTATTTTTTTTCTTTTTGGGTCACACCTGGCGATGCACAGGGGTTACTCCTGGCTCTGCACTCAGGAATTACTCCTGGCAGTGCTCAGGGGGCCATATGGGATGCTGGGAATTGAACCTGGGTCGGCCGTGTGCAAGGCAAATGCCCTACCCGCTGTGCTATCTCTCCATCCCCAGTTCCTCTTTATTTTTAACTGGTAAACTTTTGAGAGATTGGTTACTGTGAATGAAGAAGATTTAGGCACATTTATAAACTTCCTTTCAATTTTCTAAACTTTCTTCGTTTTATTCTACCACATGATAGTGTTAAAATTTAAAGTTCTTTCTTAAAAGCTTCTTATTTAAAGGAGTATTTATGGGCAAATAATCACAAAAATAACAACAGGGTTTTTAAAAACAGGGTGTTAAAACACTTCTATAGCAGGCTTCTTTAATTTCTGCCACTTGCAATTTTCCCTCTTCACCCAAGAAAGTTTTATCCAACCCTAGGTATCAAAGCATATACAACAGGTATGTAAATCAAACACTGATAATAATAAAAATTTATCTTAAATTTTTAGGTTCTAAAACCCTTTATGGGGTTACAACCCATAGTTTAAAAAGTAGGGAATCTAGAGACCATAGTAACATGGAAAATCTGTAAAACACAAAGCACAAAAAAAAAATCATTTACGAGGCATACATGCAAACATTTTGATGTGCAACTTTTATTCTTGTTTCTTTTTATTTTATTTCTGCTTTTTGGGTCTTGTTTCTTTTTAATGTTATCATACCAAGATAGTAATTCAATACACAAACATAAGAAAACTGCGAGTATGTGTTCAATGCCCCCAAATCCCTCAAATACTTACAATTTTATCTCCAGTAAAGGTAAGATTTGTTCCATTCTCTTTAGCCTTTAAGCAAAGAGAGAGAGAGAGAGAGAGAGAGAGAATTAATTCAGAAATTTTACTTTGCTCTCAGAAATATCTAACTAGGAAGATAATTACCTCCTGTTTTTCTCCTAAAAGTGGCAAGCGATGCACAGAATCTGCAGTAAAACTCTATGAAAAAAAGATAAAACTGAAATTAAAGAAAAGTTATCTCAAGATGTACAAAACAGAGCAAAGCATATTAAACATAATATAGCTTTAATAAAGGATAGCACAGAGGGTAGGGCATTCGCCTTACAAGCAGCCAACATGGCCGACCCGAGTTCGATTCCTCTGCCCCTCTCGGAGAGCCCGGCAAGCTACCGAGAGTATTCGATATGCCAGACACAGTAACCACAATCAAAACTCTACTAAATAAAATAGAAGAAAAAGTATTAAAACTGCACTCAATATTTCCTTAATAATTAAACTATTTAGTCAGAATCTGGAAACAACATGAGTGCTCAAGAACAGACATGGAGGGGGAAATTCCAAATAATAATGGTGCATCTTTTGTAGAAATAATGAATGTATGTAATCAAAGTAGAGAGAGAGTTAAGTGGAAATCATCTGCCTCACAGGCATCGGGAGGGATGGGATGGGGGTGTATATTGGGGTTCTTGGTGGTGGAAAATATGCACTGGTGAAGGGCTGGATGTTTGATCATTGTATGACTGAAACTTAAACCTGAAAGCTTTGTAACTTTTCTCACAGTGATTCAATAAATAATTAAAAAAAAGTAAGAAATCGCAAATAGAATGATCATAAAGTAAAAAAATAAGAACAAAATTGTGATTGATATGATTTTAAGCAATGTATTTAAGGAAAATAAAACCCATTAATACAAAAAAAAAGAACAGACATGGATAAACTATGGCACATCTATACAATGGAATACTGTGCAACTGTTAGAAAAAATGAAGTCATGAAATTTTATAAATGGTTGGGCATGGAGAGTATAATTCTGAGTGAAATGAGTCAGAGGAGAGGGACAGATACAGAATGACTACATTCATTTGTGGTATATAGCACTGTAGCACTGTCCTCCCACTGTTCATTGATTTGCTCGAGTGGGCACCAATAACGTCTCCATTGTGAGACTTGTTACTGTTTTTGGCATATCGAATACACCACGTGGGGCTTGCCAGGCTCTGCCGTGCAGACAGAATACTCTTGGTAGTTTGCTGGGCTCTCTGAGAGGGACAGAGGAATCGAACCTGGATCAGCCGCGTGCAAAGCAAACACCCTACCCCCCGTGCTATCGCTCCAGCCCATTTGTGGTATATATAAATACATATATATATATATACACACACATATACATATATTAGAAGAGTAGAAGGGAAAACAGGTTAGGAGTGATCAATGGTTGGATCTAACCACGTGTGTGTGGGGCTGAGGGTAGGTTAGAAGAGACCCGTACGATAATAATAGCTGGGAATAACAACACTGGACAAGAACCGAGTGTTAGAAAGTAGGTAAAGAGATATTATTGATAACCTTTCAGTATTAATATTGCAAACCACAATGACCAAAAGGGGAGGGAGAGGAGAGGAGGGAGCGAGGGAGGGAGGGAGGAATGGGGACAAGGTGGGGCGGGGGGGGGAGAGGAGAGAGAGAGAGAGAGAGAGAGAGAGAGAGAGAGCACACCTGCCATAGAGGCAGGCAGGGGTGGGTGGGGTCAGAAAGGCTATTTTTATTTTACATGCATTTTATCACAGTAAGAAATGACTGGGGGGGCTGAAGTGATAGACAGCGGGTAGGATGCTTGCTTTAGACGTGGCCAACCTGGGTTCGATCCCCAGCATTCTATATGGTTCCCCAAGCACCACCAAGAATAATTCCTGAGTGCAGAGCCAGGAGTAACCCCTGTGCATTGCCAGGTGTGACTCAAAAAGAAAAAAAAAGGACTGGGGTTTTGCTTTTTACACATAAAGAAAAACATCCTCTCTTTGTTAAGATGAATATGTAAGTGGTTAACTCTGCACCTGTTAGAACATGCAGTTCACTTCTGTCAGAGAAATGGTGGGGGGGGGGGGGGGGAGTCAACATCACAAAAAGACAAACATTACATTTTTCACCTCTTCTACTTCCCTCCAACTACTAAACATTACCTGTGTTTTAAATAGTTCACTGCAGTTCTGGAACAATTTTGACGATGTCTGATATTTCCCAGACAAGCCTTTTTTGTCTTTAAAGGAGTCTAAATGTGTGCCCTGGTTTCCTGTCTGGAAAAAAATAGAGAAAATACACAGTACTTAATTCACCTGTCACAAATAAGATGTTTAGAAGATAACTGATTGCCTGTAGTATAAATCTAGCTTGGAGGTTGCTATTTTAAACATTAACACCAAGTTGGGACTCGGGGAATAGCTCAGTGTCTCCAAACAAAGGTGTCCAAACTTTGGTCCAAAGACTGGTGCTGTCCACAGGAGTAAATATGGTAGAAGGATGCTATCTTAGAACACCTTCCTTGCAAATAGCAGACACCCCTGTGCCACACGTGCTGAGTTCAATACTGGCAGCTCTGCATTTTGACTCTCAGAAGCTCTATTGTCTGTGACCAAGAGCAAACCCTGGCACCCACATGAATGATGTAGCATCCTCTGGGGAGAAGTACAACCGGGGTGTGCAAGAACTAAAATTGTACAGTATTGACAAAAGAATATAAAAATAAAAGTAGGGGCAGGAGAGATACTACAGGGTAAGGCACACGTGGCTGATCTAGGTTTTAACCCTGACACTAGATATGGTCCCCCAAATACCACCAGTAATGACCCCTGAGCACACAGCAAAAAACAGCTTTTAAGTACCACTGGGTATGACCTACAATCCCAATAATAGTAAATTAATCGTGTAAGATAAAGATTCAACATAAAAGTCTCCAAGATGGCAACATATTAATTCTAAAGTAGAGGTTTCTAGTCAGCAGTTCACAGAAGTTATCTAATAATTCTAGGCAGCATTTATAAGGGTTTTACACAAGAAAATGTATTTACAAAAGTTACATGTGCAAACTAACACTGCCAAAAAAATTAAGTCAGATTAAGAAAAAACAAAAGATTGCAGCCACTCACAGTTCACTGTTTATCTATCAGTTTTGTGCTATTTTTTCTCCTATACCTTTATCACTGATCTTGCCCTCTTTTCTCTAAGGTCCAGTTTTACATCTCCACTACCTTGGAGTCATTTCTGTAACTATCCTGTGCTAATTTAAAATATTTTTCTATCCTATATGCAAATAATTAGACAAAGGAAAGAGACATGAAAAAAGGAATCCTGTTCACAATCCTGCCCCAGAAAATCAAGTACCTTGGAATCAGCCTAACTAAGGAGGTGAAGGACCTCTACAAAGAAAACAAAATGCAACTCCACAAAATAAAAGAGGACATGAGGAAATGGAAACATATCCCCTGTTCATGGATAGGAAGAATTAACACTGTCAAAATGGCAATACTCCCCCAAGACACTATACAAATTCAATGCGATCCCTTTAAGAATACCCATGAAATTCTTCAAAGAAATGGATCAAGCACTCCTAAAATTCATTTGGAACAACAAACGCCCACGAATAGCTAAAGCAACTCTTGGGAAAAAGAGGATGTGAGGCATCACCCTCCCCAACCTCAAACTCTACTACAAAGCGGTAACAATTAAAACAGCATGGTACTGGAACAAAGGCAGAGCTGCAGACCAATGGAACAGGGTGGAATATCCCTACACACAACCCCAAATGTATGAACATCTAATCTTTGATAAGGGAGCAAGAGACGTGAAGTGGAGCAAGGAAAGCCTCTTTAACAAATGGTGCTGGCATAACTGGACAAAAACATGCCAAAAAAAAAAAGGCTTAAACCCATTAACACCATGCACAAAAGTCAGATCAAAATGGATTTAAGACCTCAACATCAGACTAGGATCCATAAGGTACATTGAAGACAAGGTCGGCAAAACCCTCCATGACACTGACGCTAATGGTATCTTCAAAGATGACATGCCACTGACCAACCAAGTGGAAACAGAAATAAACAAATGGGACTATCTTAAACTAAGAAGCTTCTGAACTGCAAAAGATACAGTGACCAAAATTCAAAGACAATTTACAGAATGGGAAAGGATCTTCACCCAATACCCATCTGATAAGGGGTTGATATCAAGGATATAAAAAGCACTGGTTGAACTCCACAAGAAGAAAACATCAAACACCATCAAAAAATGGGGTAACGAAATGAACAGAAACATTGTCAAAGAAGAAATCCAAATGGCTAAAAGGCACATGAGAAAATCTCTTCATCACTAATCATCAGGGAGATGCAGATCAAAACAACACACCACAGAGACTGGCCCACATCCAAAAGAACAAGAGCAACCAGTGTTGGCACGGAGGTGGGGAGAAAGGGACTCTCCTTCACTGCTGGTGGGAATACCGACTGGTTCAGCCCTTTTGGAGAACAGTACGGATGATTCTCTCTGGAAAAAACCTGAGTGACCGAGAACAGATGACTGGTTAAAGAAACATTGGTACATCCACACAATGGAGTACTATGCAGCTGTTAAAAAAGATAAGACATGAAATTTGCATACAAGTGGTTCTACATGGAAAGTATCATGCTAAGTGAAATGAGTGAGAAAGAGAGGGACAGACATAGAAAGACTGGACTGCACTCATCTGGGGAATATAAAGTAACAGAATGGGAGACGAGCACCCAAGAATAGCTAAGATGTTCTCAGGTTTGGAAGCAGGTAGCAGATGCTGGGGGAAAAGGCAGCTTAGATAGAGAAGGGAACACCAAGTAAAGGGTGTTTGGAGGATTCGCTCAGGATGTGAGATGCGTGCTGAAAGTAGACTATAGACCGAACACGATGGCCACTCAATACCTCTACTGCAAACCACAACACCCTAAAGGAAAGAGAGAGCAAAAGGGAATACCCTGCCACAGAGGAGGGGCGGGGTGGGAGGGCTACTGGATTCATTGGTGATGGAGAATGGGCACTGGTGAAGGGATGGGTACTCGATCACTGTATAACTGAAACCCAAACACGAAAGTCTGTAAGTGTACAACTGTACCTCATTAAATTTTTTTTTCTAGGGGCTGAAGAGATAGCACAACGGGTAGGGCGTTTGCCTTGCATGCAGCCAACCTGGGTTGATTCTCAGCATCCCATATGGTCCCTTGAGCACTGCCAGGAGTAACTCCTGAGCGCAGAGCCAGGAGTAAACCCCTGTGTATCGCCAGGTGTGACCCAAAAAGCAAAAAAATAAATAAATAAATTTTTTTTCCCTAGATCCTGAATTTGTATTATCTATGGACAAAGGAGCTGCCTAGCTTTTGACTAACATATCACAAGTTTCAAACGTATGAAGATTTTAGTAATAATTTCAACTGATAAAAAATTAACAAGGGGCTGGAGTGATAGTACAGCGGATAGGGCACTTGCCTTGCACCCTGCATCCCATATGGTCCCCCAAGACTGCCAGGAGTGAATCCGGAGCAAAAAAACAGGAGTCAGCCTTAAGTACTACTGGGTGTAAACCCAAAACAAAAAATGGATAATAAAATAACAATATTTTCAAACTATATCTGGAGTTATTATCACTGCTATTTTCTTTTTTTTTTCTTTTGGGCCACACCTGACAGTGTTTAGGACTTACTTCTGACTCTGTGCTTAGGGATCTTTCTTAGAAGGAAACTATCTGAGGTGGGGAGATTGAACCTGGGTCAGCTGCAGGCAAGGCAAAAGCCCTACCTACCCATTGTTCTATCACTATGGCCCCAGGCTCTCTTAAATTCTTCAGTTTTTTTTTTTTGTCCTTCCTGTCACATTAATCCTACCCAGCATTGTGCTGTGACAACAAAGACCAACAAAATGGCTCAAATGGTAGAGTACATGTTCAGCATGTTTAGGGCCAAGCAAAATATTGAAATGAAGTACGCAACCCTAGAAAGCAATACACCATGGTGTATAAACAAATATGCACAACCCCTGACAGTTCAGCAGTGAAAATGAAATGACAAAGGGACAGTATTTAAAAACAACCTGACCAGATGATGGAAATTTTAAAAATACAGATTATCTTTGGGAAAAACAACTCAAGGACTCTAGGGGAATTACAAAATGGGAATGGAAAATGCATATAAATTCCATCTTGAAGCCAGAGATTTCTAACATTTGAAGACTATAAAGTATGGAATATTATGGGAGCTTTGTTGTTTGTTTTTTGGCCATACCTGTAGGAGCTCAATTCTGAAAGTGTGATCTGTAAATTCTTTCATGAGTCTGAGATCAAAACCAATTATAATTACTATATAGTTAGCCGCCTTGTTGTGGTGGGAAAAATTATTATTCCTTATCAGAAACAAGGTAGTCGAACCTAATGTACTAGTAGTCACTATACTATTGAGTCTCAAACTTGAAGTTTTTTTCAAAAAGGAGTTTCATGGGGTCAGAGCAACAGTACAGCAGCTAGGACACTTGCCTTATACCCGGCTATCTCGGACTCAATCCCTAGCATCCCATATAGTCCCCCATTACACCGCCAGGAGTAATTTCTGAGAGAAGAGCCAGGAGTAAACCATGAGCATCACCAGGTGTCCAATACTGCAGTCCCCTAAGCACCACCAGGTGGGGGAGGGGGGGAACAACCTTAAGTAGTAAAGATTATTAAGAGCCTGGCAAGTTACCCGTGGCATATTCGATATGCCAAAAACAGTAACAATAACAGGTGTCTCATTCCCCTGACCCTGAAAGAGCCTCCAATACAGCAGCGTTGGGAAAGACAAGTAAGAAGAGGCTGCTGAAATCTCAGGGCTGGGACGAATGGAGACATTACTGGCACCCGCTCAAGTAAATCCATGAACAATGAGATGACAGTGATACAGTGATAAAATCTTGACTTTTACATGACTTTTTAAAATATCAGATGTAGAGTGGGAAATATGCAAATATAACACAAGTATCCTTTCTCAATAAAATTAAGAGACTGGAACCCAAAGAGCTGAAGTCTAAATAAATTCTGTAATTTTATGTCCCTTACCTTGAAGTCATAGATTTCATTATAACAGTCAGCACTTTTCAGATACCAGGTTATATTCAAAGATGCATCACACGGTTCTCCATCAACTATTTAAAAAAAAAAGTGTGTGAATGAAAGATGATTTTTAAGCAAAACAATTTCCTAAACTCTTCCAAACCTCATATCCCACATCCCACTGTCTGCTAAATATTTAAAGACCATCCTTTTTCCAAATATAAGTCAATGAAGAAATATATGTAAAAATAATTGAATATTATTCATATAAAGTTTGTGTACTTTCATTGGTATTGTTGTTAACAGACAGAGGAGCAGCTGGGGCTGGGCATGTCAGGCATGCACCTAACCAAGATTCCTACCTGACTCCACATGATCACCCCATCCCAGCATCACCAGGTACGGCCCTGGAGGCCTGTGGCACTGCTGGGCTGGTCCAGGTATTCTGGGCCCTTTGGGGCAAGCAGCATTGCATCCTCAAGATGTTGTGCTAAATCGAAAGCCTGGTTGGTCAAAAATCACTGATTCTTGATTACCTCCTGATTACCAATGGTAGGTGTTATCCGACCCTATCCACCCAATTAAGAGGAGCAGTAAAATACTACTTAACTTGGAAATTATGTAACCATTTGTATGCTCTAAAATCTGATTTTTTGGTTCTCATATACTTATTCAACAGAGCACTTAAGTGTATAATAATATAATGACCCCAAAATAATATAGGCCAAAAATAGGAATAAATTATCGAACGCCTTAAAAAGGCTACATAAAGATATAAAATATCAGGAATGTTACAAGATAATTTTAAAGGTAGCATAAAGGGCTAGAGGGACAGTACAGTGGGTAAGGTGCTCACCTTACACATAATCAACTGGGGTTCAATCCCTGGTACTACATAAAAGCACAGCCAGGTGTATTTCCTGAGCACAAGTACTTTTGGGTGTGTCCCCAAAACAAATAAAAAGCAGTATAAATAATTATTTCACAGAGGAAAAAAATGTTTGGCTTTTTTTCAACATCTTGGACATCGAGAATGGATAAAAGTAACTATGAACAAATAGCAAACCTGGCTGGGGAAGTTAACAGCAAAGCAGGACCAGAGAGAATAGGGGTTAAGGTGATTGTCTTGCATGCAACTGATATTGGGTTGATCCTGGCACCACATGGCCCTTACAAGCACCACTGGGAGTAATCCTAGAGCACAAAGCGAGGAGTATGTCCCCAAGAATCTCTAAGTCTGGTCTAACAGCCCCAAACCCAAGCAAAGATAAAAGAATATTAGGTTCTTTTCAAAACCTACTCAAGAAACCTGGTGAAATCATTAACACTTCATATAAACACATTAAGCACCATAATCTAGTGTACCAAGCATTACCGTGAAGAATTGGGAAGCACAAATCTGACATGACTAATTTAACAATCTTACCTGGGAGAAGTTAGATATCTACTTTATGCAAATATAGCAAAAATAAACACGGTGACTGTAATGAGTAACTTTTTTTTTTTTTCAGGTCCAGGGATTTGCCCAGGGTCTCACAGAGAGTTTAACAAAAAAACAGAGCCTAAGAAAAAAGTTCAACAAGCTAGAAAACATCTTTTCATTGAGAAGGCCTGGTCTCAAACTCTGATACTGTATGTGGTTCCTCAAGCACTGCCAATGAGTGACCCCTGAACAAGACAGGAGTAGCTACTGAGCAGCTGCTGGGTGTGGTCCAACACTACTCTACTCTAACAAAAATTAACAAAAGTAGTGCACCTAAAGTTCTGACTTTTCCCTTTTGTTTTAAATTATTTCCTCATACTAAGGTTTATAAGACACAATTAATATACCAAAAATATGATGTGTTGAATATAATTTTGGAAAATTATAAAAAGAATTTTATAACTTTCTATAAACTATTCAAGGAACCCATTCAGATATGGGATTAATCAAAAGAAAGTACTCTAAACTTTCAATGATGACACTGGGCTACCAAAAAAACACTTTATGCTCAAAATCAAAAAATACTATTTTAAAATTCTATAAATAGAACGTCTTAAGAAATAATGAAAATGACCCTACCAATTTCATGGGATACTAACCATAACCACAAAAGTATAATATTAGAGATAAGGTTAAGTATGGGAAACATTAGAAGGCATACAGAGAAAAGTCAATGTAAATTTTAAGAGGTAATAAATCCTCCAAAAATTATGAAATACTGACACTTCAAAATATACAACTTATATGATTTATTAAAATAGCATTAATCAAAATAGAGATTAGAAAATATTGCACATAATAAATAGATAGAATCATACATCGGCCATAAGGCTATTCCAAAAGACAAAACATAATTATCCCTAAAAGCTACTCTTACCTAGAGAACAAACTCACAAGAAAGGTCAGTGTGTTGAAACAGATTTGGTTGGAATTTAAGTAACTGGCCAGAAAATCATATTGTTATGGATAGGGTATATTCCTCACAGAAATACTTATACCCCCACACCACCTCCAGCATACATTCAGTGAGGCAGGCATTCTATATTCATGCTGTCTAAAACAGTGCCTGACATGTAGTAGGTTTTTGATCACTAAATGATCAAAAGGATAAGGAACTCTGACTTAAAACTCTGCACTTCCAGTGCCAGAGAGACACTGCAGGGGTACAGCGCTTTGCTTACATGAGGCAAAGTCAGGAGCACTGTATAAGGTCCCTGGAGAACTGCCAGGAGTGATACCTGGGCACAGAGCCAGGAGCAAGCCCCGAGCACAGCTGAGCCAGGTGTGGTCCCCAACCCCACACCCCAAAAAACAATTCTGTACTTTCATAAGGAGAGGTATGCACAGAAGCACAATCTGGATTTTTATCCCTCTGAAATGAAGCTGCCCACTATAACTTATTCTCTAAAATAAAGCCATTTTCAGAAACTTTTAGAAAGCTTTCTTTCACATAAAGAAGAGTATCTGGGAATTCATACAGTGCTTTTCCTTCTGGATAGGCTGGTTTTATTCTACATAATCCTTAGTTTCTGATATGTTGAGCTTCCTCTTCCAAAGAAGCAAGTGATAAACACTCTTTTTGTAAACAAAAGATTTACTGAATACATTCATTCAGTGCCAAAGGCCAGACAAATCTAGGTTATTTGTTCAATAAATATGCAACAAGCACATAAAAGCAAAACTGGTGATATCTCTATCACTTAAATGCGCCCAACTAGCTACCATAATTTGTCTGTATTTTAAATACCATGAAATGAAAAATAAAGTTTACAAAAGTATTCAAAAGTTGACTTAACGTAAAGAACCTTAGTTATTTACCTATGTTTATATAGATAGCTTCGGATTATTAAATTTCAAAATTTATGTTAGAATCATACACGCTGGGTTCAACTTCAATGGTATGAAAGCACATTAGAAATATTAAAAAATTGCAATTTCAAAGTATAAAGATCACTACAAAACGCCAATAAGAACTTCTTAATTACAAAACTCACATTTCAGGAAAACAGTGGTATTTTTGAACAGGATTTTTCCAAAACTAAAATAATTTTTCCCCTGTAAAAATAAAGGGTAGAGAGTTAGCATCAAGTGGTTGTAATTGCCAAGACAGACTATAACTGGAGTAAAAAACCTAAATTTATAAAATGTCCACGTTTTCTTTAAAAGAAAAAAAAAGAGAGAGATCAGCATATTTTCTTTCAGTAAGATTCAGTCCCATCTAATCTGCAGGATTTTGCGGTTTGGTTGGAAGGACTGGATTCTGGCCCCGGGTGCGAATCACTAAGTTTGTATTCTAGAAGGAAGACTGCTAGAAATTCCAACTTCAATCCTCAACGCCTGACAACTTCCTTCAACAGTTCATTTCCTTACTCTTCCAAGAAACTAGTTTGCAAGTTGGTGGCCAGCTCTAACTAGAAACCGATTTCGGGGGTAAGTGAATGCCCACAACAACCTAAGAGTTTTACTAAGTGAACAGAGCGGGCCAGAGGAAAGCTCAAGTCACATTTGGACACGGAGAGCACTGAGCAGAGCAGAGCAAGAACGGGCGGCTAACGCTAGAGCAGGGCTTGGGGCGTCTCAACACTGGCTGCCTCCCACGAACTTGCCGGTGCACTGCAAAGCAGGTCCAGATCGCTGCGCAAAAGACACGCTGGCTTTCACCTGGCAACGCCGTGGCATCCTCTTTCTTCCCGTTACGGCCACTCTCACGCTAAGATCGTACAGGTTCTAAGTGCCGACGCTCCTCTGTCGCAGGGCAAGCTTGGAATATCCCTTCCACGTTCAAAACCAAAAAAGAAACCAAACCACTGGGGCAGCGTAAATGCCTCCTAAGGAAGAAGTGAGGCAGCATTTGCAAGTTCGGAAAGAACGCTCCTTCCCGCTGTACTCTGGAAGCCTGAGCGGAAAGAGAAGCCGCTCCGCACCTGCACCTAAGGTTGATAAGCCTCTTGGGCAGGCACAGGAAGTCTTCAGTGCTCTGCGAACAACCCGCTGCACCAGCCCGCTCCGCTCCAGGAGCGGCCCCCGCCTTTCCCGGCTAAATCTGCCCCCTACAAAGCAGCAGCGGGGGTTCCCTCTTCCCGCAGGAGGACCCGGGTTCCGCGGCAACTCGGACGCGGGTGGCAATCCCGCCCCCGCCCCGGGAAGCGGGCCGGAGCAGAACCTTCGTGGACCCCTAGGGCTGCCGTAGCCCCACCCCCTCAGCCCTCAGGGCGGCTGCTCCCGAAGGGAACACTCACCGACGACAGCGGAATGTGCCACTTAGACCGGTAAGCGGCTGCGACGGGCGTCGGCCCGATACTGAAAAACGTCAGTGGAGACGGCTGTGGCCCCAGAAGAAGAAGAATGACAGGTAGCACCTGAAGCCACGCAGCCGCCGCCATCTTCACAGCCCTCCTGAAAAGCCTACCGAAAGCATTTCGCCTCCTTCCGGTTCGTCCCGCCCTCTTCCGGCTCTGCTCGGGGGGCGGGCCGACGGGGCCTCGAAACCTCGCGGGGCTGTTTGTTTTGCGACGCAGCGGCCCCGCCTTCAGTCGTCACCGCCGGCGAGGCGTCGGTCTTACTGCGCAGGCGTCGTCCTGTCAGACCCGTGTCACCGTGCCGCGCTTGGGTGGTCACCAAGACCCTTCTTTGCCCCCGGTCATTTACTTATTCTCTCGTCCAGTCTTTAAAGGGCCTGGCAACCAGACAAGCACCAGGCTTTTTCATTTGGCTTCTCCCGTTTGCCCCAGTGCTTCATCCTTCGCAAATCCCAGTCAGAAGCCGGGGTTTCTGTCCTAGGATAAGCTGTAGCTCGCAACTATCCGCTCCAGCGTCCCGTAGTGAGTTCTTGGATTCTGGAGGTATTTAAACAAAAACGGGCGTTTGGTAGTGATGGCCAGCGAATCCTAAACTGAACCCTGTTACAGATAACATCCCTTTAGCCCTAAAAACTTACGAGATGACTGAAGTCTGACAGAGACCAACTTCCACAAAAACCCGACTGGCACTTCCTACCGAAAACTGAAAGTGCAAAGGAGTGGCTCCGTTTTCAAAATAGGTGCCTGGCCTGTCTTTGAGATAAACCTTCAGAAGCTTCACCCCACCTAGTCTGGCTGGCCGTCTGCGAACTTCCTTGTTCCCTTGCAAGGGCCCTTTGCCCTCCTGCATCCTGCTGCAAAGACAACTCTTCCTAAAGAAAGCAAGCGTCTGCTCAGCCACTAATTCACAAAGCAAATTCCTGTAGGAATTCTGCTGTGGTTGGGGCCTGGAAATCCCAGGATCAAGAGTCAGTTTGTCACTACTTGGGGCCTGTAGGGGATTCTATTTCCCAGAAACTTGACTCCATGCTGTGTGCTGTGTTAGTTAGAAGTTAACAAAGACGGCCGAACACCTTTCGAAAGAGTGTGTCGGGACCTTGGCTGGGAGTACGACCAGTGAAGTGACTGGGAAGCCATGGCAGCAGATAAGAAAGAGGAAATAAGGTAAAAGTTTCTTGGCTGGCAGGAAGGGCAGGAAGTGAGATCTGGGAGTAACTGGAAGCAACGCTCCGCTTTGAAGATTTAGTGTTTGATTGAACATTTTTTTTTTTGCATGTTGGTGTTTACACACTACACTATTGGGTTTTATCTTGATTTCCAGTGCTTTAGTTGATATTAATAGCAAATCCCTCATGCAATAATTTTATGATGCTTTTTAAATTTTTTTCACTACCCACCTCACCCCAGTGACCTTTTTCTTTTTCACTTCATGATGATTTTTTAAAAAGTCATGGAATAGCTATGATTCTAAGTCTACCATTTGTGAGTTCCAAATTCAGCCATCTCCATCTTTTCCTGTATCACTCTAGAAACTCATCTCGCAAAGCATGAAAGAATAGAACACAGATTTTTCTGACCTTTGCACACTTGTTTAGAAGAAACTGTGACAAAGATTGAGTCCAGAAGAATTTTTATTATTTTCATGATAAACCTCTGTTTTTTTCAGAATGGGTAAATCTATTTGGGCTTGTTTTCATAACATTTTGAAATTGCTATTCAGCTATAACAGCTTACATAAACATTGGACTGACAACTGCTATATTCAGCAACACCTCTGCATGAAAAAGAGTGCTTTTTTTTATAGTCGCTGGCTATTGCAATTGTATTTATGCCACTTGAATTATTTGACCACATAATGCAAGTGGCAGTTATCTACATCTTGTGAATATTATGTTCTAGAAACATCTTCTAGAAACATTTTTAAAACACTGGGCCTTTGTCAGAATTGTCTTTAAAAAGCAAAAGCTTTTTTACTTCTTTATGTTTCTATTCCTATTTTGACACCTTCCGCATGCATCTTTTAAAGCAATTATGAGGTTGATTGTGATTCAAAATTATAGAAAGCTCAGATACAATTATTCCTTAGAGCCAAGCACTAAGTAAAATTATTGTAAAAATGTTTATTAAATAGTGTGAGTTGTTTTTGTTTAATTGAAAACAGTTTTTTTTTTTTGCTCCTTCACATTTTATTGCTGTCACCATAGCCTTCCATCATTATTTTCTTAGAACCTTTCCTCATAAGTGGCAGTGTCCTTTGTGAGTTGCCATCAGATTAGCCCAGAATATTCTGTTGTTTTCCTTGGGTGATTTATATAGCATGTAACTCTGCAGCACATGTGTTGTCAGCTTCTATCATGGCAGTGATATAATTTTGCATTGCAGAGGTACAATGTCTATATATTGGCAAGAAGGTACAAAATTGGATTCACAAACCCTATGTAAGTTTTGCAAAATGTCTTTTTATTTAGTGTTGAAGATGAAGCTGTTGATAAAAGCATTTTCAAAAGCTGCAGCAACATTGCTTTTTACAGGTAAGTAGAGGAAATAATTTCTGAGTGATTAAAAACATTTCTAATAATATTTCAAAATAGATGTTTATTTTTTGAGAGCAGATAGACTTTATAAAAAAGAAATCATTTAGAATCTAGGGATTTAGCTCGGTGGTAGAGTGCATATCTAAGAATTTAGCTCTGTGGTATAGTGCATGTATTGGACTGGGTTTGTCCAGCGCAACAAAAAGAAAAATAAAATAACTCTTTTTTTAAAAATTATCAGAAAATTTATTGATGGATCGAGAGAGAGTTGGATCTTAAGGCAAATGTCTTGCTTTTGGCAGACCCTGATTGAATCCCTGTAACCATATGGTCCTCCAAGTACCACCAGATGTAGCGTGGAGGCCCCCAACCAACACTAGGAGTGATCCTGGAGGCTCTGTGTACCATGAAGGTGGCCTGGGTAATCTCTGTCATTGCAGGGTCTGAATGTCACAACCAGAAGCTGTCTGGTCTATGTGTATCCTCAAGAAGAAATTTGTGGGGCCCATGAAGGCAAGCAGACATAGTATTTATTAAAACACCCACAGAGCAGAAAGGTGAGGGTCTAAGCAAATTATTCACCATTGTCTCCCTTTTTATATTCTCTTTCACTACTGACTTTAGTAATCCCATCAAAAAGGGCAGTGACTTGCTCTTATGTTAATTTTTCTGGGGAAAAGCTGACATTTTCTTAGAATGGAGCAAGTTGTTAGACAAGGTCTGTCCAAGACTGCTAAGATGTTAACTTTGATTTTTTTTTTTTTGCTTTTTGGGTCACACCCGGCAATGCACAGGGGTTATTCCTGGCTCTGCACTCAGGAGTCACTCCTGGCGGTGCTCAGGGGACCATATGGGATGCTGGGAATCGAACCCGGGTCGTTCACGTGCAAGGCAAACGCCCTACCCGCTGTGCTATCTCTCCCGCCCCTAAGATGTTAACTTTGAAATCACAGGCAGAACTAGCTCTTACCTTTGGTTGACATGTGTTTCAGCATCTGTTCTTGTATATCTTGGATATCTCCATTCTTGGTGAAGCATTATTTTTCTGGCAGCCCTAAGTGTGAAAGTTCTCAGTACTCTTCCCTGTCAGCCTTTGTTGTTTGTTGTAAGTCCCCCTCACTCCCTGCACTTGCTAGACAATGAAATCTGTCAGCTCCAACCCTGGGGTCCAACAAATCCTTTTTCTCTCCCTCCCCTGTAGCCCCTTTTGTTGTCTATTTTCCCTGCTTTTCGGGAGCTACACCACATCTTTGGGCCCTTGCAGTAAACTGCTGACCTGACTGACTGAGAATCATTGTGAGAGAGTAGAGAATTTATCAGACAGGAGATAATCACCCTTAATTTTGTATACTAACCTCTATAATTTTGCTTTATTAACAGGTATTTTATTTTTAAAGTTAAAGTATTTTTAAACTAATGTTGAAAGGATTTTAGTGTGTGATATTAGGGATTTAAACCCAGAGCCTCATTCTTATGAGGTTTATGCCCTACCTCTGAGCCACATCTCCAGCCCCCTTAATGTTAAATGTCTTTGAATAGATTGCAATTTTATGATATTAAAAAATTAAATAATCATTAAAAGTATTTCTCTCATACCTTCTTTTCCAACCCATTTTACATCTTGTCACTATAAGTAACCATATTTAATAAGTGAATTATTTACCCGTGCAATATTTCCTTTTATAACTGCATATATTATGTAACCATTTTCTTATACTAGGTAACTTTCTATATAAGCTACAGTGAACCTCTTTTCTGGTTTGTAATTTATTATACATATGAATGCATTGAAATTGTCCTCTCTTTTTTTATCACTGTCACTGTCCTGTCCTCCCATTGTTCTTCGATTTGCTAGAGCGGGCCCAGTAACATTGTACTGTGTTTGGCAAATTGAATACATCATGGGTAGCTTGCCAGGCTTTGCTGTGTGGGCGAGAGCTTGCCGGGCTCTCCGAGATAGGTGGAAGAATCGAACTCGAGTCTGCCGGGTCGGCCATGTGCAAGGCAAACTCCCTACCAGCTGTACTGTCTATACATTATTCCATTCTGTGGGTATATTATAATTTACCATATCTCTTTCCTATTGCTAAACCCTTTTTTTTTTCTTTTTGGGTCACACCCAGCGATGCTCAGGGGTTACTCCTGGCTCTGTATTCAGGAATTCTGGCAATGATCAGGGAACCATATGGGATGCCAGAGATTGGTTAGCTGCATGTAAGGCAAATGCCCTACCTACTGTACTAGCTCTCTAGGCCCACCCTTTGTTTTTATTCTAGTCCTTTGCTTTATAATAACACCACCACAAAAGCTATGCATGTATATGTATATAAAATTTTCTGTACACTAATATGTATTTATAGGCTAAATTTTCAGAAATGGGATTATTGAACTAAAGAGCAAATGCTTATGAAATTCCAATTTTACTAGATAGTCCTCAACTATATAATTGTGTGATCTCACTGTATTCCACTGTCCACTGTCCACTGTACTCCTGTTGTTCATCAATTTGCTTGAGCGGGCCCAGTAACATCTCCATTGTGAGACTTGTTACTGTTTTTGGCACATCGAATACATCACAGGTAGCTTGCCAGGCTTTGCCATGTGGGCGAGATATTCTCGGTAGCTTGCCGGGCTCTCCAAGAGAGACGGAGGAATCGAACCCAGGTCAGCCATGTGCAAGGCAAACGCCCTACCCACTGTGTTATCGCTCCAGCCCCTCACTATATTACTATGTGATATTGACTACTTCCTGAGAATACACACACAAAGAGTCTTAGAGGGAATTCTTTAAATAAATTTCCATCACCTTGTTAAACCACTAGATTATCTTGACTCCACAAGAACTTAGTTTATTTCTATTATACATTTCATGCAAAGGATGAGGGAAATTCATTAGCTCATATATGTCATCCATAAAAACTATTCCACATTTTCAATAAAGAGAACAAAATATCATCCTTGAGCAGTGTTACATTGAACAATTTTATTAGTTTCTTTTTATTATTACTAATTTTATTAGCACTCTGAAAATACTACTCCTGTTAGTATTTTATTAGAGTGCTAATGATATATATGCTCTATTCACTTATTAGCATAAGGAATTTTATTGACATCCACATTATAATAGAGTCTTTTGGATCTGGGCACCTAATTCTTAAACCATCTGTCTTCTTTGTATCTGTAGACGTCAGAAATACTGGCTGTCCAGGAAGTCCACTTACCGGGCATCACTGGAATCAGTCACAACAGGCAAAGACAGCACCAGGTTCCAAATTATCAGTGAAAGAATGAAGGTAAGATCAAAGAATTTTTCAGTGAATTTATTTCCTTATTAATTTTGGTTCAATGAAGTAAATTTAAAAGGGCTAATTACAGCTACATATAAAATATAGTAAAAATAGGTAAAATACATGTAAAAATAAACTGGGGGTGGGTGGGCCATACCTGGCAGTGCTCAGGGCTTACTCCTGGCTCTGTGCTCAGGAATCTCTCCTGGCAGGCTCAGGGGACCATATAGGGTTACAAAGATTGAATCTTGTTCTGCTCTGTGCAAAGCAAGCACCCTACCCACTGTGCTGTAGCTCTAGTCCCCAAAATAAACTTTGTTAGAGAAGTAATATCATATTTTTCTTACCTATTCTAATGTCATTTTAAATGCAATGGAAATATTGGGCAGGAGTGTGGTTTAGCAGTAGATAACTTGTATGATTGAAGCCCTAGGTTTAATCTCCTGCTGCACATACCCACACACACAAACACACAAATATCAAGTTACAGACTGCAGTTGCTGTATGACAAATTTAATTTTCTTTTCACTTGTTTTTATAACTAAGAGGCACATTAATTATCCCAAGTTTCCAATAAGGATAATGAAGTCTAAAAAGTCACTTGATCAAAGTCAAGTGCTCGGAACCATAACTTTCACTTACATCTGTTGCCTGTCAAGCGCCTGTGCTCTTTCTGTCACTGTTACATATATGCTACAGTGTTTGGAATCTGAAAAGATGCAGATTCACTGCATATTCAAACCATAGCCTGCAGGTGAGCAGGGAGAAAATCAGAAAGACTATGTAGTTAAAAACTTTAAGTCACAAATATTCCATCTTCTGAGCTACTTCAGAAGCAAATAATCATCTCTCTATTCTATTTATTTTTCACTGTTCTTAAGTCATTGTGGTTTCAATACCAAAACTTTTCTTAATATATGTCATAGTTTGTCATAAGCACAGTGATCATACATTCCCAAATTTTTGGTTTATGCCTCTCAACCAGTAGAATTATGAACATTTGAACATTAACAGGGCCATGTAACATATGAAAAGGTACTTCTACCACAGATCAAGCCAAGCAAGTACATACATAGGCCAAGGAGCTTTTTTCCCTTTATGATTGTCATTATTCTCCAGTTTTATTGCCTATAATAATTTCAAAATAGTTTTCTAATCATTTTAATTTTACTGTGTAAATAAATGAACATTATTCCTTCCAAAAAAGCCCTCTAAATGTTAAACTCTAAACTGGGGAAAAATGTTTAAGTTAATTCTATGTGTCTGTTTCTAGAGTCCTCTCCTGGCTGAACTTTATGGTATAGAGGGCAATATTTTCAGGCTTAAAATCAATGAAGAGACGCCCCTGAAACCTAGGTATGAAGTTCCTGATGTCCTCACAAACAAGCTAAGTACTATAAGGTAAGCCAAAAGGACAAGGTGTGTCATGCACACACTGTGCTAGGAATCAAATTGCCTCACCCATGCAAGGCAAGTGGTCTACTACTGAGACACGTTCCCAGTCCCTCAATATATTTATCATATCTTGAGTCATGGATTTTGTATATTCCTCACATTTTATTTATCCAAAGCTACAATCACTTACAGAATTGGCAGTAAGAACCTGGTTATCATTAGAGAATGAGATTAGTATTATGCTGAATTATACCCCTACCCCCTGCCACCTTGTTCCATATGTTGAAGCTCAAACCCCTTGAACTAAACTATGTGACTATTTAGTGTTTTGAGTACTCAGTCGTGCTCAGGACTTACTTCTGGTTCTGTGCTCAGGGGTTACTTCTGGTGGGGCTTAGGGGTCAATATGGAATGCTGGGGATCAAACCTGGATCATATAAATACATCCATTTTGTATTTATTTGTTCTTTTTTCTTATATCTACCATTTGACTTATCAGCACTTATTAATTAATGGAGAAAGGCAGTGTTTTTGATCCTTGCTCTCCTCCTCACAAAGAAAATGATTTATTAACCAGACTTGAGAAGCAAATAGAAAGAAAGTGATTTACTTACTCCCTCTGATTTCAGCAGGGTTCCAGAGATCTAATACACTAATCTAACTCCCACGCTTACTATAATATATACAGGTAGACTGCTGCAGTTTTTCATTAAGGGTAGTCTCAGAAGTCCAACATATAATTTGACAGAGTCAGTTTTAAATTAATAATCAGTGTCTAGGTGAAAAAAGTCTTTGGGGATTAAAGCATTGTTAATATCCCTGTAAAATCTTTTAGATCCTCACCACACTTTTCAGCTTGGTTCTCCCTTATATCGCATTAAGGGAATATAGGGTCGTACCAGATGAACATATATGCATAAAGATGTGATGTATTTTTCACTCTCTTGGAGGATTAGCTGGAGTAGAGCCTCTAGAACCTCTAACATTTTCACTTCTATTTCCATAGGTAAAATAGTCTGTGCTTTTTTTTCTTTCCTGAATGTCCTTGCCATGTTTTTAAATCAAGGCAATATTAGCTTAATGTAGTAAATATTTGTTATGCATATTTGTTAGGCTCTATTCTAACCTCTCTTTTAGAATATCTTTGGCTACTATAGTATCTGGAGAGCTTCAAAACTATATTTGTTTATTTTTCACACCACTAGCTAGTTCCTGGATTAATTCCAGTTCCAACATTCCAGGTGTACTTATAGGAATCTATTTCATATGTGAGCTTCCCATGTTGCTACCATTGATTTGACACCTGCATAGCATGGTTCTAGGATTAAGGGACTGTTTTTCTGATCTTCAGATTGCAACTAAAGCTGTGTGGTCTGGAGATCAGCACCTACCACCTTTACTTCCTAGTATCCAACTTCCTAATTTTAACTAACTAGAAGTTCCATTGGCTGTATAGTCATGCTGTATTCTAGGGGTCATTCCCAGATGAGCAGTTAGGAATATCTGATATCTCAAACCTTCCCATGATGCCATAAACTCTGGATTCTCAATATTAAGTCATTTAATTTATGATTAAAACAGCCAGAATGGTTTCTGTGTTTCTGTTATCTGTTGAGCCCTGAATAATTGGTCTCTATAGTGAGTATTAGCAACAGCCTTTCTAGAATAGAAATATGAGATTGGTAATCAGACCTTGTTAGATTTGAAGGCAGTGAGGACCTGGTTATCATTAGAGAACAAGATTAGTATTATGCTGAATTATGCCCCCACCCCTGCCATCCTGTTCCATATGTTGAAGCACAAACCCCTTGAACTATACCATGTGACTGTTTAATGTTTTGAGTGCTCAGTCGTGCTCAGGACTTACTTCTAGCTCTGTGCCCATGGGTCACTTCTGGTATGGCTCAGGGGATGATATGGGATGCTGGGGATCGAACCTGAGTTATATACCTACAAGGCAAGTGCCCTACCTGCTGTACCTGCCCTATCTGCCCCTGTCCCAGAATGTGACTGAAAACAAGGCCTTTGAAGAAATAAATATGTTAAAAATGGAGTGGACCATAGATTAGTACAACTGGCTAGCCTATAAAAAGATTAGTCTCCATGAATGAGACCTTCAGTCTAATCCTCAAAATAACAGTAACAAAAATATTTTTAAAGAGATATTAGAACACAGATAAAAAGAGAGGACACTAAGCAAACTAACAACTGGTACTAAACCTTGGTTTAGTATCTAGAAACTATCTATTCTATGATAGAATGGCTTAAGTTAGTACTGTAGTTAGTTGCACTAAAGTGCCTATTGAAATCACAGCTTTGGGAGATTAAATGGTGACTTATCAGACAAAACGCAAAACTCTGTGACAGCCTGACTGCCACTAACTTCACTGGTATCCTAAAAGACTCTCATATCGTTTGTAACTGAGTGTTCTTGTAGCCAAAAATCATGTGGAGTTTGATACATTGATTTTCTAAATTAGATCATTAGTTAAATTCACAGCCTTATCTGGTCTATCTACTTTGGACACTAAATAGGAAAGGTTAAAAATAGCAACATTTGGGTAGATCTGAATAACTCCAAAAATCCCACATTTTGAAATTTCAGGAGATCTATATTCCAGAGAAGTAAGTTCCTTCTTATCTATTTAACAAAACTGATTCTACCCTGCAAGCTGTATTATGAAAGGTACTCTAATGCCCCTTATTCCTTATACCTACCCTCCATCTCCAGACCCAAGATCACATTCAGAGTTCAACATACCTTAAAAGCCACTATACCTAAACAAATATAAGATTTTATGTTGATAAAAAAAAACTGTGAAATTAGCATGAAAATTCTTTCTAAGAGAATTTTTGACCATAAAATGAACATTATTTTAGAATATGTTAAATTTATTGACATGAGTCTATGTATCAAATAATCTAGATTTGATAATCAAGCTTGGAAAACTAGAAGTGGTTCGAATTGTTTGCTTTGTTATTAACTATAATCTGTAGTCAGCTATGAATTCTGCTGAATGAAGCTTAGATACCAGAAATTCCTTTGTACAGCATAAATTATTCATAGATTGAGAGAGATAAACATGTTAAGTAGATTACCATTTGCAACTAATTCCCAGTTCTTTTATCAAAGAAGATCAGAAAGATACTCTTTTCATTACAGATTAAACATGTGAGGGAATAACTGGGTAGCACTGTCGTGAGCATTTTGTATAGGCTGGATATAATAGTGGGAAAGGATTCCATTAATTAGGTTTCAGGATGCTTTTGGAAATGATAAGTCTCCAGAAAGCCATATCAAAGTGGTAACATTGAGTTGTCAAAAACATGGTAGGTATTTCTATAGTATGTGACAGGAGGCATGTGGTCCTCATAATGGTATTACCACCCGAGCAATGATCTTCTCTGAAATGGAAGGACATAAGTCCTACTTAATGAAATAATCAAGAGAACCCTATATAGGTTTAGGACCACAATGTGATTCAGTGGTAGAGCTGATGCCTTACATATGTGAGACTCTGATTTGACCCCTGACACTATTTCCATATCACTGTGTATGATCCAGGCACCACAACACAAGTATATGATGCCTGGAGTATCAACACACATCCCAACACTACACCACAAAAAATAAAAAGGAAGAAATATTTTTTATAAAATATTTCTACATAGATTTGAAAAACAGTGAATTACATGACCTCTTCAATAACTCCAGACTTAATTTTCACTATTTGACTGTGTTTTATTTATTTATTTATTTATTTTTGCTTTTCGGGTCACACCTGGCGATGCACAGGGGTTACTCCTGGCTCTGCGCTCAGGAGTTACTCCTGGTGGTGCTCAGGGGACCATATGGGATGCTGGGAATCGAATCCAGGTCGGCTGCGTGCCAGGCAAACGCCCTACCCGCTGTGCTATCTCTCCAGCCCTTGACTGTGTTTTAAAGAGGAGGTATAGAACTCATGGGGAAGGATTGTGTAAGGATATAATGAAGACACAAGCTAGTGGGCTGAAGATGTGGCTCAATAAAGTACTTGGCCTTGCATATATAAAAACCCAAGTTCTATCCCCAATACCAACCATATTACCAAGTAAAATCCTCAACACCATGAGCGTGACTTCCAGCACACTACTATCACCACCACCACAACAAAGAATGTAAGCCATACTTTCTAGTCTTCCCTAAAGAGGGCTCTGATCATTTGCCAGACTGACAGCAGAGGGAAAAATAAGAACTTGACCCTCCAATATAAATGCTGCCTCTGACCTTATGTAATTCCTGAAGATCCAAAGCATATTATCAGTCTGTCAAATTGAGATCTGGTGGAAATCAGGTGATAAATAGATAAAAGAGTGACCTAATTCTGTCTTCCTTTGAACTCAGTGGGTTAGTTATCCAACCTATATTATTTCCTCAGTTTCTAAATATAGCGTTGGAATGAGAAAGAAAAGCAAGTGTTTAGATTCTATATATTAATGTGTTGCTACACTGTCCAGACCCAGGTAATAATGGTGATGATGGCTAACATTTGTTAAGTGCTTATTATGTGCTAACTGTATTAAATGCATGATCTTGTTTATTCCAATTTTGTTTATGCTTTTTAAAATTTCAGTTTAAAAATTAGGGAACCAAGGAATATAAAGATTAATTTGCCCATATTTATGCACATAGTGCATGTAAAAGTTCTGTTTAAGTCAACCTCTCTGACACCAAAACCTATGCTTTCAGTGAGGACTCTCTAGTGCCTATATACTGATTAACTAATTACTTTGCATTTGAGAATTGCATAGAGCTATGTAAATGCATGGCAATTAATTTTTCTCTTCCTGCTTTGTTTTCTAGGCTGACTTCATGTTCAGGGGATACAGGCGATCTGGTATTGACAGATGGTAAAGGAGATCTGAAGTGCTGTGTCTTTGAAAACCCATTCAAGATAGACTTTGTGTCTGAAAAAGAGGTTGTGATCAGCATAAACTCCCTGGGCCAATTATACTTTGAACACCTGCAGAATCCTCTGAAGCAAAGGTATTTCTGTATGGTACTAAATTGATAAAAAGTCTTAAGAAAACATGATTGTGAGTGCTTGTTTCAGAGCACATATACTAAAATTGGAACGATACAGAGAAGATTAGCATGGCCCCAGCGCAAGGATGACGTGCAAATTCATGAAGCATTCCATATTTTTTAAGTCTACAACTGTACCTCATGGTGTTTCACTAATAAAAATTTTAAAAAAAAACATGATTGTGAGCAGTAGGTTGTAAATAGCTAATACAGGAATTTTATCTATTTAATAGATGTTAAACACATAGAGAAAGATTATATCATTCACCATAGAAAACTGATTTGCGATGTATGGCCCTGGTATTTCCTAGCACCATAGGGCCCAAACAGCAATGCATCCTTGGGCTTTAGCATTGACAGCAGTCCAGTTGACCAAGAGTCACCAGGAGTGACCCTCTGAGCACAGCTTGGGAGGCCCCTCGTAAAGTAGAAAGGAGAAGCAAGTTATCAAGCATTGAAAAGACAAGAACGTATCTTGAATGTATTAACTAAGTCAAAGATGTCAACCTGCTCGAGCGGGCCCAGTAACGTCTCCATTGGAGACTTTGTTGTTACTGTGGTCTGGCATATTGAATACATCACGGGGAGCTTGCCAGGCTCTGCCGAGCGGGCGAGATACTCTCGGTAGCTTGCTGGGCTCTCCGAGAGGGGCGGAGGAATCGAACTTGAATCGGCCATGCTGGCTGCGTGCAAGGCAAACGCCCTACCGCTGTGCTATCGCTTCAGCCCTGTCAACCTGATAAAGACTATATATTTTATCTTTTAAACTATAATATAATATGGAAAACCTGGCTCCAAAATTAGTGGATGCCAGGAGCCAGAGGGTTGGAAGAACGCTTATGTAGAGAACAGAAGTTTTTTTTTAAATCTGTACTATAGTGGTGGATACATGGCATTATACATTTGTCAAAACCAATAGAATATATAGCACCAAGTGTGAACCCTCCTGTAAACTATGGAGTCTGGTTGTAATGTATCAATCTATTGTGGAATGTTAATAATCAACATTAGGGACATTTAGGAGCAGGGAGTATATGGTAACTGTATTATCTTTTCAATTTGACTCTGAACCTAAACCTCTCTAAAAAGAAATTTTAATAAAAAGGCAATATACCACTGAATTTCAATTTTTTTTAGATCACACCTTGCAGTGCTGAGGGGTTACTCTGGACTTGGTACGTGGGGGTCACTCCTGGCAGTGCTTGGGATACCATGCAGTGTTGAGGATCAAACCCAGGTCTCCTGCATGTAAAGCATGTGCCCAGCCCATTGAGCTCTCTTTGGCCCTACTGTGTATAAGCATAAGTAAACTTTAACCATATATTTAACCATAAAAATAATATACATGGTATATAAAGAGCTTGAACAAATAATTTTTTTAAAGAACTAGCAAAAAATGGGTGGTACACCCTGAAAAAATGCATATTGAAATAATAATTAATATGGATAGCAATTTTAATATTCAAATTCTAAATATCACAAATAATGTGTGTATAAAATATTCAAAGAGAAAATGATATATATTTGGGGATTATTAAACAAGTGAGAATACTGTTTAAAAAAACTGCAAGAAAACCACAACACCCAAAAGGAGAGAGAGAGAGAGAGAGAGAGAGAGAGAGAGAGAGAGAGAGAGAGAACAAAAGGGAATGCCCTGCCACAGAGGCAGGGTGGGATGGGGGGATGGGAGGTGGGAGGGATACTGGGACCCGTGGTGGTGGAAAATGGGCACTGGTGGAGGGATGGGTACTTGATCATTGTATAACTGAAACCCAAGCACAAAAATTTGTAAGTCTACAACTGTACTTCATGGTGTTTCACTAATAAAAATTTAAAAAAAAAAAAGAAAAGAAAGAAAATATTTCATAAGAAAAAAAAACTGCAAAAAAATATCTCACACAAAATTTAGTTGCTATCTCTGAAGGTTGAAGGGTGAAGGGAAATGCATCTAAAGAGAAATGCACACAGAAATTTCAAAGGAACAGTCCATTCTGTTGTTTTTGTTCATGGATAAGTTCATAGTTGTTCACTTTCATATTTATTAATTTTTTAAATTTATACATAAACTCTTCTGTACTTTATGCTGCTTTACAATTTTAAAAAGGCTACCGAATGTAACCTGCCCACACGGCAGAGTCTGGCAAACTCCCCGTGGCGTACCCAATATGCCAAATACCAGTAACAATGATGGGTCTCTTTCTCCTAAAGAGCCTTGAATATAGCACTTTATTAAAAATCTCAGGGCTAGGATGAAGGAGACGTTACTGGGGCCTGCTCGAGGCAATCGACAATTTTAAAAAACAGTGTATAATTGATATTAATATGCAATTCACTGAAGAAATTATTTTTATAAAAGGTAATATACATGATGAATTATCATAAATACAATTTAAGTGTACTATATTTTCTAAATTTTTAGATTCAAAAATTGATAAAGTTCAATATGTTACAAATGGGGAGAAATAAGTATTCAAATACAAATGGGAATGATAGAATAAGTTGTCAGTCATTCTGGAAGACAGTACATTAAGTTGCCTGGGCTGGGGTAACATTGGGTGAAAAGAAATATGTTCTACTTTGCTTATTTTGGGTTTAAATATTATAAGTATGTATTATGTTCATAATGTTAAAAGATGACATATGTGTTTTTACAAAAGTTTAAAAGAAAAAATGTAAGAAGTTTGAAATCCTTTGTAGAAAATCAAGCTGTTGAATTACTTTTCAGTTTCATAAGCCTAATTTTATTTTATAATGAGATTACTTTTAATAAACTAAAGTATATAGTTAGTTTAAGGGGGTCTGAAATAGAAATGAAAATATTTTTATTAAACAAAATTCTGTTTTTACATGAGTAAAATAATTTTATTTATATTAAAACAGAGTTACCAAAGAAAATGAAGAGGATGCATCAACTAACACCTCTCAGGTAATCTAGATTGAGCAATTTATCGTTTTTTAGTATTTTGCACCATTATCATCCTTATATGATATATCATGGCCTATGTTCCTCCCTTCTTTCACAGATGAGTACATGTTAAATGCTCTGTCCTTATATATCAGACCATTTACCTCTTGTCTGCCTTATTTCATTGATTCACATATTCATTCATTTATAAGTCAGGTCATTGCTGAGTAATGACTTTATCCAGGCACAGAAAATTATGCTAGGCAAGGAACATTGGTAATAAAAAATAAATACTGGCCTTTTTCATAAAATTTGAACTCTGTTGGGAAAATAGATACTAATTAGAAGCATGAGGAGTGTTAACAAAAGGAAGCTATAGACAAATAGAAGGAATTTACCAAGATGAGTATTGGGAAAGACACCCTACAGGTTATAATGTTAAAGTTGAAGCATGATGACACATAAATCAGGAAATTTTCTTAAAATTATTACATATTCCAGATATAGTAAGTTTCCATTTTAAAGATCTTGAGGTAAAAGGAGCATATATGAAGAAATTATATGTATGTTTTAATAGGTAAACAGCAAGAGTGCTATGTATCAGGAATGTGATAGGTAGAGAAAATTCTGTGAAGTCTTATAATAATTCTTTTGTTCAACAGATAACTATTGAGCACTTTCGATGTAACAGACACTGTTCAAGGAATTGATCATCAAACCCCTCAGAATCATTCTTCTAAACAATGTTAACCTTTCTGAACTACGTCCTAAGAGCAAAGGAGAACTGTAGAAAAACAGTATTAAAACAGTTACAGTGTTAGAAAGCAGAGCTATGTGGTTTAATTTCCATTGATTATTTTGTGTGTGTGAGACAGCGAGAAAGAGAGAGACAGAGAGAGAGAGAGAGAGAGAGAGAGAGAGAAAGAGAGAGAGAGAAAGAGAGTGAGAAGAGAGAGAAGTAAGATAGTTTATATTGATACTTATTCAGAAAGTTTTGGGGTCATATAGCAGTGCTGGGGATCAAGTTTTGCTTGAGGGAAAATACGGAAAGGGAGTAGTGTGTGTCCACAGTGGAAATAGGCAAGCAAAAAGACAGAGACAAGCAAGCGAGATACATATTCAAGGGAGAACATGAGCTTGAAAGCTTGAAGAGCATGCCTGATTTCTGTTTTAAAAAGCTTAACTGGGGGTATGGTGCTGCCAGCAGGCCAACCTGTACCTGAGGGGCAAGTGCATCAGCAGCCTGATGATGACTTTAGACTTCCTGATACCCCAAATTGCCACTGTGCCTTTGCCAGACCCCAACAACTTGGGGCCAAGTTTACCAAGAAATTACATGGCCAAAATTTAGGCATGTGGGAGCCACACCCACAAACCACTTCCGGCTTAGCTATACAACCTCCGGCTCAACTATACAAGCTCAGTTATTGGTCTTATTTCAGAGACCCATAAATCTCAAAAGAGATCAAAAGCCATAGTTAGGGCCGTCGAGGTATGCTGAAGGCAAGCAGATGCGCCCTGCAGGGCATATGCCAATAGTTTGTTTCTCTGAAAAAGATGGAAACAAGGGCCATGACCCAGAGACACACAAAAGAATCTCCAAATCGAGCAGCTAGCTGCAGAGGTACCCCTAGACTTTAAGCCAGGCCAACTTCACCCGGGTGCCTCAGAACCCAATGAGAAGTGCAGGTACACGGGTTCAGTGATGGCACACTCCAGGCCTCAAGAGATAGGGGGATATCCCACTCATCCACCCCACCCCCTGCATCCCCATGGGATCCTGGAAATCATGCCCACAAACTGCCTCTAGCTGTTGCTTAATCTCCTCATGATCCAGAGACACACAAAAGAATCTCCGAATTCGAGCAACTCGCTGGTAGATTTCTCCAGACCCTAATTATCTAAAATTTTAGAATTCAGGAAGCACGTGGCTGCTATTGAAGCCACTCAACATCTTGTGCTATTCATAACAAGAAATTTAAGAGAGAATATGGGGTAGATTGTCTGCCATACAGGCAGGAAGAAAGGTGTGTATGGGGGGATACTGGGGACCTTGGTGGTAGAAGATGTGCATTCGTAGAAAGTTGGGAGATCAATCATCATATGACAGAAATTCAAACAGGAAAGCTTTATAACTGTATCTCATGGTGTTTAAAAATAATAATAATAATCTTAATATTAATAAAATAATAAAATAAAGTACAGTAGTACAGTCCTGCTGGTTTTCTATTGGGACGGAACCTTGCATTCAGATAGGTAGCGTGTGAAGAGCCGAGCCAGCATATTGATGAGTACTGATGGCAGGTTCTTCAGGTGTTCAAGTCTGACCTTGTCTGGGTTGGGTGCTGTTCATTTCTTTACTGACGAAATGGTGTGTCAGATTTCGGAAAGGAGAACATTGGGAACAACATATCCATCCTGTGGAATTTGGTATGTTGGACATGGTGGACATGGCTATCAAAGAGATCTGAGTAGAAGTCATGGATAATCATCTCCATTGCCCTTCTGGAAGATGTGATAGATCCATCAGGACATCGGAGGGCAGTCATCTTGGTCTTGTAGTTGGCGAAGGACAGGCGGGCGTTACGAATACTTTTCCCAGCTTCTGCCACATCTACCAGCACTTCTGCTCTTCTCTCTTTGAGGTCTTCCTTGATCGCATCTCTGCACTGCTTTGCGAGCTCGGACGTTCGCTTGAGGTTGCCTGAGGCATGCGCCAAACCACGTTGGCGAATAAGCTCAAGAGTTTTCGAAGATAGGCATTTTTTTGTGGCTATCTCTCTCGTGGCGTTCCTCACGCAATCATGGAGGTGCTGAACCAGTCGATCGTATTCCTCATCAATGTTGTCAACAATGGCATCTTCCCATGTTGCCACAACAGTGCCAAAGAGCTCCCAGTTGGTGGTCATTCTGGGAGTTCTCTTTTTAAACTTTACAGCCCTTTCTCCCCGCTCTGTGAAGTAGAATTTTGCACATAGGAGATGGTGGTCCAATCCCGTTTGGAATTTTAGGACAACAGTGACATCGGTCAGGCAAAACCGTCGATTGAATATGATGTGGTCTATTTCGTTGTGGAATCGTTCACCGGGAGACTCCCATGTCCAACGTTTAGATTCGGCCTTCTGGAATCTTGAGTTACCATGGATGGTCTTGGTCGACATGATGAACTCAGACAGTCTCTTACCCTGTTTGTTCCATTCTAGGCCATGGTTCCCGATGTGAAGTTCTTTGGCTGATCTTCTCGGTCCTATCTTGGCATTAAAATCACCCACAAAGATCTTGTAGAAGGTGTGGTCATCTTTATAGAACTTCTCTAGCTCCATGTAGAACTTCTCAATTTCTCCTTCATCAAAATTGGATGTTGGTGCGTAGACAACGAAGATAGAAACTGCCGGCAGTGAGCTACATCTATTCAAATGTAAACGTTCGATTCAGGTTATTAGGCATTCGAATGGATCAATGCTCATGGCCAAGTTTGTGTTGACAAGGACACCGACGCCTCCAACACCTCTTTTATCGCATGTTCCGAGGAACAATTCTTCTCCAGTGTCGAAAACGGTATGATAAGTTTGGTGCCTTTTTGTCTCGGTCAGACCAATGATGTCGTACTTGATCTTTCACACTTGTACCATCAGGTCCTCGATGGATGCATCTGATGCTAGCATATGTGCATTGAAACTACAGATGATCATTTCATTGTACTACTGTACAAGAAGGGAGACATCCATGACATTGGCAAGTATCGCCCAATCTACCTATTGTCTGTCATCTACAAGTTGTTCACTCAAGTCATCCTGAATGGGATTGGCAGAACACTAGATGAAGGACAACCATGCGAGCAAGCCGGGTTCCACAAAGGATTCAGCACCATCGACCATATCCACATGATAACCAAGCTCATTGAGGTTTCTTGGGAGTTCAAGATGTCGCTCTGTCTAATGTTCATTGATTTAAAGAAGGCCTTTGATTCTGTTGAGATGGAAGTGGTCATTGAAGCCCTAGCCAATCAGGGCATTCAAACTCAATACATCAAGATCCTCCGTGAGCAGTATTACGGATTCACTACCAGGATCTCACCATTCTACAAAGAAGTAATAATTGATGTCAAGAGAGGGATTCGGCAGGGTGATACCATTTCACCAAAACTCTTCAGTGCCACCCTCGAGAACATCATGCGGCAACTGGAATGGGAAGGAATGGGAATGAAGATAGATGGTCGGCAACAACACCACCTCCGCTTTGCTGATGACATTGTTTTAATAACACCAAACATTAGCCAAGTGGCACAAATGCTGGCCGACTTTGACCGTGAATGTGGAAAGGTCGGACTACAGCTGAATCTTACGAAGACAATGTTTATGAGAAACAGCCTCGTTCCTGATGCTCCATTCGCTCTCAACGGAACCACCATCTCCGAATGCAACAGCTATGTGTACCTAGGTCGAGAAGTCAACATGACAAATGACCTGGCACCCGAGCTGCACAGGAGGAAGAGAGCGGCTTGAAACGCCTTCAAGAGCATCAAAGAAATAACTAAGAGGACGAAGAACTTCCGGCTCCAGGCACATCTCTTTGATTCCACTGTTCTTCCCGCATTAACATACGCCTCAGAGACCTGGGCCCTACGCAAACAGGATGAGAACGCTATTCGGGTCTCCCAAAGAGGAATTGAAAGAGCTATGCTTGGCATGGTACTGGAACAAAGGCAGAACTGCAGACCAATGGAACAGGGTTGAATACACTGACATCTCTCCTCAATCATATGCTCATCTAATCTTTGATAAAGGTGCAAGTAATGTGAAGTGGAGTAAGGAAAGCCTCTTTAATAAATTGTGTTGGCATCACTGGACGGCTACATGCAAAAAAATAGGCTCAGAACTCTGCCTAACACCATGTACAAAAGTAAGATCAAAATGGATTAAAGACCTCAACATCAGACCAGAAACCATGAGGTACATTGAAGATAAAGTTGGCAAAACCCTCCATGACATTGAAGCTAATGGTATCTTCAAAGATGCCAC